AATAATTATTATTATTTATTTATTTACTTATTATTGTATTTATTTTCGTTTGTTATCGTCAACACTAAACATACAAATTAACATTAAGGTTATGAGTGTATTAATTGAAGGCGCAAAAGAGTTTAAACAAAATTTACAACAATGACACGAAACTGTTGAATTGTCAATACCCTAACCTTCAAATTCAAAATCAACATTCAAAATTACCTGTGTGTGAACTGGTGTGAACTTCCTCGCATTCAACCAATCACGTACAAGGTCAATCTGGTGACAAATTTAAAATACTCCTCCTCTTTTAAAAACAGAGTATAGTTCGTTTTTTTTCTATAATACTTGTCAATGTAAATTTTTTAGGGTTTCTGTTGGTATTATCTAAGACCCTTATAAAATTTATGTTGTTTAACATTTTCAGTAACTAAATAGTTGAGGTTAAAATACTAATAAATTTTTAGATAAATACGATTTAACAAAGTAAAATTAATTAGAATTAAATAGAACAAAACACATTTTCTAGGTAAATAAATGGCAAATAAACGCCCCACAACATTTTTTAAGCACCTTTTTTTTTAAATAACGGAAGCTAAAACGTCAGTCTGACATATTTATTTCAAAACATGATAAAACAAAACCCTGTTAGTTTTGCCAACTTTACAACAATTTGGCAGGTATTATAGAAAAAAATGAACTATATAGTTAGATTTTTCTATCAAAGTGACAATTAGAATCATATTAAGTTGGCAATATGAACTGGTAATTTTCTTATGTTATGTTTTTAAGTTAAACTGACTTGGTCTAGTATTAGTTCTAGTTTTAATTGTTATTCAGCATTAAATTGTTGTGTATTTTTAAGTTTCGGGTTTTAGCTCTGCGTCTTCAGACGCTGATGGCAATTGCAGCGTGAACTTTTCTTTTGAAATGTCAATTAAACCGTGAAGGAATGTTAGGTAAGGTTAGTTCTGTTTACAAACATTAATTATAGCGTGAAGTTTTCTTTAGTAATTAGTAATGCCAATCATAGCGTGAAGTTTTCTTTTGAAATGCCAATTAAACCGTGAAGGAATGTTACGTAAGGTTAGTTCTGTTTACAAACATTAATTATAGCGTGAAGTTTTCTTTAGTAATTAGTAATGCCAATCATAGCGTGAAGTTTTCTTTTAAAATGCCAATTAAACCGTGAAGGAATGTTAAGTAAGGTTAGTTCTGTTTACAAACATTAATTATAGCGTGAAGTTTTCTTTTGAAATCAATTAAACCGTGAAGGAATGTTAGGTAAGGTTAGTTTTGTTTACAAACATTATGTATGTTTGTAGTTTCATGTGGGGGTGAGTTCCTTCACAGCACTTAGGCCCCAGTGGGCCCTTTTTGATTTTCCCAGGAACTGAGTTGACTCCTTCCGGTAGGTGGAAAGACACCTATTGCAGTCTCATCGCATCTATCGCAAAAATCTCCATGGGAGATGGAGTTGATCAGCTTTGATTAACCAACTGATATTGGTATGCATGTTTTAGTGCATTGTATATTGGTTACCCAGATATGTTGTTATGATACACAAGCAACATCTTTAGTTAGTAACAAATAAATGAAATATTTCGAAAAAAAATAGGATTTGGTGCACACCTGCGAGTTCCGGTGATATTCATTTTAATCTCAAATGTGAGGTTGAAAGAATGAGTAAACCTTTGGTTCTCACAGTAACCACGAGTGCTTATGCCGTTGGATCTTTATTATATCTGGTTTTAAATAATGTAAAAACTGAGATAGATCATAACATTGAAAGTACAACTACATTAACATCGGTAAAATATAAAATTAAATTAGGTGACAAAAAATAATCATTTTTTTTTGTTTAGATGGTAATTAATCAGAATGATATAACAAAGTTTATAATAAAAAACGATGGGAAAATAGGATTTTATTATAAATGGGTTAAAATGGATAAAAACATCGAAGATTATGTAAAGGTAACGTTTAAAGAGGCGGAGGGATATGTTATTGCTGGGGAAGAACAAAATGTAACAGTTTATTTAAAACCAATTAGACATGTTATCGAGAAGATGGTTAGTCTTAAATTTAGTGTAAGTTTATGTACAAATTTATTAACGAAAAATGATAAATAATCTATTAAATATGTTTTAGGTTTTATATGGTCCTGATTATAAAATCAATTATATTTGCACAACAGCAAAATCACATTACAAATTTTCATTCACCGAATATAACTTTGGATCGTGTTTGGTACAAAATGAAAAAACCGATGTTTATAATTGTCTTTTACAATTTTCACATAACGACAAGAAATCTTTGTTGTAAACCTAATTCTTAATTATTTGTTTTTTTTTAACTATAAGAAAAACTTTTTTAGACTTGAATACGAAGATGAACATCCCAGTCATTTAACAATCGATTTCAAAGCAAAAGAAATCCTACCAAATACGGTTCAAACCATCCCGATTTATTTCCACCCGTTAGAACCGGGTATATTTACAACTCCTTTGACGTTTTTAGTTAATAGCAAACCGGAAATAATCACGATTAAATCAAAAGGAGTTGCGCCGGAGTTAGTGTTGGAAGAACATGATGATCGTTTTGTTAATTTCGGTGCAGTTCTTGCTGGAAGAACTGTATCGAAAACTATAAAACTTATAAATCGAACACCGGCAACGGTTGATGTTTTCTTTAATTTATATGAATTGTTGCCGTATTTTACTAAACCAAAGAAAGTTTTGAAACCAGAATATGATAGACCACCTCCTCCTCCCTTACCAAAAGTTGTCAAGTAAGATCTTGTTATTAATCACCCCATTATATTTATTTGATTAATTTCCTGTTTTAGAGTAAAGGGTAAGAAAGGAAAAAAAGATAAGAAAGGTAAAAAGGGTTCCAAAGGAAGTAAAAAAAGCTCGAAATCTTCAAAGAAGAGTGACAAAAGTTCGAAGAAAAGTAAAGGTAGCAAAGGAAGTAAAAAAAGTAAAGGAAGTAAAGGAAGTAAAAAAAACAAAAAAGGAAGTAAAAAAGAAAAGAAAATGTTAATCAGTGTCCATTTTATTTTTTTCACGAATACAATTAATATTTTCTTTTTAGTGAGGAACCTCCCGTTCCAGTTGAATCTCCCGAAGAACGTAGAGAAAGACTAATTAAGGAATCTTTAACAATAAGTCCAAAACAAAGTCTTAGATTAACGTCAGGAGCTAAAGGTGGAATTATCATAACTTATTCTCCAAGAGAACGATTACAATCGTTTCATAAAAAAATTTATTATCAAATTCAAGACAAATTTGAGCCGCTTTGTGTTGTTCAAGCTTCGTGTATTGCATCCGAATATTATATTGATAGAGATAAAATATCATTCGGTAGTGTGGTTAAAGGTTGTGAAAGTGAAGCAAAATTTTCGTTGTATAATACAGGCGATATCGGTGGAAAGTAAGGATTTATTTATTTTTTCGTATCATTTTTTTAATTAATTAATTTACAGATATAATTGGACAATTGATAGATCTAGAATACCATTTGATACAAAAGTGAGTATCACACCGAGTCAAGGTTACATATCACCAGATACAATCGTATCATTTTTGGTAAAATATCACCCATATTCGGTTCAATGTTACTTAAGAGCCAAAATATCGTGTAAGATTGAAAAATATAATAAAACTTTGGATGTAATATTAACGGGTTCTTGTACAAATACACCCCCACCAACAGCAACGATCGAGTTTTCATGTCCCGTAAGATCGGAAGTGAAAAAAAAAATTACAATACAAAATAAGTACGATTTATGATCAAAATTAAAAAAAATAATAATTTTTTTAATTTTTTAGAACCACGGTTAAATGGAAAATACACCCTCAACTTACAGGAAATAATTTTTCAGTCCCCGATATAATGTTTATCGAACCACACAGTGCAGGTACTTGCGAAATCACTTATAGTCCATTATTGATGTTAGGACCAGATTTATTCCATAAGGTGTTTTAATTATAACCCAATTTTAAACGAAATTTAAAATCGATTTGATTTGTAGGGGTCCGTATATTTTCCCCAACCGGATGGTTTTTGCACTTTATATTGTCTCAAAGGAGAAGTTACCGCTCCGGAACCTTTAGGTAAAATCCAAAAAGATATTCAGTGCAAAACTTACTTTACGGAAATATTGAAAATCATTAACTGGTCGAATATGCCACAAAAATTTACGGTTATTACCGAAAATATGAAACCCTATAATACTGAAAAAATCTTATATAAATTAACCGGAAATAGTATGGTTGATGTTATGGGAAATACAGAAAAAGATTATTATTGGGGAATTTATGTTTTAAATGAAGGCAGTCTTAATTTTCAGGTTATTATTAATGTTTAATAATTATTATTAATAATATTTAATTATAAATAGTGACATTTTCGCATATTAATAGATATTTTTAGTTCGATTCGTTTAGCCAGGCTTTTCTTAAAATGGCTAAATCTGAATGTTTTAAGTTCTAGTTTTAGTTCTGGCACTAAAACTAATACTAGATTTAGAACTGGAAACTTTCGGGTTTAGCCGCACGTCTTTCAAGACGGCTAAACCGCAATCTAACGCTGAATAAGAATTAAAACCGTAAATTAAATGTACACAGTAAATTTTTACTTAAAGAACATGTTTTTCTATTACGCCAAAAAATAAAATAAAAAAATTTGTTGCACAGTTGGTAGCAGTTGGCAAGAATAACAGGGAATTTTGTTATATCATGTTTTAAGCTCAGTATGTCATTCTGACATTTCAACTTTCATTATTTAAAAAGAACTTTGATTATATATAATATGGATTGAGCCAACGAGAGAAATAGCTTGCGCAAGGTGATCGAACCGAGATAGACATAGAAGCGTACTGACATATAAACAAAATTTAAAACAAAATTAATAAATGAAAAAAGAAAAAAAAATAAAATAAAATTTCCTTATTATTTATAATACTTACAGGTGATGTGAAACTGTATTATCGCGAACTTTGCACACGAAACAATACATTTTTAAACATAACGGTGTGACTGGCTGTGACACAACAAAACGATAAACGTCAAATGGAAGAGGATTGACACTTTTGTGCGCATGCGCCCGTCTGTTTAGTACCGTTTTATGTCTATCTTTGTTACACTTTCACATTATCGCTTTCCATCTGCGTCTATTCACCTTGAGCCACATTTTTGTTAGTAGATATATTCAGTTAGCTCAATCCATATTATATATAATCAAAGAAAAAGAACAAAAGTCAATTTTTGGTATTACATTTACATAGAAATGAGTAAAATAAAATAAACGTAAGAAAAACATACAACTTGTTGGAAGTTAAAAATGTTACTAAACATTACAAAAAAATTAAATAAATTTTATAAAGACCTTGCATAGTGCCAACAGAAACCGTAAAATTTGAATTTGACAGATATTAAAAAAAATAGGTTATGTTCATTTTTAAATTTCATTTTAGGTAATTTTCAAAAATGAATCAACTAAAGAATATTTATTATACGAAATCGAATTAAACGTTACTCAAGGTGATCCTCAAGAAGAAATAAATTTGATTGCTTGCGTTCGTCAAAAAGTGACTCGTGAAATAGCGTTGGAAAATCCTACAAAAAATCCTGTTGATTATAAATTATCATGCACAACACCGCTTTTGCAATTTCCACCCACTATTACGGTGGAGCCTTTAATCGAAGAAAAAGTTACATTAATTTTTTCCCCATTATTTATTGACGAACAAGAAGGTGTTTTAACTGTGGAATGTCCTGAATTGGGGAAATATTTGTATAAAATAGTTTTATCGGCAAAAGAACCGATTCCAGAACCTGCCGTTTATTTACGAAGCTGTCTCGGGCAAAGTTCCACACAAAAAGTACAAATTCATAATTTCACCACGGCGAAGTGCGAATACAAATTAAAAGTGGTTGAAGGAGAAGGTTTTAGTGTACGACCTGAATCTTTAACAATCGATCCTGAAGGGAATGGTTTTTTTGAAATCACTTTTACACCCAATAGTTTAGGAAACGTTGATGGTGTTTTAAAAGCAACTTCTGCAACTGCTGGAGAATTCACGTAATATATAATTTAAATTTTCCTTTTTTAATTATTTTGTTGATTTATGTTTTAGATATCCCATAAGAGGAGTTGGTGAGTTACCTAAACCTCAAGGTCCCATAAAAATCTCACCAATATATGGTGCTTTTATATTATTTAAAAATCCATTTAATGACGAAGTTCTTTTCGATTTTTTGATTGAATCTCAAGTGTTTTTCGTACAAAATAAAAGAGAAATTATACAACCCCTAGACACAGCTAGAATAGACCTTTACATGACACCTCCTGAATCTGAAATTTCAACAACAGATAAATATCCATATACAGGAAAATTAACAGTTGTTTGTTTAGAACCAACTTTGGGTAATATTAAGTGGGTTTATTATTTACAATCAGAATAAAAATATTTTTTTATTAATTAAAACAAATTAGTTTTCTTCCATTTTCATTTCATCATCCCAATTGACATCGTTTACCATTAAATCAACTTCACTTTGCGTTATAGAATTAGAACTTGGAGTGTTCTTTTGTGGTACTCTTGTAGATGATTTAGTTTCGTCGTTATTAGAAACACCACCTCGAATTTTTAAGCTTTCAGCAAAGTACTGATTTGGATGTGTCACTATCATTTTATTTTGTTGATCATGTATTGAGTCAAAACATTTCGAACATGCAATTTGGTAATGGCCTTTACTTGACATTTCAACAATATCAAAAATATCTACGAAATAAAAATTAATTTATTGAAAATTAATACATTAAATCAGTGATTCCCAAACTGAGAGGCGCACCCCCCTGGGGGACGTGAAGTAATGTTAAGGGTCTTTAACTTTAAGGGTCTCTTACAAATGTCATTGTACGTTAAACGTCATTTTGACGTTTAAATCTACAACACATTTTCCTAAAATGGTACCAACCTAAATTTTTGGAAATCTTGTTCAATAAAAAAAGATTAGTTCAATAAAAATATACAACAAACTAACGCTGAGTGACATCTAAAACTAGAACTAACACTAGACCTAGAACTAGAATCATTCGGGTTTAGCCGCACGTCTCTCAAGAGTTTCTAGTTCTAGGTCTAGTATTAGTTCAATAAAAATATGCAACATAGGAATATTGTATGCTAACTAGCGCTACCTACCACCTACCAGCCGTCTTAAGAGAGGTACCGCTAAACGGATTAGTCTCGTTTTATTTGTTATGCAGCGATTATTGTATATTTTTGTCCACAACTACCTTATAATATGTATATACTTTATAAATGAGATTTCTAAAACAAAAGGGTAGTTATTTTTCGCAGAATGAATAATAGCATACATTTACGGATAATCAACTTGACAGACTTGCATAATTATTTGAAACGTCAAAATTTCAAAAAACGTCAATTTAATTTTTTTAGGACTTTCTAAAGGTTTGACATTAAAAAAACGTAAACAAATTCCTTTTTCCTATGATTTAAGCATAAATTAATTAATTCTCGTCAAAAAAAACATGACGTTTCATAAAATTGACATTTAATTTTCACAAATTGTGTGAAGTTGGTTACAGTTGGTAACATTGAATTTGTGTCACATTGACGTTTAAACTTTATTCAAAAATTTATTAAAAAAAAATTTATGGAATAGTCGTGGACAAAGTATTTTTTGATTGATTTATTTTAATGGACATAGAATTTCCCATTTTATGGAAGAAATTCAGCACCGCCCTTCACATTAATGGTTCAATACTTAGATTTTTTGGTTAAATAAATTTGAATAAGTTAATAAAAAGTACAAGTTATCAATAAGCATTTTTTTAAGGCATGAGCATTATATGAAACCAGAAAGGGGACGCCATAGTAAAAAGTTTGGGAACCACTGCATTAAATGCTTACCTGGATCCCTAATTTTTGTTTCATGTAACTTAGCTTTTAAATTTGTTGGATCCCAATGTTTAAATGGACATCCATGATGTTCCCCTGGTCCAACATTAGAGTTAATAATTGCGTTACAACTGTATGGGGTGAAGTCAGTGCGGTTACCAACTTTTCCATACATATATTTCACCCAATAAGAATACTGCTTTTCGAAAGTTCCACTATCAATCCTCTTAGTGAATTCATCATGAAAAAATGTCATCGCATCCTCAAAATTAATTCCTATTCCTTTTATAAATAACCCAAAATGTAATCTGCATGTATATTTTAAACCATGTTCTTGTTTGAGGATTTTGTAAATGTGATTCATACATAAAGGAAAGTTTTCTCTTGCATAATAATCAATGTTTTCAATGGAAACGTTTGTTGTATTCTTTGGTATTGTATAATCATTCCCTTTGTAAATTTGATGAAGATTTGTTAAAAGGAAATTGATACGGTCATCATCCATGGATGGTAAACGTTTACTTGCATACTAAAAAGAGTTAATATAAAAATTTGATTTATTTTAAAAATTATATTTACAGCCAAAGCTTCATTTAAAGATGATCTAAACATCCCAGATATACAAGTAATCAATTCATAACTTGGAATGTATGCAAATCCTGCTTTAACCAAAACACTCCTATTTCTAATTAAAGTTGGAACTTCAAAGCAATTTACTTTATAAAAATCAACTGAATCAATGACATAAGTTCCAGAAGTAGAATCATATAATTCTTCATATAATTTACTTTTTTCTTCATCTGATATAGGTTTATAAACAAAGTTATTAATTTCCAGAAATTGTTCAATACTTTTTGAAGTTAATTGCGAATATCTTAACTTAAACCACTCTAATTCTCTAATTACAAACCATTGTCTTAGTGGTTCAGCACGACAATGAGCCAATCGTAATATAAAATGAGAGATATGATCAGCTCTTCGAGCTTGTAAATCAAGATCAGTTGGGGCGTTAGTCCCTGTTGATTTAGCTAGTTTATAAAACTTCTTTAAATTATTTTTTATTAATTCCGAATAAACCCACTCTTTCCAATCTGCACTAAAATGCTTAAACCCTTTTTGGGAAGCCTGTTCCAAAATTCTTAATAAATGTAACCGTTCCAAAGCTAATTCTTCAAATTCGGACAGTTGTATCTCATCGCCAGGAGGAGTTAAATACATTTGCAAATCGTGCGAATAAACATCTTTTAAAGAATTACTAATTATCGTTTTTTTAACTCGCTTTCGCCTATTTCCAATTAAATCCATTATTTTTCTTACAGAACTTTTTAACAATTCGCGCTAAAACTAACCTTTAAAACATCACGTCGATAATACAGAAATTTTCTTTTAATATATTATTAATTATTTATTTTAATTATAATTGCGTTAATGTTGATCCTATAGAATTTATGTAAAAATAAAATAATAAAAAAACAAATAATTAATAATTTAATAAAAGAAAATTTAATTTTAAACTAAAATCTCATCGATAAAATAGATTCCTGCATCTAACTTAACCTAAAATAAATTTGACGTTTGACAGAACTGAAAAATTTGTTGTCATCTTCAATACCTTTCGTCAGTGTGTATATTAAAAATGCCGAGTCAAGAGGTCACAACGAGCAAAGTGGTGGTTCACCCCCTTGTTTTATTAAGCGTGGTGGATCATTTTAATCGTATGGGAAAAATTGGTAATCAAAAACGTGTCGTCGGCGTGTTATTGGGTTGCTGGCGAGCTAAAGGGGTTCTTGATATATCAAATAGCTTCGCAGGTCTTTATTACTTTAATATTTTATTATTAACAATAATTACTCATCAATTATAATATAATATACATAATATTTATAATTTGCAGTTCCCTTTGATGAAGATGATAAAGATAAATCTGTATGGTTCTTGGATCATGATTATTTAGAAAATATGTATGGGATGTTTAAGAAAGTTAATGCAAGGGAAAAAGTGGTTGGTTGGTACCATACAGGTCCAAAATTACATCAAAACGACATAGCCATAAATGAATTAATAAGAAGATATTGTCCTAATTCAGTATTGGTGATAATTGATGCAAAACCGAAAGACTTAGGATTACCTACCGAAGCATATCAAGCAGTTGAAGAGGTCCACGATGATGGTTCACCTACATCTAAAACGTTTGAACATGTACCGAGTGAAATTGGTGCAGAAGAAGCTGAAGAAGTTGGAGTGGAACATCTTTTAAGAGATATAAAAGATACAACGGTTGGAACTTTATCTCAAAGAATAACAAATCAATTATTGGGTTTAAAAGGACTTCATTGTCAATTAAGGGACATTAGGGATTATTTGATACAAGTCAGCGAAGAAAAACTCCCCATTAACCATCAAATCGTATATCAGCTACAAGACATTTTTAATTTACTACCAGATATTAACAAGGATACTTTTAATAAGTCTTTTTATGTTAAAAATAACGATCAAATGCTTGTTGTTTATTTAGCAGCTATGGTCAGGTCAATTGTTGCCTTGCACAATTTGATTAATAACAAATTGACTAATAGGGATGCCGAGGAAGGTAAAAAGGAAGAGGCGAAAAAAGATAAGGACAACAAAGAAAAGGAAAAGGATAAAGATGCTAAGAAAGAAGAAAAGAAAAAATAATTTTAAGAATTTTTTTTTGTCAATTTAATTTAATTATTTTGTAAGCTGGTCAATAAAAAAATAAATAATTGATAATAAATTTTAAAAAGGTTTTAGCTTTCTTTTTATTATTAAAGCGAAATTTAATGAGATGATAAAATATTTTTATGCAACCCAAATCACATCTTTGCAAAATTTTAGTTTCAACCAAAATATTTCTAGAGGTTAGTTCTTTATAGAGGTTAAACTCGATCAAGATCTTTGTTTTATATTATGAACATTATTAAGTCAAACTAACAACATATCAAAACAGGAATAGAATAAATTAAGCATTTGCTAATACAAAGTGTGCAATAGTGGTTGCCTACCTATGCGTGACTATAACTAACAATTTAAATTTTTTCAAAAGCATTTAAGCTCATTTTCAAAATACTTAATGATAGTATTTATTTAACAATACTTTATTATTTATGCGAATTTAACACTACTATATTAAATAAAGGGTACCTTTACCCTTAAAATATCATATTCTAGGTGTCCTAAGACTTTAGAAGACAATTTATCGCCACTTTTCACTAGAGCGCTACCTCTTTTCATAAGCAGTCGCGTGTAAAATGAACATACCAAGCTCTGTTCTCAACAAGCACTTTGAGTTTGTTTTTGCAAGGAACAATTTGCGCTACGAAAATTTTTATTGTACTAAATTTAAAATAAGTGCCTTTTTGCATCGTTTTACTTAAATTTATTGTTGTTAAAGTGTTAGTTTAATAAATGATTAATGGTATGTAACTTTTAATTTTAAAATTTATTATTAAATGCTTTATCATTTTATTTTTAATGATTAATCACATTTATTTCAAAAAAAGAAGTAAAAAGACAATACATTATTGTTTTTCCTGTCATTATCCACACTTTACGCTTTACGGTTTTTATAAATAGAACTTTCCCTAACAAATTTTATGGCAACTTATTTGTTTTCTAAGAACATCAGTAATAATCATTTTATCATAAACAAATCAAATAATTTTATTTAAAATCAAAACATTAAAAGTTTTTTTTTCGCACAATCCCGTAGAAAAGCCTTCAGGTGTAAAAAGTAGGTTTACTCTTCTTGTCTTTTCCACGCTTTCCGACGCTCTGTTACGTATACGACGATTAAAATTACGCGTCCGGGTCGTTTACGTTTAAATCTCCACTAAAAACTTTTAAGAAAACAAAAATACTTTTACTTTCACTAAAAGAAGTAATTTGCAACTTCGTTAAACTTGGAATTAATTGGAATCCTATTTGAATTGGAAAATTTGGTTATGAATGAGTTGTTTTGAAGTATTTCTAGAAATTTTTGAAAGTATTAAGTACTCAAAAACCGTACTTGAAAGAAAAAACGGTAGAAAATTTGTTCTTTTTATAATTTCACATTGCTTGGGTTGTGTAATGTCTTCGAGATTCCGCTAGGACATAAAATCAGTTTGACTAACGCACCATGACAGAACCTTAATTTCAAAGAGACATATTTTTTGAAAACGAAGTTAATTAAAAAAATCTATCCATTGTTCTTAAACTTCTGATTACGAGAATCTTCCTTTCAACAATCGGTTTGGTCATCAACAATAGCTTACAACACACAAAACGCATCCGTTGCATTGTGACAAAAATTGGCCCAGTTCATTTCTCAATTCGTTTCTAACAAGAAACACGAAAACTTATTAGTTCCGTCAACAATAACATCGTTTTTTCAAACGAAAAAATAATACAATTTACAATCACGATTTCTTCATTTTTTTCCTTTTTACATAGAGAAATCTTTAGAATCATCTTTCCCCCCTTTAAAATACTTTATACACAAACATTTTGCATTAGTATATTATTCCTCTCTTCAGTGAAATTCGGTTTTTCGAAACGGTCAGTTGCCCCAATAGAAAATAAATTAGTACCTAGTTGATTAGAATCGTTTATTCAATTTTGTTAACAATAGTATTGCATTTCAATACTTTTAGGTGTGGATGTAACATTAACGGAAATTACAAAAAGTACATAAAGTACATGTAATAATTACAAAAAACGATTTTTGAAACGTTTATTGGTGATCATGTTGTTGTGGAGAGAAGATACTCAAGAAGTTTTAAAATGAAGAAATTTGTGGTGGTGTGGCTTTTAATTTGCATTAAGGGAATTATCTCGGAGTGTCCATCTCAAGAAACGATTTTACCATGTAGATGTCAAGAAAGAATTAATGATTATCAAATTTGGTAAATAATTTTTAATTATAATAATAATATACGGAAATTTTTATGATCTATACTTCTTAATATATAAAATAGTTAGAGCAAAGGATATGTTTTTACTTTTTCTTTTAATATGCACCGTTTTTGACTATGTTTTCTGAAGTACTAACACTGGATGGATTTTAATGTGGAGTGACTCAATAAAATGGTCCTTTTCCTACCACATACATTTCCTTGTGACTGTGTTATTTTAATACAATAAATGTACATTTGAATGTGGACTGCAATAAGACCAAAAATATTTTAGTATTTCTTTACTTTAAAAAAATGTAACTTAAAATTGACGTTTAATATGTCAAATATAACCTCAATTTAGTTGTCAACAAAAGATTAAAACTTTTCAGACAATTATTTTCATTTTATAATGGTAAATGTAAATGTTGTGTGTGCTTTCCTTTATTATATTCAAGCTGCACTAACCAGAATCAATAAAAAAATTGGTTTGAACTTTAATATCCACAATCTTTCTTATTTATTATGATTTATCTTTCTGATTTAGAGACAATCAATTTACCATAAAAAGTATTATGAGATTGTGTCGATTAACCATCGCAAGTACTAAAAAGAATTGAATTAATCTATGTACAAATTTAGGTAATAAACCGGTAAAAGAGGTAATAATAACAAAATGACATAAATGTATTACAAACTTTAACTGTCAACTTTCAGAGTTGCCAACCTACAATTTCATTCCTTACATCTCTTTAATTAAATTAATGATAACATATTGAAAAATTATTCACAACGGATTCTTTCTAAGACAAGCCATATTGAAAATATTTAATATCTCAAAATATCTTAACTTTTAGAGCGCAATTTTAACTAATTACATTTTTTGTAACTCCCTTTATATTCGTAATAGTCAATAAAAGATGGCGCTATTTTCACTACAAAATTAAACTTATTCATAATTAAGATGAAGGAAAATTATTAAAAAATTTCCGTATATTAATTTAATATGATTTAAACTATTTTAGGTGTTAACATAGAAATTTAACAAAATTAATAAAATAAAAAATATGTTTATGCAACCCAAATTACATCTTTGCAAAATTTAAGTCTCAATAAGCTAAACCAGAATATTTCTAGTCCTAGTGTTAGTTTTAGTTGTTATTCTGCGCTAGATTGTTGTATATGTTTAACACTAGACCTAAAAGTAGAAACATTCGGGTTTAGCCGTTTAGGAGTTGTACGACGAAACCCAAATGCTACTAGTTCTAATGTTAAGTTTAGTGCCAAACTAGAAACAATCTCTAGAGAAAACTTGTTGGTTTAAAATTTGTTGGGCTTTGTTAACAACATCTTTATGAATAAACCGGTAAAAGAGGTTACAAAAGTCACAAAATGACATATAAGTATTACAAAATTTAATTGTCAAATTTCAGAGTTGCCAACCTATAATTTAATTCCTTTACATCTTTTTAATAAAATATAAGATCCTTGGTTATAGATATAAACGGATTCTTTCTAAGACAAGCCATATTGAAAATATTTAATATCTTGACTTTCAGATCTCAATCTTAACTAATTAGTAATGACATTTTTTGACTCCTTTATATTCGTGATACTCAATAAAAGATGGCGCTATTTTACTACAAAATTAAATTTATTCTTAAGATGAAAATTATTAAAAATCTCCGTATATTAATTTAATATGATTATTTTTATTAATTTAAACTATTTTAGGTGTTCACATAGTGATTTGACAAGAGTCCTTTCGGCGTTTCCCTCAATCAATAAACAAATAGATCGTTCGATAGATGAATTAATCTTAGAGAATAACAATTTACCAGCACTTCCAGGAAAAACTTTTGCGAACTTAAAGGTTGTACGTTTAATGCTACGTTATAACCGATTAGAACGTGTCTCAAATTCTTGGTTAACCGGATTAGAAGATAGTTTGATGGAACTTTACTTAGTTGAGCCGGAATTAAAAAGTTTACCGGACGATTGCCTTTCAAGATTGGTTACTCTGGAAGCTGTGACGATTCAATCAAACATGTTGAAAAGATTACCCAGTTTTTCTTATTTACCAAATTTGAATTATTTGTTATTGGAATCCTCCATGTTAATGGAATTATCACCGAGAAATTTTAAGCAAGTTAATTCGTTAGAAAAAATTTTAATATCTGGGAGTTTGTTGTTAAATAAATTGGAAGAAGATGTGTTTCAAGATATACCAGCGTTAAAAGTTTTAAACATTTCTTATTGCGGGTTGTCTTTTATCCACCCAAGATCGATTACAAGATTACCATCGTTAACTCAACTTTCTTTAATTGGAAATAAATTAAATGATGCTCCAATGATTGGGAGAGCAATTAGGGATTTACCAAACTTACAAACATTACATTTAGATTGGAATAATATTGAAAAGTTAACTGAAGGAACATTTATTGATTTGCCATCGCTAAATTTATTATCAATTTCGAATAATCGTATTAAAGAAATTAATCGAGGTGTTTTTCACCGATTACCTATGTTAAAAACGATTAATCTTAATTATAATAATATAAAGAATATTCATCCGGAGAGTGTTTTAGCTTCAAATAGGATTCGAGATCTTTGGTTGAGTTATAACGAAATAACGTTAAATGGATTGGAAATTCGCGAGATTTTTGAGGCTTTCCCCAATTTAGCCTTTTTAGATTTGAGTTATAACCAGATTAAATCAATTCCTGGGGGGGCAATTCGGGGCCACTTAAATTTAGAGCGATTAAATTTAAATTACAACTTAATTAATGAGATTCATCAACTTGCATTTGTTGATTTACCCGTTTTGAGGGAGTTAAGTTTAAAAAATAATTCCTTATCGGATAGTTTTTATGAAAATGTTTATCCGTATTGGGATTTGCCAAATTTAAAAGGATTAGATTTATCTGGAAATTATTTTAATGTAATTGATGGGTGGTTTTTGAGGAATTTACCTTCGTTAAGAAGAATCGATTTGAGTTTAAACGGGATTAAGTTTATTAATCCTCGGGCGTTTTCGAATTCTCCTTTGTTGGAGTACGTCAATGTTTCGCATAATAAATTGGAGGATTTGCGTGATTTAATTAATGATTTAGCTGGATTGTACGAACTTGATGTGGGGTATAATAAATTGAAACAATTTATACCGTTTTTACCGAATGGTTTGGAGTATTTGCATTTAAAAAATAATGATATTTCGAATTTGCCGGATAAAAAGAGCCAAATTTTAGAGTTGCCTTATTTGAAATTGTTGGATTTATCCGGGAATAAAATAAAATACATCGAAGAAAATGGATTGAGGAAATTAATAGGGTTGAAAAAGTTGTTTTTAGGGAATAATTTAATAAGAAATGTAAATAATGCCGCTTTTGGTGGATTGATTAACTTGGAAATTTTGGATTTGCAACGAAACCAATTAAATCAAATCCCACAATATTTATTTTACGAATTGGTTCAATTGAAAGCGTTAAATTTGAAACGAAATAAGTTAATTGAGGTCGAAAAAAACGTTTTTAACAATAACGGGTACTTAAAAATGATTGATTTGAGCGAAAATCAAATTAAACAACTTCCAATTTTTGAAAATAATAAAATCGAAACCATAAACGCTTCATTTAACCAATTAACAACTTTACCTCAAAGTTTAAGTAAACTGGAATCGTTAAAAAACTTAGATTTAACCAACAATAAAATAAAGGAGTTGATTAATTTATCAAGCTTAAAATCACTCGTTGAATTAAAAGTATCAAACAATAAAATTCAAAATATTAAATCATCGACGTTTGAGGATTTGGAAAACATAAAAATTATTTATTTAAACAACAACGAAATCGTCCAAATCGAAACGAATTCGTTTAATTCACTTCCCGCTTTAAAACACGTTAAATTAAACGATAACAAATTAAGTTATCTCCCTAATTTTGCCTTCAACAATCTCGGGAATCTCCAAATTTTAGAGCTACAAAAAAATTTAATCGAAAAAATCTCCAAAAACGCTTTCCACCAAATCCCCCACATATTAATGTTAAATTTAAGCAATAACTTAATTTTTGAAATGAACCAAGCCGGGTTGGGCACATTAAAAAGTCTCGAAATGTTAGATTTGAGTTATAATCGCCTGGTGGAGGTTGAAACAGAAAATTTAGACAACATGGAGTGGTTGGTTGAGTTAAAAATTGATAATAACGCAATTTGTGGTGTAAAAGGGATTAGTTTTAATAAAATGCCCAGATTAAGAGTGTTAAGTTTAAGAAATAACAAAATGATGTCATTCCCTGAACGAGCTGTAAATAAATTGAGGGGGAATTTAGCTATTTTGGATATTGACGGAAATCCTTTAGCTTGTACTTGTAGTCTTTTATGGTTAAGGGCTTGGTTGAAGGAGTCATTAACGAAAGGGCCAAGATGTATCGATGGAAATTTATTGATTGATTCAAGATTATCACGAGATGATTGCCTCCAAGAATCGCGCCTTTTAGATCCTGTAGCCGAAGGATGCGAAAGCGAATTGTTATCTTTACCGAATCCTTATGATGGGACTAATTTGTATACCCCATGGATGAAATCGAATAATTCTGAAAAAATTAACACAAAGAATCAAATTAATCCGGAAGATTCCGATTATTTTTATGACGAATACATCGATTACCATCTTAACGAGACTTTAAACGACGTCAAAAATCTCCCAATCGAGCACAAATCTTCAACTGAAAAAATTAATTTGGGGAACACCCCCACTATTTACGCAGCAATAAATAAAAATCAAAATCACACGAAAAATATACCAAAAGAAATCGTTGGGTCACCGAGTTCGAGTGGATTTACATTTTTTGGGCTCCCACTCCCCACGATTAATTTAAACAACATTTTTAATAATAGAAATTCAAATAAAAAGACTTTAGAAACAAAGCCGTTAAAAGTAATGGAAACTCCTCCGCAAGCTGAACGAAAAATATCGATTTTAAATAAGCCTTCACGCGAAGATTCAAGTAGAAAAATGTTTCCGATTTTATCCAAACCGGAAATCCAATCTGGATTTATTCCGTTATTACCCGAAAGTGGAGGATTTAAACCAATTCCTAACCCGAATTTAAAAGGATCCGAAATACAAATTGAAAAGGCCGAAATAAATGTAACTAAATTTGATCAATCTCAAACTGAAAGTTATCTTTTTACAAAAAATTTTCACCCTATACCAACGCCGAGTAATCAAATAATTCCTGCAACGACGGAAATTCCAAATAAAATCAAAACGAATATTTTCGTTGAACCCAAAAACGAATCAACCACAAATAAATCGAAATTAAAACCGGTTGAAATCGAACAAATCAAAAATATTTCCGAATTTCTCTCAACGACAACTTCGCTTCCCGTTAAATTAGAAAATACTACTTATCCCGATTTGGAGACGAGCGGGGATAATAAAAGTTTTGAGGATATTTTTAAAGATGTTGTTGAAAACGTTTCTTTTCCGTCAATAATTAATTTGTCAACGATAAATTTTAACCAAGTCGCAACATCAACTACACCGATTCCTAATTTTGTGTCTAAATTGCATGATGAAAAAGTTGAGAAAAAATTGATTGTACAAAAACCGGCTTTATTAATTCCCGGGGGATTTCAACCGCCTTATAAGCCGTCGGGAAAGTCAAAAATTACTAAAGTTACGTCACCGTTTTCTACGAAACCACCGCCGAAATTACAGGAAAAAGAAACCGCCGAAAATGATTATGATCTAATCACTACTGATATCATGGAAATTGATAAAAGTTGGTATTTTGCTAGTTATAATGAAAAGAAGCAAGCGTCTAATTATAATTATTATGGACAAAATTGTTCGGGGAGAAAAGAAATTGTTAGTAGGTATATGTTCTTAATTGTATTTGTAAAATTATTTTTATAAAGTTATATATTATAATAAATTTATGTAGAATAAGAATAAAACTAAAATGATTGAATTAAAGTTTTATTTAACACATATTATTCATGGTTTGTCAGTTTGATAACCTCTTCGTGGAGAGATAAATTTGTATTTATCGTTCATTTCCCGAGTAAATAATAAATGTGATAAATGCGGTTTGTGTACAATGGTAATGAGCTAGACAATAACTGATAAATTTTATTTTAAAATATATTAAAAGATATTGTATACAAATAATAATATACAGTGACTTTCACTTGACCAAGTTTGGGGGTGATGGAAAAATTCAAGGGACTACCTAATTGCTTTGATTCTTGCTTTCCTATACTACTTAGAAAAAGTACTTCTAAAAAAATAAAGCAATATTCTAAGAGAAATCCTAAGGTTTCCTGGCACTTTGAAACCTTATTCTGCTAAACTTGTGGGGATGATTAGACTTTTGCTAAATTCCAAGTTGTCTTTCTTCATAAAACCACGTGTATCATCCTTTCGTGATTTTAAGAGTTTAACACTGTATTTAACTATTCCTCATGTCCTAATTTCTTTTTAAGAAAGTTTAAATATTTGTTATTACCCACCTTTCCAGTACACGTGGCGGACTACGAGTCCATAATTGACAATAAAACTATAAACATTCAGGTTTACCCGTCTTAACAAACGTACGCTTAAATTAATTCAAAAAATAATTCCATTTTAATTAAGTATTCGAAACGTCAATTTAGTTTTAATGTCAACTTTGACATTGATAGAAATGTTTTAGTTTGATATCAAATTGAACTAATTCTAAATTTGACGTTTGACGTTGACGAGTTTAGTGATTTTGTAAATTAGATGAATTGACATAAGTTAAAACGTTTCTTATTGATTCTTTTTCTTAAAAATTCTAAACCCGAATGTTTCTAGAACTAACATTAAATCTAGAACTAGAAACATTAGGGTTAATTTATTAGAATTGTAATTGCCTGTCATTAATACCGAATTAGCTGTCCAACAAGAGATGGCGCTAGTGCGAAATAAGAAATTTAAATTAAGCGAACTGTCAATTCGCGTGCGTTTATTGAAAAGTTAATAGATCAAATCAATTTATAGATCACAGGATTCGTGACGCAAGATGAGTTTTCTATAATCCAATAATGGATGTTATACTATTTTTGTGGTCGAAATAGTTCCTTGGGGAGGCAGAGTGTTAGCCCTAATTTGGCACACAATATTCTGTTTGAAGGGTCATCATCAGCCCATTATTTGTTACGCCATACTTGGCGCCTAGGCCTCTTCTCTGCCTGTAAAGTTGGCAGCTTACATTACATTACAGGTGGACCTACTGTTCATAGTGGATTATGAGATTTGCAAAGATATCAAAGAAGTCAAGTTACACAAGTTATCCCACAGTTTCTGAATATTGAAATATTTTATAAAGATTTTAAGAAATATCAGGAATTTCTGCACAATATTTTTAGAAATTTCTAAAGGTATCTTAAGCACTTAAGATTTCCTCGGACTTTTTAGGTTTTCAACGATATCAAGCAGTTTCTAAACGTGGCCTGAGATTTATGGAGTGCTTTCAAAAAGTTTTAGAAGATTTGTGAAAAGAGATTCAAAAGATTTTCAAAAACGTTTCTTGGTACTTTTAGAGAATTAATTTAAAAATGACTTTTATAAAATAAACAATAATGTAAGCATCTGATAACGGTGAAACGAAATTTATTATTAACTGGGACACTGAGTATTCTTTAACGTTGACCTCTAAACTAAGACCTTGTAACACAAAATAGAATGAGAGACAACAGAAACGCCTCCGGGGCATAAATAGTATTGATTACCACCTGAACAGGTTCAAAATGATGTCACCTTTCAAAAGGTTTCTCCCCACCCATAAAAACCGCAATTAAAAATCATTTATTAAAATACGCATTACACTCAAAAAAGAATTTATAGTTTTTAACGATTCCTCTTATAGTATTATTAGAAATCACTTCCTTTTCTGTTTAATCTCATTTTATGCTTTGGAAACATCGATGAATCACACACTTGGACCGTGTATAAAATCAGTACGCAAGTTTAAATTGTCTTAGTGTGTCGGTTTTTCTTATCGAAGAATGTCGACTGGAGACGTTGAGTAATTTTTAACACTTTTAATTTGAATTTCCGGGATGTGAGTGTGTTTGTTGGAGAAACGGAAAACCAGAACTTAATATCCCGCGAAATACTTGGTTGGTTTAGATAACGAAAGAATCCCGGAACGTTAACATCATGAAGTGTACAACGTGTGTGTTAGGAATTTGTTTAATAATTATTTCGGTGGTTGATGGACAAAACGTTTTAAATTGTGAAGATCAAGAAAATTGTGGGAAATGTATACAACAACCTGGTTGTGTTTGGTGTTCAGCTCCGGTAAGTACAAAATTTATGATTTGAAATTTGAATCATTTCTTTTATTGGAAGATTTTCTTACTCACAACAAAAGTGAGTAATCCGTTTCTGATACACAAATGACTAATACCTTTTGGAAAGTTGAGTTTTGTCATTTTGAATACGTTAAAGTTTTTTAGAACTTGATTTTGTAAATATTGAGTTAATGATCACAAAGTTAATAAAATTTGTTTATTTTTTCTTTTAGAATATACCAGGAACTCCTCAATGTCGTTTAGAGATCGAAATCAAATCGTTGAAAATAAATTCTAACTGGTGTCCAGAAAATGAAATAATATCACCCCAAATCGAATACAACATCACGCAAAATATCGATTTAAACGATGGTAAAACTGGATCCGCCGTTCAAATTAAGCCGCAAAGAGTTAAATTGCGATTACGTCGTGGAGAAGAATACAAACTTTCATTTCAATATTCAAAAGCAGCGAATTATCCGATCGATCTATACTATTTGATGGATCTTTCGAAATCGATGGCAGATCATAAAGATAAATTGGCTCAATTGGGTAACGAATTAGTGAGCGTTATGAAAAATATTACAACCGATTTTCGACTGGGTTTTGGTAGCTTTGTTGATAAAATTGCACTTCCATTTACAAGTACTCATCCAAGCAAGTAAGATTATATTATTTTCTTTAATTACTTTGATTATAAATTATTTTTTCTTTTTTAGAATCAATGAACCTTGCACAGGTTGCGTCCCAGCTTACAGTTACAAAAATCACCTTTCCTTAACAAGGGATCATCAAAAATTTTCAACCCAAGTCGGTAATGCAAAAGTATCTGGTAATTTAGATTTTCCCGAAGGCGGTTTTGACGCTTTAATGCAAGCCATCGTTTGCAAAAATGAAATCGGTTGGAGAGAAGATGCCAGACATATGTTGATTTTTTCAACGGACGCGGATTCGCACGTTGCGGGCGATGGTCGATTAGCTGGAGCTATTGAACCAAACGATGCTATGTGTCACCTTGAAAATAATAGTTACACAACGAAAGCTTTGCAATACGATTACCCTTCAGTTTCACATCTGAATTATGTAGCTAAACAAAATAATATTAACATTATGTTTGCTATTGCCGGGACAAATCAGGGTAGTAGTGATAGAGTTGTTAAATGGTACAACGATTTAAAACCGAATATTGAAAATTCTGTGGTTGGGGTACTGGAAAGAGATTCGTCAAATGTTGTACAATTAGTTCTTGAAAATTATAATGTAAGTAAACTTTTTTTTATTTATAAAATTTTAAATTTCAAACTAGCGCCATCTTTTGTTGACTAGTTGTTTCAATGATTTTGACAATAAAATAACCTATAAAATTAATTATTTTTTTTTTAGAAAATTGTTGATTCAATTCGAATAACGGACAACTCATCCAGCACGATCGACATTAAATACGAATCCCCATGTTTTACTTTAGACGATAACATTTGCAATAACATAACAGTGGGAAAATCAGTAAATTTCACCGCTGTTATAAAACCAATAGAATGTTCATCGGGTAAACAATTAATTCAAATAAAACCTGAAGGAGTATCGGAATCTTTAATTGTTGAATTAGAAATAGAATGTAGTTGTTCTTGTGAAAAACAAGGGGAATACGTAACTTCATCGCCGGATTGTTCTTATAACGGAACGAAAATTTGCGGCGTTTGCGAATGCGATAAAGGATTTTTTGGGAAAAATTGCGAATGTAACCAAGAAACGGCATCTTCAACAGACGATTCCAGTTGTAAACGGAAACCTACCGATTCGGAAGTTTGTAGTGGATTGGGAACGTGTAAATGCGGAAAATGTATCTGCCAAGATAGACCTGGACAAGAATTTATTTATGGAAAATATTGTGAATGTAATAATTATTCATGCAAACGTATTAAAGGATTACTTTGTTCGGGTGAAGATCGTGGAAAATGCGAATGTGGGCAATGTTCTTGTTTACCAGGATGGACCGGAGATGCTTGCGATTGCTCCAACAGAAACGATACCTGCATTTCACAAACTGGTAATGGGTTAATTTGCTCAGGACATGGAAATTGCGTTTGCGGAGAATGCCAGTGTAATCAAGACGGTTATAAATACTCAGGAAATCATTGCGAAGAATGCGCTTCTTGCCCAGGACAAAGATGTGAAGAATTACATCCTTGCGTTGAATGTCAAGTTTTCAAAACCGGAAAATACAACGAATCTCACTGCGAAATGGTTTGTATCGATTTTAACACAACAACAGTTACTAAAATTGAAGAAGACACTGAAAATCATGATATAAAAACCTGTCGCGTTTTCGACGATGAAGGTTGTGCCATTTTATTCCAATATCAATACGGTGCGAACAAAGAACTGATTGTTGTTGCACAAGATCATAAAGAATGTCCGGAACCAGTTGATATTCTAGTCGTTATTTTAAGTGTAATTGCAAGTATCGTACTTGGTGGATTAATTTTATTAATTATTTGGAAAGTTCTTACTTCTATTCACGATAAAATTGAGTACGAAAAATTTGAGAAAGAACGTAAAGAAGCAAAATTCGATGTTGGTCAAAATCCTTTATATAAAGGTGCAAGTACTACCTTTCAAAATCCCACTTATAGAAAATAATTTGTATTTTAAAGAGACTGATATTAATAATAATAATAAGCTATTCCTAAATCGTACACAACAAATTTGCCAAGTAATTTAATTATTTAGGAACACAATCGTTTATTGCCATCTTAAATTTATAAATCTAGATGTGTCTTATTTATTAAAAAAACTTTTATGCCAAAAAATTAAAGTCAATATTTTAATGATTGTACAGTGAATAAATTAATATATTTAAATAAAAGTTCTATCTCAATCGTTCGTCTTTCTTTAAACATTAAATTGTTTTCCTTCGATATAAACAATTAATTAAAATTCCAAGCACACACATTTAAGAAAAAGAATACCAACATCCGGTACGTCAAACAAAAAACGGAAACCAAATACCACAAACACCGCGTTACTCACCAAAAACGTATTACAACGAGATATAGAAGCTTAAAATAATAGATTTGTGCCACAATTACAAAATGTTTCTAATAAGTGTGTTCTATCTTTTAAACGTGATTTTTGTGAGCGCCAATAATAATATTGATTGTGAGAGTTTAATAACTTGTAATAAATGTATTCAACAGTTTAATTGTATGTGGTGTTCGGAGCCGGTAAGAATTGTTTCAATTTTTTAAAACGATAAAATCAATACGTTTTTTCTTTAAAGATTAACATTGAACATAAAAAATGTCGTTTAGATACAAACGATCAAAATTTAACATCGAAATGGTGTTTACCAGAAAAATTAATGCGTCCTAAACAATCCGTTGAAATTATAAACGATAAAAATTTTAACGATGGAAAAGATGGTGTTGCAGTTCAATTAAAACCGCAATTAATAAATTTAAAACTACGTCTAGGAGAATCGTTTAATCTGCCTTTTCAATATTCAAGGGCTGCTAATTATCCGGTTGATCTTTATTATTTAATGGATATGTCACATTCGATGATTAATCATAAGGAGAATGTAGCAAATTTAGGGAAAAAATTAGCTGAAGTTATGGTTAACATTACGACCGATTTTCGTTTGGGATTTGGTACTTTTGTTGATAAAACGAGTGCACCTTTTATAAGTATGCATCCATATAAGTAAGTTTTGAGTAAATGAATTATGGTAAAACTTTGATATAATGGATCTCGTTAAAACGGGCTATTTAGCGCTAGATTGTTTGAAAATGTAACTTTTTCTTCGATTAAAGATGCCACTGTAACAGCAGGTGGTAATTGTAAAAGCGGTTTAACCGTGCGTCATCAAACTAGCACTACAACAATTTAGAAATGAATCACAGTTAAAACTAGAACTAGCACTAGAACTAGAAACATTCGGGTTTAGCCCCACGTCTCTTAAGACAGCTAAACCCGAATGTTTGTAGTTCTAGGTGTAGTGTTAGTTTTAATGTCAGAACTAAAACTAGAACTAACATTAGACCTAGAAAGTTTAGGGTTTGGAACTAGACTTTAAATCCCAAAACACATATTTTCGGTATGCTTAAATCGGAAATTCATTCTCGACCGAAAATCGAAGATGTTTACAAACCAAACTCTTCCAGATTCCATACTATTCCAATTATTTCTATTGATGATTCTGAATAGTTTTAGTAAATCGTTCTTTTTATCTCTCATCACTAAATTCATATTATTTTATTTTTATTATTAAGTATGTGCTGCCATCTATTATCACCTTTAAGTACTTGAAAAGTGAAATATTTTAAGTTATGAAAATAATTAATTAAAATTGAATTGAACATAAAAATTATTAAAATTATTACTCATATGTTAAGAAATACATAAAAAATTGTTATATTATAGGGATTGTATTAAAAATTATAGTTGGAAAAATTTTGAGGTTAAAATTTAAAATTGACAGATAACTGTCAGTTTGATTTGTCAAGTTTAACGTTTTAAATTTTAATTAAATAAAATTGAATTGAACAATTAAAATAATTAATCATATGTTAAGAAATACATCAAAAATTCTAGTGTAGAACGAGTTTAGCAGTCTAGCGACAAATCTAGCGCTGAATAACAAGAATTTTTTGTTCGCATTAAAAATTTTTTATATAACAAACATTTAGTTATAACAAACAGTCCCTTCGCCATATTAATCCGTTATATCAAAGTTTTACTGTAATTACAAACGCAAATACAAATTTTTTAGGTTAAATAATCCATGTACGAAACGGATGGAAGCTGGAAAATTTAAGTGTATTAAACCATACAGTTATAAAAACTATTTAAGTTTAACTAACAACACAAGCATATTTTCACAAAAAGTACAATCAGCAAGGCCATCAAGCAACGTTGATAGTCCAGAAGGTGGTTTTGATGCTTTAATGCAAGCAATAGTTTGTAAAAATGCTATTGGGTGGAGAGAAGATGCAAGGCATCTTTTAATATTTTCAACGGACGCCGAATCTCACATTGCCGGAGATGGTAGATTGGCCGGAGTGTATTCCCCAAACGACGGCCAATGCAGATTAAACAATAACGAATATTTATTAAATTTACAATATGATTACCCATCAGTTTCCCATTTAAATCACATAGCAAAAGAAAATAACATCATCGTAATTTTTGCGATCGCCAATACCGTTAAAACGCGTGTAAAAAAATTTTATGAAAATCTAATCAAACACAAATTGTTCGAAAATTCGAAACTTGGAATTTTAGATGAAAGTTCAAACAACATTCTTAAATTGATTGTGGATAATTACGAAGTAAGAATTTTGAATAATTCCACGGATTTTTTTATAGATTTATTTTAATTTCAGAAAATTGTTGATTCGGTTTTAATAACATCAAACGCCTCAAAATCGGTTGATATCACCTACAAATCATCGTGTGGACAAGATAATAGTTGCACAAACATTCATATCGGGGATGTTATTAATTTCACAGCGACAATAAAACCGACGGAATGCAAATCGGAAGTTATCCAATTAAAACCTGAAGGTGTTGCAGAATCAGTTTTAATCAATCTAACCGTTATATGCGAATGTGAATGCGAAAAACCTGGTCATTCCGGATTTATTCCATCATCTCCGAAATGTTCCGGAAAAGGATCCGAGGTTTGTGGCGTTTGTCAATGTGATCAAGGTTATTTTGGAAACACATGCGAATGCGATAACAACAAAATCATCAATATCAACACAACCGTTTGCCAGAAAGACGAAAACAGCCCGGTTTGTTCAAACAATGGCATTTGTAAATGTGGTACTTGCATATGTGACAAATCAATGTATGGGAAATATTGCGAATGCAATAATTATTCTTGTAAGCGACAAAAAGAATTGTTGTGTTCCGGAGAGGATCATGGCCGCTGCGATTGTGGTGAATGTAAATGTTTTCCGGGATGGAAAGGAGATGATTGCGGATGTTTAGATAAAGATGATTTGTGTATTTCACCAAATGGAAATGGACAAATTTGTTCTGGACATGGTACGTGCGAATGCGGACAATGTGTATGTAAAAACGATGAAAATAAATATTTTGGGAAGTTTTGTGAGGAGTGTCCAAGTTGTGAAGGTCAAAGGTAATTTAATAGTAATATGGGATGTTTTAAAATCAAAATTTAAGAAAAAAAAAATAATAAAGATAACCAATTTAAAGTAACGAAATATAAATATGTTTAAAGAATGATAAGATACGAAGAAGCCCGGATGTTATTCACACGTTAATCATAAAAAGTTGATAAAACCAGGTTGTGTACTTTTGCTTTTCCGGTTCGCTTTTGCTTTTGAAATATCCCATATTTATAAAAGAAAAAGAATTAATAATATTTTCCTAGATGTAACGATCTTCGTCCATGCGTTGAATGTCAAATATTTAAAACAGGAATTTACAATCAAATTGAATGCAAAAATAAATGTACAGAATTCAAAGCCAGTGAAGTAACCAAAATACGCGAAGACAACGAAGATCTCGATATTAAGATATGTTCCGTATTCGATAATGTTAACTGCACAATTTTGTTTCAATATAAATACAATTTGGAGAACGAACTCGTGGTTGAAGTTCAAACTGAAAAGAGATGCTTCACGCCTTTAGATCTATTTGGTAAATTTCTTGATATTTATGAGTTTTTAAATACATAATATTGTTTTTAGTAATCGGACTTAGCATTCTTGGTAGCGTAATTTTGATTGGAATAATTACACTTATCATATGGAAAATTGTCACAACAATTCATGATAAAGCGGAGTATGAAAAGTTCGAAAAAGAACGTCAGGAATCGAAATGGAACCCCGGAGAGAATCCGCTTTATGTCGAAGCCACCAGAACATTTCAAAATCCGACGTACAGATTTACATAATAAATTGTAATAATTATAGAACGCCAATAAAAATTTAGATTTAATGCTTCTTTCCACTAATTTATCTAAAAGGTGCGATACCACCTCTTTATAAAATTATCATTATCATTAACCAAACATTGAACTTACTCAGTCTGCAAATAAATATTTACCTTTTTATCAAAATTCAATTTGTACATTTATATTTCAAAAATGTATCAGTTATAATCAAAATGTTAACGAAATTGATGGTACTTCTTCTGTTAGTTCAGATTAATATTGCGCAAAATAATGATTGTCAACATGTAGCAACGTGTGGTGAGTGCATTCAAAAACCAGAATGTGTTTGGTGTCATGATCCAGAAGTAAGTACGCCGATTCCATTTAATTAATGTGTCAATAATAACATATAACCAAATACAGGATAATACAAGGCACTGTCAAATCAAGAACATCTCCCAATGTAAATCAAAAGAAATTGTAAATCATACCTTAACAATCATAAAAGACAACGATCTATCATCTGATATAAATTCAAAATCATTCGTTCAAATAAAACCTCAACACGTTAAACTAACGATCCCAAAAAATCAAGAACACAGTATAAAATTTAAATTTGCCAGGGCTCAAAATCCTCTTGATCTATACTTTTTGATGGATGCGTCTTATACGATGAGACAGTACAAAACACTAATATCGGAGTTGGTGGAAAAATTGGTTAAAGAAATTAAAGGCCATACCACTGAGTATAAATTAGGATTCGGGACATTCGTCGATAAAATCGTCCCACCATTCAATTATGATGGGTAAATCTTATAAAGAATTGTTGTTGAAAGTCTTTAATAAATGAAATTTTAGGTATTCATCAAACCAATGCAAAGAATGTATGAATGGGTACACTTTTAAGAACCAATTAAGTCTTACAGAGGATGTCGACGAATTTAAAATAAAGATAAACAATACTCCAACGGCAACTAACATAGACGCACCCGAGGGGGGTTTAGAAGCACTATTACAAGTTATCGCTTGCAAGAAAAAGATCGGATGGAAAGATAATTCTACAAGACTGGTTGTTTTCACAACGGACGATTATTCCCATATAGCAGGAGATGGTAGATTAGGTGGAGCCATTCATCCAAGTGACGGTACATGTTATACAAACGAGAACGACGCTCACATATATGATTATCCTTCTATTTCCCATATAAGTTATCTAGCAGAAGAGCATGGCGTACATGTTATTTTTGCAATTGCTGAAGGTAGCACTCGTACTGCAGAAGAGAACTACAAAATACAACAGAGTTATAAAGAAATGAGCAACAATGCTAGATTATCAAAATACAGTAAATTAACTTATAATAGCAACGATATTATTAAACTTGTTACAGAGACATACACGGTAAGTAAAAAGAACGGAAATAGAGATAAATACATACAGTGAATTCAACATGAACATTCGGGTTTTAGCCTGAACTTTCTAGTTCTAAGTTTAGTGTTTGGTTTTACACTAAGAGTATCACTAGAACTAACATAAAACCTAGAACTAGAATCATTCGGGTTTAGCCGTCTTTAGAGACGTGCGACTAAATCCGAATGTTTCTAGTTCTTGGTCTAATGTTAGTTCTAGTTTTGCACTAGCGCTATCACTAGAACTAACATAAGACCTAGAACTAGAAACATTTGGGATTAGCCGTCTTGTATCTAGTTCTAGGTCTAATGTTAGTTCTAGTGACAGTGGTAGTAGCACTAGTTAGCATAAGATATAACTATGTTGCATATTTTTATTGACCTGTATTATAGGAAATTTTACGATCTGTAAAAATGTCTCATAATTTTGATAAATCAAAATTCGAAGTGAAATTCAAAGCGAAATGTTCAAAAAATTCCGATGTTGAAGAGAAAGATAATTGTGATAACGTTAAAATCGGCAAAGAAATTGAATTCGAAGCGATAATTAAACCAGTCGATTGTTCTGGAACTAAGGAACAATACGTAATAAAAGCGGACGGTATCGATGAAAGTTTAATAGTAGATTTGGAGGTAATTTGCAACTGTACTTGTGAAAACGAGATATCAAAAAACCCAGTTGAAAACTGCAGTAACGCTGGCTACAAAAAATGCGGACAATGTGTATGCAATGACGGGCATACCGGAATACATTGCGAATGTTCCACAGAAGACAAAGCCAAAAATGCCACGTGTATTGATTCTGATACGAAATTAACATGTAATAACAAAGGAATTTGTAATTGTGGTGTATGTGAATGCAACGCTAATTATTATGGTACGTTTTGTTTGTGCGAAGACGTATCGTGTCCTAGAAAAAATGGTGAACTTTGTAGCGGAAAAGATCACGGAAATTGTAAATGTGGAAAATGCGAGTGTTTACCTAGTTGGAGCGGAGAAGATTGTTCATGTCTAAAAGCAAAAACTCCGTGTATTGCTCCTTATAGCGATGGGACACACTGTTCGGGACAAGGAGACTGCATTTGTGGAAAATGTCAATGCAAAACTGATTATTTTGGAGAATTTTGTGAAGGCTGTAAAGGATGTGAATGGTACAAAAATTATTCATTATATTATTTAAGTTTAATTTTATTTATATTATTTTAGGTGCGATGATTTAGATCCGTGTGTAAAAGCGTATTTAGAAGATTCAAACGTTGCAGAAGAAAAAAGAATAAATTGCAGCAGTGTTAATATAATTCCAAGGAGTAATGCTAGCAGTGAGTTTTACGATAACGAATGGAAGAAATGTTTATTATCAGGAACGTTAGGCTGTAACACAGCTTATAAATATAAAATCGATGATAAACAAATTTTAATAGAAATTGGCGAAGAAATTTGTCCATTTGTAGCTAGTATAGAGGGGCTTTTATTAGTCACACTCCTACCAATCTTAATAGGAGGTATAATCGCTTTCTTAGCATGGAAAGCTATCGTTACCGTCAAAGACGGAAGAGAATACGCACGATTTTGTGAGAAAAAGAAACTAGAAAAATGGAGCGCTGAGGAAAATCCTTTGTACAAAGAAGTTAAAGTTTGTTATAAAAACCCAACATTTCATGATAAATCAACAAAATCATAAAGGATATGATTTTTATAAGGGAATAAATTTTTATAACTATATTCTAAATAAAAATTTTTAATTAAATAATTATTATTTATTGTATATGATGTGAAACATTCTCATCTAAAGGATTTTTATGATCCGATGTATTCGCCCTTGCCTCATAAGTACAAATTGTAACCCCATGTCGATGAGCTTCTGTAAAATCACCTCTCAACCCAATATAATAAACTCTCGAAGTTTCAGCACCAAAATTAGTGGGAAAATGAATTGTCAAGTGATAAACCGTATTGAAAGTAACAACCCTACAATTTCAACTCTATCAATACTTACCAAAAAATAAATGATCAACAATTAACAGTGTAAAACCACTTACTTAGTGTTATACTCCAAAGTGCCATTAACATCAGCATGTAAATCAAATTCTTGATCCGGTGCACAACTTACATCGTCGAAAGTCATTCTTGGTCTATTTTTAAACCTAAAACATATTTTAAAATTATAATAAATCTATTAAATAATTTTATTTTTTTTAATACAATCTCATTTTTGAAGGATGTGAATCCGCATCTCCTCCGATAACAATAATCCCTTTCAATTTTACATTTCCAGTAAATGGTATATTAAACAATAACTCCTCATCCGCATCTGAATCTACAAACTTTAAAACAGCATTAAATTCAGCATAAACACAGAAAAAATATTACAATTTCAAAATTTAACCTCTCTTCCCAAGGTTTAAAAACAGTCTTTCCAGAACCGTCCACCGATTCATTTAAACATTCCAAATTGTCTTTATCGATTTTAGAGTATAGACTGTACTCAAGCCCCATTTCGGGGCTTTCATGGTGATCATGATCGCCTTCACAACTATGTTTACTTCCGTGACCGTGAGGTGCCATTTTAACAACTTTTATAGGTTATGTTTTTAGCTTTTTTGTAATAAATAGCGAATATTACTCTTCTTTTACCTAATTAAGAATTTTGAAGTTGTAGATTACTTTTATAGTTTAGAATTCAATAAATTACTTATTATTATTAAATAAACAATAAGAATTAATGATAATTTCGGTAACTTTTTAAATTTTGCTCTCAAAAGTGACAGTCATCCGAAATACCAAAATTAAAAAAACTAAACATTACCAACCTAACATATAAAATAAGATTTCGGGTATTAAAAAATTATTATAATTTATTATTATTTTATTTATTTATAGTCTTGAAATATAAGAGAATATAAACTGCTGAATTTTTTAAATAAACAAAGAAAATCATTTCAATTACTTGTTATTAAATTACTCTGTAATGTTAGTTGCCTAATTTTTAATTTGACTTTTCTTGTAATTAAAAAATCATTAAAAATTCGAACAAAAGCAGGTAATTTATTAATATATGTATTATAATATCGTGTACTATACATTCCATTTCGTTTCAAACGTTAATGTCAATCACAAAAATTTGCTTTCACATTTAAAAAAATTTAAGCTCCAAAATATAAAAACAATCTGATTTTGTCTGAAAAATTGATTCTTTTTATATATTATATACATATTCATACTTAAATGTACATACTCTGTAAGTGCTTACCAACAAAAACATTGTATATTGACTAGCATACAAATTATTCTATTTTTAAGCTACTCTATAGACCGTTTTTTGCAAATTTGCATAAATTAACAGTGTTTGGTAACAAACTTTTCTTCATTCACATATAATTAAATTTGGTTTTGCTAAGACTTAAACGAAAACACAAATACCACTTATATCTAAAAGAACAATTCGTAAGCACACTTAACTAGCGGTAAAAAAATAAAAATCTTAAGTAGTCTCTTCAGTTTCATTCTTTTTTTCTACTTTTTCATTATCATATATAAATCGTTTATTTTAAGGCAAGTTAGTCGGATTTTAGGCGCTTTTGGTTCTCTTTTTCTTTTTTTTGAATCTCTTTGAGTTGTGCTATTTTTATATTTCTCATTAATTGTGTTGACTGCCACAACCAACTTCCCTAAAACAAATATTAATTTTAAATAATAAATTCGTGAAGTAACAAACAAAGAACTTACGACCATTAGCATACAATTAAGTAATATTGGTATTGAAAACACTATAGATATAAATAAACCGTTACTATCAAAGTATTGTTGCCTTGAGAACATTTTCCAATTTGCAGAAGCTATTTCATTGATACTTTCAGAAAAATAAACTAAGAGAACTAGAAAAAATAAAATTTGAGGTTATGTTCGTTTAATGTCAGTGTCATTTACTTAAAAAGAAGAATAACAAAGCTTGTAAATTTCCATAATTTCTAGTTAAAAGAGCCATCAATGTGACCGTAAGATGAAATGCAATCAAACCAATAAGCCAAGGATCCCTCCAATCGATCTACCAACAAAATTAAAAACAACAAATTAAAATACATGGAAAACAATCCTTTTTTACATTAAAAAAAAAACGTGTTTCTCAAACCGGATATTTTTAGATCGACCGGTTTCGATAAAAATTAAGATATTATAATCTCAAATGAAAAACTTAAAACCGCACATTTTACCGCAGTTTCTTAGTACTTACGCTTAATATAAAGGAGGCGATTCCATTTATTTGATTAGCTTGTATAAAATCCGTATCGGACATCTTGTTTTACGTTTTTTTTTTTAATACAAATTATTTATTCCAGTTTATTTTAACGTAAAAATCGCCCCATAACACCAAGTTGAAGTGTTAAATGTTATTGTCACCGATTGTCATGTGATGGCGCCATCTATTTTCATTTTTGACAGCCGAAACCTTGAACCGCTAAATTTAAATTTTAAAATTTGTGACGTAAAATGATTCAGTGATTAATTATTGTAATTTTTATGTGTGTTTATGGTTGTATAATAATCGTTGTATAATAATAATAAATATGTTTTATTAATAAAAAAACTTATTAATATTAACACTTTTATTTATATCAACATAATTGTAAATAAATTAAATTGTTATGGTTAAAAAATGGTTTTAAATGTTGAGTTGCTTTATTAATCAATTGTTTTTATTGGTGTTTGATTTCATTTAAAATGTTAATAATAATCGGAATGTTTAAATTTTTTTCCTGTAAGTTATGCAACCAAATTAACTTTGGTGCAACTTTTAATTACTATGAAATATTCTAATTTATATTAAAAACAGAGGTGATAAGAGATAACAGGATCCTATTTGTAGAAACTCCAGGATTTAAAACGCATAGTTACAAGAAATTAAAACCTTATCAATGAATAGATAATTGAGGAGCGATTTACTCAATTTTCAATTTTTAAGGTCAAATTGTGTCATCAGTTCCTTATCTTTTTAATTTTTTTGTTCACTTTCTCTTGATTTTATTGATACTTAACAAAGATGCTAAAGTTCATTATGTTATTCATATTAATCATTAAAATCGTATTGATTGAATCATTCAATATATTGAGTATTACTCAATATGGATGATTGTAATCAAAATTATTGCAATAAAACTATGAAATATAATTAAATTACTATAAGCAACAAAAATGTAAGCAACAAGAATGTTTACAAATATTTTTGATGACTCAAAAAAAAAAGTTTCCACAATAAAATGTGTGGGATGTAAAAAAACCGTATAAAATTATCGATAAACGTATTAATTCTTATAATAAGAAGTTGTAACATGAATTCAGAATATGGTACAAAAATTTAAATGGTATATCTATATCAAAGATTACAAAGAATTCCTTAAACAACACCCATATCGTATTAACTAACGCTGACCAATCATTGAAACATAGTCCACATTACAACTTTTACAAAGAGCATATAAAGGTTCGTTAAAATTATTCACCAGTACAAACAGTTTTTTGATGACCTTTGGTAAAAGAGACAAAGTGTAGTAACGGCGTAAGAGATAAGAAAACCGAAGAAATAACCGGGATCGGATTATTTAAATTAGAATTCATTTCGATTTGTGCGTTGACGAGTGTTCCAAATCAATCGATTTAAAAAAAAATCCAAAAGGAAAAGAAATGTCCGAAAAGTTTTGTTTACAATTAACTCTTTCCGATGATGCCAAATTGATTGCCGAAAAAGACCTTAATGAAACAGAAGAAAATGTGAAGAATGCGTTAATTCAATTAAAAGAATTATTGGAAAACGATAAAACGATTTATTATAAAATTGATGATGAATTTCTTAAGATATTTCTTCGGCCATGTAAATTTTATGCAACAAGTGCTTATGAATTGGTGAGTTTTAAAGATTTTCAGTTTTTATTTAAAAAAAAATTAAAATGTTAAAATGGAAATGTGCGTGCATTGATAATTATTAGGAAGAATCTTTATGTAATTATGTCGTAACCTTATAATTTTCTTTTGTTCGTTTAGATGAAACGCATCGCCAATTTTCGTGCTAAATACAAAACTTTATTGTACGATTTAGTTCCATCTCAAGAACGCGATGCTATAGTTAATCACAACTTGATTAATGTTTTACCAGATAGGGATCAATTGGGAAGAAGAGTAATGATTGTTTATTGTGGAGGTAATTTTTTATATCTTCACAGCTCAAAGAATAACAAAAAAATTTTTATTCCAGAAAATTGGAACACCTCAAAAGTTTCTTCAGATCAAATATTTCGATTATTTTATTTAATCCATTTATTAGCCATATTAGAGCCAGACACTCAAATAAATGGAACCGTTGTAATAATGGACTACAAAGGTATGGGATTAAAACAAGTGGCAGCTTTAACTCCAGCTTTTAGCATGAAACTTTTGGGATTTATCCAAGATGCTATGCCGTTAAGATTAAAAGAGATCCACATGGTGAATAACCCTTGGATTTTTAAAACGGTTTGGGCAGTCTTTAAACCTTTCATTAAGGAAAAATTGGGCAAAAGAATTCATTTCCATGAAAACAAAATGCCTTCTTTGCATAAGTTTATTGATAAATCATATTTGCCGAAAAATTACGGTGGAGATCTTCCTGAAATTAATTATGGTGGGAAGGAATGGTATCCGGTTATGGAGAAACATATCGACCATATAAAAGAATGGAACACTTATGGTTTAGTTGAAAAATAATTAGAATTTTAAGAGCAGTTTTAGACTGATGAATATTTTAAGAGTACAAAAATTTTTATGTGAATAAAAGCTTATTTGCTATTTTATATTGAATTTATTTAATGTATAATCTCATCTCTCCCACTAGATCCTCTCTAATTTCTCTCCAGAGGATCTCTCACATTCTTCCATCATTCCATATCTCTTGAGTTGCCCTGACTGGGTTTTTTTTCTTTTTACATAGAAAGCAGCAGTAAACCTAACCCAACCCAAATCTAAGCCACCCCAACCCAAATCGTATAACCCATCCGTAACGAATTGCGAAAGGCAGACAGAGTACCTTTTCAGTTCATTGAACAATCAATGCTCTCCATGTAATTTTGTCGTATGTACTTACAAATTACGTAAATTTCTAGTGAATAAGACACCATCTTTCAGTTGAATAAGGGGATCTTCTTTCTCAATTTCTGGCTGTGCTTCAATAACTCTTCTAATTATGCCTTATCTAATGTTGAAAACATTAAAGAAATAATTAATACGATGATATTAAAAATTTTCAAAATAAAAACATGTCAAAATACTCAAGATTAATTAAAATCAAAAATCAACTACACAGATAAATATATATACTTAAGATTACCTCGTTATATTTTTCCAAACAATACGGTCGAATTCGCAATACCTAAAAATACAAAGATTTTTTGAAATAATTTTTGATAACTTAACAAAAGCGAAATTCTAAAACGTTATTATTATCGAAACAATGAGGGGGGTTTGTTTTTATAAATAAAAAATTAAAGTATTCTCGGTTAAAGTACACGTTAAATTCGCCGTAAAAAATCGTCCGTGATTAGATTATTAAAGATAACCGGCGTTTTTTTAATAATAATTTTAATCTGCTTATGTAAGATGATGATTGATAGGAAGGTTGGAAAAAAAAGCGTGCACTTAAAGGTTCCACTTTAAAATGCCAGTCATTACGATTAAGAAAGTACACAAAAAAAATGTTTTTTGTAACAAAATCTTTAGAAATGTAAATAAAAAAATTAAAATACAGCAAGAATCGTTTTTAATTTTGTAAAATAATAATGCAATTATAATGTTGTCATAATAAAGTAATAACCGGTAGCGTTTACATAAAAGAAAATCGTTTAATAATTTTGTTGCATGACCATAAAATGGGCAAAATCGTTTCAAAACAGCTTAAAACGATTTTTTAAAACTGTTTTTTTTCTTTACGTTATGTAAAATAGGTAAAAAGGTAACGGTTGCTCAACGAGCGCTTAAACGCATTTATTTCAACCCAAAAATTTGAAACAATTACAAAATTAAACACAATTAAAAGAATTTTGAGTGAAAAAAATCAACTTGAACTGATAACGATAACAACTAGAAATCTATAAATACCGTTGTCGAGAATTCGGGGTCACTTTTTGGTGTCCTCCACTGATAATCAAGGTAAGTCAATTTTCTTAACTAATTTTATGATTATTTTATTTAAAATTAATTTTTTTTATGTAGAAGACCCAATTAAAATGGCTTTTGTTATCGACACCTCAGCCCCATCGGCTGAAACTCAAAAAATTGCAGCTGAAGAACTTAGGGAAACCCCAGAAAATGTTGCAGCTGGTTTAAAAGAACTTAAAGATCTTTTGGCGGCTGATACATCCATAACTTACGATACCAGTGATGATTTCCTTATGATTTTCCTTCGCCCAACGAAATTCTATGCTAAAAGTGCTTATGAATTAGTGAGTTTTCTTTAAATATAATTCAAAATTTAAATTATAATTATTAATTATTTTAGATGAAAAGAATTGCTGATTTCAAAAAGAAACACTACGAGCTTTTCGGAGAATTATCCCCAGAAATGGAAAAAGATGTCTTCATGAACACCGATGTCCTTAATATTTTCCCAAATCGTGATCATAAAGGACGTAGAATTCTTATGGTCAAAATGGGCGGAAACTGGAAGCCATCCGAAATTAGCACCGATCAAATCTTAAAAATCTTGTATATGCTTCATTTGGCGGCTATGTTAGAACCGGAAACGCAAATTCGCGGGGCTGTAGTTATCATGGATTACAAAGACATGGGAATGAAACAAGTAACAGCTGTTTCACCAGGATTCGCCATGAAATTAATGACTTTCATCCAAGAAGCTATGCCATTAAGATTGAAAGAAATTCATATGGTTAATAACCCAATGCTTTTTAATATGGTCTGGAAAATTATTAAACCATTGGTTAAAGAAAAATTGAACAAAAGAATTCATTTCCACGGCTCTAAAATGGATTCACTTCACGGTTTCATCCCACCAAGTCATTTACCAGAAGATTATGGCGGCCAATTACCAAAAATCAATTATGGTGGTAAAGATTGGTACCCAGCTGTTGAAGGACATCTTGCTCACTTTGAAAGATGGAGGAAATGTGGAAAAAATTAAATAAATTTTGTTAAAATAAAACTTATTTGATTGATATTGTATTGTTTTAAATAAAACTTTTTTAAATTGTTATACATTTTTTTGTTTAAATTCCATAAATAATATTTATTATACTTGGAAATAATGTTACAAAATAAATAGCACTTTGGACATGTTTTGAAAAAGATAAATAGCTTATCAAAGGATTTTTATTATTTTGTTTTATGTTATCTTGATCTAATATAGATATTATTGGTTTTTCAGATATAATTTATTTTCTTGTATAAACATATATCAACATACAAGATTTATTAAAATATTTTTGTTTGACGATTATAATTATTGTTATACGTATTATAACGTTATTTTTTTAATACCAGCTCCTCCACCAAAAGTTTTGATTGTGGTACACTTTCCCAGTCTCCAGATCTTGAAGTAGAGACGATAATAATGATTTTTTAAATCTATTCTTATTTTAAATCAGTTGTCAGTATTTATTTTTTATGACCGAGCTGTATAAGACTTTCTGTCAAATAATAAGTGAGGTTATGTACTTTTTAATGGAACTGTCAGTTAGAATACGAGCCTATCTAACGTCTACTGACTGATTTTAACGTTCTAAAATGATTAAATATATTAAACGTGCAATTAACATGATTAATACAATAGAAAAATGTTATCCCAAATCGAATTTCGAATATACACTTCGAAAAATCTGTTTTATGCCAATTGAATGATAATTGGTGGTAAATCAATTATTACATTTAATGTTATCTAATCTTTTTTTATAATTCGTGCATTGGCGAAATAAAACGAATTAAAACTTATGACCTTATGAACCTATGACGTTATAGGTTATGTTATTGTTTATGTTAGGTTATGTTTATATTTCTGAATTAATTTAATATTTCATCAATTAAATATACTTTTTTGAAATTTTTCTATTATATAAACATCAAAAATTAATAGATAATAATTTAAACTGATTTTTTGAAAGTAATATAAATTATTTATTCAAAAATTATAACAAAAACGTCAAAAATTTAGAATTAGCGCCATCTCCTAAACATTATATTAAACATAAAACATTTAACATTTTACAAAATTATAAATAAAGCGATTTATTGTATATCTTTCATTACAAGAAATAAATTCAGTAACCTCTTAAAGTAAAACTACAAAGTATAATAAAAATAAAGTAAATAATTATCAACGATTAACAAAAACAAAGTAGCGCCACCTATTCATCAAACCTTTAAAGCTTAGATTGATGTTTATGAGTGTTTTTTGAGGTTAATTTGATTAGAAAAGTGAATTTCTTATAAATTACAATATTTAAAATGTTAATTACATCCAAAAATTAATTTTAAAGTAATAAAATGAGTGATGAAAAATTAGTAACGGAAATTCCGAGTAGTTTGAAACAACTGGCCCGGTTAGTTGTTCGAGGGTTTTATACCATAGAAGATGCCCTAATAATTGATATGTTGGTGAGAAATCCATGCATGAAAGAAGATGATATATGCGAGTTATTAAAATTTGAACGAAAAATGTTACGTGCTCGCATAGCTATACTCAAAAATGATAAATTTATTCATGTAAGGTTACGAATGGAGACTGGTGCTGATGGTAAAGCACAAAAAGTGAATTACTACTTTATAAATTACAAAACTTTCGTTAATGTCGTTAAGTATAAGTTAGATTTAATGAGAAAAAGGTTAGAAACAGAGGAAAGGGATGCTACAAGCCGAGCTAGTTTTAAATGCCCTGGTTGTATGAAAACGTTTACTGATCTCGAAGCCGATAGGTTATTTGATATGAGTACAATGGAATTTAGATGTACATATTGTGGCGAAGTTGTGGAAGAGGATCAATCAGCTTTACCAAAAAAAGATTCTCGTTTATTATTAGCTAAGTTTAATGAACAGTTAGAACCGTTGTATATTTTATTAAGAGAAGTAGAAGGAATCAAACTTGCTCCAGAAGTATTAGAACCAGAACCGGTTGATATCAACACATTGAAAGGACTCGATAAGAAATCAAATAACCCTGATCAAATTTGGTCAGGGGATGCTACAAGAACAGGTGGATTTATGGTTGAAGAAACTCGTGTTGATGTTACTATAGGTGATGATACCAGAAAAGAAGTTACCAATAGAAAGGAAGCTCCAATTTGGATGATGGAATCAACAGTTTTAACAAACGCCGATCAATCACAAAACAAAGATTTAGATAATATTGTTGATACCACAACAGAAACAGTTAGTAGTGGAAAAGGTGATGACATTATGAGTGTGCTATTAGCACATGAGAAAAGAGCAACAAGTAATGTTGCTGCAAAAGGATTGTCAAATGAATCAGATTCGAGCGATGAAGAAATGGCAGATGTTGCTGATGCTGGTATGCCAGAGGTTGAAACTATGGATTCTGAAGAGGAAGATGATTCAAATATTCCTACTGTTATGGTTGGAAATAAAACATATACCATCACTGATATTAATGATGAAATTATTGCTGAAATGACTCAAGCTGAGAAGGAGGTTTATGTGCAAGTTTTCCAAGATTATTATTCGCACATGACATATTAAGAAAAATTAAATTTAATTTAGTAATAAAATTAAGAATAAGTGTGTAAATAAACATATTTTTGTAGAGAATTTTGTTTATTTAGAATTTTACCTATTAAAGTTATCTTTCTTTTTATCTTCTTTTTTATTTAACACATATATAAGTGCCAAAATTATTATGTTATATTACTTTTGCTCAATATTCTTTACAAGAAACCCAAATTTTTCTTTCTAGGTCTTATGTTAGTTCTTGTGACAGTGCTAGTGTAAAACTAAAACTAGAATCATTCAGGTTTAGCCGCCTTGAGAGACATTCGACTGTGTCCCAATAATAAATAAATAAATTAGTAATTTAAATCATTTTATTTATAATTTTGTAAATGTTTATGTTTATAATGATTTTTAAGAGATGGCGCTAAATCTAAATTTTTGACGTTTTTGAGTAAATAATTTATATTACTTTCAAAAAATCAGTTTGAGTTATTATCTGTTCATTTTTGAAGTTTATTTATTATAAAAATTCCAAAAAAGTATATTTAATATTAAATTAATTCAAAAATACAAACATAACCTAACATAAACAATAACATAACCTATAACGTCATTGTTGTGTTTAGATAGTAAAGGAATTAATAAATTGTAAATGTTTTTTTTATAAAAACCAATATGTAATTAATGAAAATGTGTACTGAACATCATTATTGGCATCACGATTATGTTCGTTTGGCTTTTGACTCGGGATTTTGCTTCGATTCGAATAAATCGAAAACAAATTTAGACCGTAGCATCCTGAGTATCATTGATATCGAAACGGTGGTTAAAGATAGAGATGTTGGGGTTATAGAAAAACATTTAAACACTATTATTAATTATTATTTAGAGCCGGAGCACACCAAAATTTTAGATCCAACGTTCGTTAAAGTTTTTAGATTGAGCCAACTTTCCGTTGAATATTTACAGTTTTGTAAACGTTACTTGGATAATACAGTTGTGGTTGTAAAAAAGGAGCTGGCGCAGTATAAAGAGGTAAGAATTTCGATTTGTTTAAAACGATTCTAATGAAGAAGTTGTAGGAAAATAATCATTTAAAAAATTATACAGAAGAATTAAAGTCGGAAATAAATGAGTTAAAAGAGAGGATTAATTTATTAAAAGAATCTTTGGAGAAACAAAAAGTTACATTGGAAAATAATCAAGGTTTTAAATGTCCTACTTGCTTAAAAGTTTTTGTAACAGAAGAATATTTATTGAGCCACATTAAAAGACGGCATGAAACTGTTTCATTTCAATTGGAAACTGATAAATTGCAATTAGAAATTAAAGAACTTAAGGAACGCTTAAACACCACAGAAAAATATATTAAAAGTGATAATAACTTAAAAATAACTGAGAAGTTGGAAAATATTCCTGATAATAACCAACCTGTTGTTAATGAAAAATTAGAAAGAGTAGATTTATTATTAACAAAATTTGAAGAGTTAAAACAATTTGTGGAAAAAGAATTGAGCTTGTTAAAAGCGGAAAATAACAATGATAAGTATGAAAGGTGGTTAGAAACAGTTTTTAAAAGATTGGATAGTTCTAAAAAGGAACTTCAAAGTGAAAGGTATGGAGATGGTGATACTTTTTCTACGGGTGATAAGACTGAATGTCAAAAAATTGATAATGTTACTCAAACAGGAATTATTGAATACAAAGATAGTGAGGTTATGACTGAAGAAATTGAATGTAAAATTGAAGACTCAAATAAACAACAAATTTCAGAAATTGAAACTGAAATTAAAAAATTACAAGAAGAATTATATATTAACACAGAGAATCATTTAGGATTAATACAAAATGCCTTAGAAAAAAAGGTTTTTATTAGGTAAACAATTAATTTTATTCTGATTTATTTAATTTGTAGTTAACTGGTGGATTAGAACTAATTCAAACGCAAATAAATACGTTTTATGAAAAAATTAATAAATTTGAATTTGAAAAACGCGCCGAAATTAAAGAAGAAAATGAAGCGCCACTTAAATGTGAAAAAAGCGATCAAATAATCCAAGTAGGAATTGAACCTCGGCCATTACCAAGAACAACAAAAAGTTTGCCCTTTATAAAAGAGAAAAAAGTGCTTACAAATAAAAGAAGCGCCCCAAAACTTGAAAATAAACCGTTCGTTAAAAACGTAACTTGTGGGTTAAACTCGCAGGTTTCTAGTTTTTCCTCAATATCTGATGATGAAAAAGTTTTACTTCCAAAATCTATTAAAGAAAATATTAATTTTAAACCTAAATTAGTTAGTGAGAAAAAAGAAATTAAAAAGAATTTGGAAGTTAAAACTTTATATGATAAAAATATTAAGGTTGGCACTATGTTTTGTGACAGTAATGATACTGAGGAGGAAGAAATTGTTGAGAAGATTCCAGGAAAACCGTCTAATTCTACTTTAGGTAGGAGATCAATATCAAGGTAACTACAATTTTATTTAACTAATTTAAAAGAAATTTAGATTAAGTATTTTTTTTAGTTTAAAACAAGTTGGAAAAGATAAACAGGTTTTGGAAGGTTTAAAAAAAGAACTTGAAGAAATGTTATGTTTGAGATTAAAAGGAGTTGGTGTGTCTCCTACTTGGAAAAGATTGCCAAAAAATTCTTATATAAAGGCAATGAAAATTGTACAACATCAAATGGAATTAACAACAAAAGTAAATTACATAATAAATCATAACAATTAAATACTTCTATTCTTTTTTTGTTTTAGAAATATCCGGATTACTATAAAATCAGAGAAAAACTATTAAAACAAATCAATAAAACATTAAGAAAGGCAACAAAAAAAAATATTACCGCTAAACCGCAAATAATAGAAAAATTAAACAAGTAACACATCAAATGATTTAATTAAATGATTACCTTCAATTATTCTTTTTATTTTAGATCTAAAACTCTAACAAAAAAATTAAAACCGCAAATAGAAACAAAAAAAATTTTAATTTGTGATTCTGGCGATGAATCAAATTCAAAGAAATCATTTGTAACGTCACCAAAAGAAATTTTTGAAACTAAAACGGGGAAAAAGAAAGTTCTCTTCGATTTAGAAGGGAAAGATAAATTAAAAGATAAAAGTAAATTAAAAGAGCAAGATAAATTAACGGAAAGAGATAAAATTCAAACTTTAACTAAAGTTAAGTCTAAAAAAGATGAAAATGTTAGGGATAAGATTCAAATTTTGAATGATGATAGCGATGCAACCAGCGTGAGTATTACAAGTTCGATTCTTGATGCTCCCAAGCCACAATCTAGTCAAAATAAAGATGAAAAGGATCGCCGTTTTCATGAATCTGATAAAATCGAGATTTCTGATTGGGAAATAAGTGATATTTCTTAATTATTTGTGTGTATGTTTAAAATTTTAAAATAAATTGGTTTTGTATTAATTATAATTTTCATTATACTCTTTATTTTTCACAATGAACTTTAACTATTAATATTACAATATAAGTTAAATGGCTAGCAACAATACGAGAGATAATGCAATTGATTTTTAAATACGATTTTTTTTTTTAAAGCATGAGCATCAATTGCACTGTTTTCTTTTATTATTATTGACTATTTTAGGTAAATTTATTGCGTTTAATTATTTTTAACAGGCATGAAATAGCATTTATTAGGCCAAGAAATTTCTGAATAAAACACTAATTATAAATTATTCCTATGTTTAAACGATAAAAATATCAACATGGGAAATTCATCGAATGAGATTTCTTTGATTAAAAATTTCTAAATTTAAAACGTGGAATAATTCTTAGATCTTAGTATAAATAAAATTCTTATAAATATAAACAATTTAAAATATAGTTAGGAGTACTTAATAATGAGTAATGTTTTTTGAGGAAAGAGAGTAACGGAGAAAGATTTTATGCAAACATTTCTAAAAACGCTCGAGGGATCCTTCCAGCATCTTGTCCACGAACGCCCCACATATAATCTTCATCATTAGGTATATCTTTAACAAAAATTACCTGTAACAAAAAATAATTAGTGATTTAGAATTTCTTATTTTGTGAATATACCTCTCCTGTATGCGCACTTAACTCATTTCCATCCTTTGCATCATAATCATACAAGACTTTTGCCCTTTTCAAGTGTGCCAAAGCATCCTCGGCATTATTTTGGGAATTATTAACACTTGCTGACTGGGAAAATGGGGCTACTCCGGATATAGAGGCTAAACTGTGTAGGAAAAAAACAAAAATCACTACATCATGCTTAAATAATAACCCAAGCAGTTTTAAAACGTTAAATTTGACAAATCAAAATGACAGTTAATCTGTCAATTTTAAATTTTAACCTCAAAATTTTTCCAATTATAATTTTTAATACATTCCCTATGATATATCAATTTTTTTTATGTATTTCTTAACATATGATTAATAATTTTAATTGTTCAATCCAATTTTAATTAATTATATTCATAACTTAAAATTTTTTCATTTCGAAGTACTTAAAGATGATAATAGATGGCAGTGCATACTTAAAATAAAAAAAATAAATGATAAGAAATTACTGATGAGAGATAAAAAGAGTGATTTACTAAATCTATTTAGTATCATTAATAGAAATAATTGGAATAGTATGGAATCTGGAAGAGTTTGGTTTGTAAACATCTAGAATGAGTTTCCCATTTAGGCATACTGAAAATATGTGTTTTGGGATTTAAAGTCTAAATCAAAAAAGAAATTACCTAAACAAATTTTGTTTTAATCCGGACATCAATGTGACACACTGTTCATAATAATATTCTTTCTAGTTCTAGTGTTAGTTCTAGTCACAGTGCAAGTGTAAAATTAGAATTAACACTATTTCTAGAACTAGAAACATTTGGGTTTAGCCGTCTTTAGAGACGTGCGGCTAAACCCAAATGATTCTAGTTCTAGGTATAGTGTTAGTTCTACAGAGTAACAGTGGTAGTGTAAAACTAGAACTAACACTAGACCTAGAACTAATAGTTTCGGGTTAAACCCGACTATTAGTTCTAGTTTTAAGTGTTATTCAGCGCTAGATTTGTCGCTAGACAGCGAAACCCGATATTTAGATATTAGTTGTAGGTCTAGTATTAGTTCTAGTTTTACACCAAAATTTTTTATGTATTTCTTAACATATGATTAATAATTTTAATGGTTCAATTCAATTTTGTTTAATTAAAATTTAAAACGTTAAATTTGACAAATCAAAATGACAGTTTTGTCAATTTTAAATTTTAACCTCAAAATTTTTCCAATTATAATTTTTAATATAATCCATATAATAATATAATTTTTTATGTATTTCTTAACGTATGATTAATAACTTTAATAATTTTTATGTTCAATTCAATTTTAATTAATTATTTTCATAACTTAAAATATTTTACTTTCAAAGTACTTAAAGGTGATAATAGATGGCAGTGCATACTTAATAATAATTAAAAATAAAATAATAATATGAAATTAATGATGAGAGATAAAAAGAGCGATTTACTAAAACTATTCGGGATCATCTATAGAAATAATTGGAATAGTATGGAATCTGGAAGAGTTTGGTTTATAAACATCTTCGATTTTCGGACGAGAATGAGTTTCCGATTTAGGCATACTGAAAATATGTGTTTTGGGATTTAAAGTCTAAATCAAAAAAAAAATTACCTAGACAAATCCTGTTTTAATTCGGACATCAATGCGACACACTGCTCATAATAACGAGATTGAGATTCTACAAGTTCCATTAAACACCTCAAATGAGACGCATGAGAGGTTCCAATACCTTCCAAAAGAAGTTTCGTTATTTCCGCTTGTCGATCAAATTCTGATTGAGCTACACGTAAATCCCTTTCCGCCTGTTAAAAGAAAATTGTAATACTTTTTTGAATGAATTTATAATAAAATTATTTTTTGAGGTTAATTTCGGTTTTATGAAGATACCTGGTCAAGTAAAACTTCAGGTGGGACACCATCCTTCTATTTAAGCAGCATTTAAATGTTGTGCTTAATAAAATTAATTTTTTAATTTTTGTATACTTACTATTGGGGTACCAAGTAAATTCCGCGCCTTTCTCACACGATTTTTACAAGCGTCAAGATCTAATCGTTTTAATTCTAACAAATTTTTCTCTTTAATAATCGTTTTCATTTCACCATCTAAAAATTTGTGTAAAGGTTGCGTAAAACAAGCAGCAGTAGATCCAATAAAATCCCTCTCAGTTTGGCCCAATTTTTGTTCCGTCAGACCAACTTTAATCAAAGTACTCCCATAAGCAGTTCCTGGACCAAACTCATTCCCAGCCTCGATCATATCCAAACCCAAATACTCCAAATTACTTAACCGCGATGGTCGCTTTTTATCAATCTTTTCATAGATAAAGTCTTCGATGCGGAAACCTGGGTTTGGAATAAGAACCGACTCTGTGTTTCTGACCAATTTTTCCGTCCATGCTCTCGTGGTATCCGCACGTTCCCACAAATTTTCGAAATGAGCATCTAATTCCGTTTTTTCCGACGTGCCCAATCGCTCCTCAGTTAGCTATAAGACGATATAAAATCAATAAATAATAGCGACCTAATTAACCTCAAAATCGGGTGATTATTTTACTTGAACAACTCTGCTGATCGCCGCACCGGCATCTTTAACGATTTTTTTCACATTAAAATCCATTGTAATCACAAAAATTCAATTCTTGCGATGACTAATTAGCGGTGGAGATAAAATTTGTTGAGTTGACGGATCGAAAACAATATTTTGACAGCAACTGTCAAAACTAAAATTAAAAATTTATGTTGGTATTGCCATTCGTACGTTGTTCACATTAATAATTTAAAATTAATAGTAAAAATTTTATTTGTTTATTAAAAAAGAACATAAATACTATAATACAAAATATGCAACTACTTAATTATTATATTAATTAATTATAACGTCACGGGGAAAATGTACAAGAAAACTAAAATAAAAAAAAATTATAAAGATGAAATTTTAACACATTCCTATTTACAGGTTCGGTTTTGAGAAAGTTTCGCTTGCGAGAGCGATCAAACGCACTTATATACATTAAATTAAATGTTAGCGAGATGGCAATTGCGGATTACAGCAAATAGTCGATCGCGTGGACGACTCCGTTCGTCGCTGGAATGTTTTGCGTCGCCAAAAGATTGTTGTTCACCTTAACTTTTCCTGCACAAAAAAAAACACGCAAAGTTATGTATTATAAACAACTAGGTATAGATTAAACAAGTTAAAGTATTTGCGGAGGCGTAACCTTTCTCTCTATGACCGGCTAAGGAAAGAAGAAGTCTCCCGGTGAAAATCTATCTCAATCGACTTGCTTGAAAAGAAAGTGAAATCAGCGAAGAACGCCATGTGAAATTTTCCAACCACTTAATGATCTTATTTGTAAGTTAATGTTGGGAATAATCGTTATAGGTACAGGTTGTCCTAAAGCTTGTTTATTTTCCCTTAATACCTTAATAATATTTATCGTGTACTGAGTTAAAATTAACTGAAAAAGAAACTAAATCGTGAAATTTAATTATTAACTCGTCACTTCTAGGAAGTTACTTTCATTTGATGATCAACAACTACAATTTTCTAGTAGGGGAACTTTTACACATGAAGTCACTTTTAAATTTTATAGTTTCACTCTTATGTGCTTGCCTTGTACGATGATAAAATGCACTTTAAAGATAATTCTTACAATACAAAGGAATGAAATTTTAAATCGAGCTGGATTTCTTGATTTCAATATGATCAACGATGTTATTTAATTTTTTTTTTGGTCAACAATAGATGATGGTGAAAGGAGAAACATACTTTCATCTCTAAATGAACGCTGACACATGTATAGTTTTCGCTCTCCTTGCGAATCTATTGTATTCCACACTTTTACGTGGGAAAAACATTTCCAAACAATCTCCGATTTTTAAACCGTAAAAAAAGTATCTACAAGAATTCGTTACAATTACCTGAGTTCTTGGTGATCGTGATCTGTTTCTCCGCCGCTAAACTGTCCTTGGTCTGATAGTAGGTCATTCCGTTCGAGTACAACGTTCCGGGAATGGTGTGCCTTAAAACTAACTCTTTCGCTAACAATTTATCGTTCACCATTTGAGATAAATCGTTTGGTGGTAGAACGGAAAATGCACGATCGGTTGGTGCAAATATTGTTAAAGTTTTTGAACCTAAATCAAAACAATTAATAAAAAACTTTTTTATACATTATATTTTTGTTATTTTCAACCTTGTAAAGTTTCAGCTAAACCAGCTGTAAAAATCGCACGAAGAAACGAAGTAAATCTTCGTTCTCTATCCGATTGTAACGTTTGCAGGATATCACCGACCGGAAGTGGAAACATTACTTTATCAACACCGTGTGCAACACCTTGAGGAATATCTATATCTTGTTTATCATCTAAGATTTTTGCTCCATTTATTGTGGTAACCTAAAAGAGTCATATTTGAATTCTCTTTATACCAATTTTTTAACATTTCATAATTCAAAAAATTATCTTAATACTTAACTTATCACTCTTAAAAGCGATTTAGAAATAATTTGGGTCTCCAAAAGTAATTTTTATCGAAATTTTCCTGATTAAAATTTGACATTTTCTATGACTTTAAAAATGTCAATCCTCGTTTAATGACATATGTCAAAAATGAAGTGATTGATTTCTATTATTTTAATTTACTTTTAAATATACAAAAATTTATTGATAAACTTTATTTGAATTATAAATGAGTCAAATTAACCTATTTTCATGAATAAATTAATGAAAACATTAAAAATAAAATTGTATGTAACGAACATCATTCATGAATAAAAGTCGACATTAAACTCCATAGATGGCGGTAAGTTTATACTTTATATGCGAATTAATTTAAAACCGGTTTATAAATGAAAAGAGCAACCTCAATTTTAATACACTCTTTAGAATTAAATACGATTTTCAAGTCGTAAAAATTATATTTTTGCAATAATATAATTATGAAATTGTCTAAAAGAATTACCGCCATCTATTGATATTAATTGCTACTAAAATTCGTAAATTCAGATTGAAACACAATTTTATAATTAATTTATATTTTATATTCATTTGTTTGCGAAAATAGACAAATCTATTAAAAAAAATAATGTATATTTAAAAATAAATCAAGATTATAAGTTTCAAATTACCTCATTGTAGTTAGTAACTAACTTCAGTTTATTTATATTTTGTGATTGTGTCAAAAATTTTAAGTTTATACTGAAAATTTTCATTAAAAAATACTTCGGAAAACCCAAATACATTTTAAAACGTTCACGGAGGTGCTAAATTAAGTATCTTTTACATGAAAATGAAAACGAAACGCCTAGACGAGATTTATAAATTTTAAAAAATATAACCTAAAAATTAAATTTAACGGTTCTATTTCTTTTAACCTTACCTTAACATCATTCCATTCCTCATCATGCATATTATATTGATTCACCCTCAATTGTGTTCCAGCTAATGAAACTCCAGTCATCTCATCTTGTAACGAATTGATTTGAAAAGAACCCGGAATTACATGATGAAGGAGCAACTAAAATAAACTTTTTTTGAACCGAATTTATGCCACAACAAATTTTTTTACCCCACTTAATAACCTTGGATTATCCTTAAATTTCTCCTCGGCCTTTTCGGGTCCACCCAATTGAACCAACAAAGTCCTAAAAGCTTTATCATTCGGCGCAAAAAGCGTATACGGCCCGGTTTCATTTAAAATCGTGTCCAAACCAGATTGTTTTAAATATTTAGCCATCGCGTACAAACCGTTTTTTTTCAAAATTCCCGCAAGATCTGATTGGTAATGATGATTTAATGAAGAAACATCATCAAAAGTTGTAGTTTTAAAAATCGTTAATGTTGACGTTGGATAATTTTCAGTTGTTGATTTTTCTTCTTTGATGAATTGTATTTTTTGATTATTTGAAGCTTGATTAAATAAATCGTTTGTTGTTTGGATGTTTTGCTCTGTTGGTTTTGGAGATGATAACGTTGATGGTGTTGCAACAAAATGAGTTCCTATATTTGTTTTTAAAATCGGCGTTGAACTAGAAATGAAATCTTCATTTGAAGCGAAAGAATTTGGACTTATTGTAACCGATTTTAAGTTTGTGTTAAAAAGATCAGATTTTTCAGTTGATGATGTCAAAAATAATTTTGGATTAATTGTTGTTGTTGATGTAGTTGAACTTGTAGGAGTTGATGATGTTGAAATTATTGGAGTTGTTGAAGTTGAAATAATTTTATCTGATTTAATTAAATCTGGATTAATTGTTGGATTAATCTTTTTTAATTCTTCTCTGGGGGGTAATTTAATCTCCCCGGCTTTAATTTTTTTTAAAATCGAATCAACATCGACCGATTTATCGGAATCGTTTCCTTTAACACCTTGAACTTTGAAGCTGCCATCGTTTTGTTCTTCCAAAAGCACGAAAGTGACTTGTTTTTGATCTGGTAAACCTTGAATAGCTTCCAAACCAGCTTTTCCTTCCTTTAAAATTTGGAAATTATCCACACCTAAATCGTTAATTATTTGTTTAATCGGCGGTTTTGATGTTGTTGTTTGCTGAACGGAAATCGTCGAGGGTTTCGCTGATAAATCAAATTCCTTAACTAAACTCGACAAATCAGATCCGGCTTCGATTTTTTTCGCATCCGGAATTACTAAATTCGGATCAGTCGTGCGAATAATCTCAATTTTTTGCCCATTTGGTAATGATATTTCCCTCGATGTGATATTTTTACCAATTTCTTGACCCCCTTCGCTTATTGCCAATTTTAATTGGGCGATTAAATCATCTTTACCGATTTGTTGGGTTTTATATTGAGTTTTTAATTTGTTTAGGTCATCCAAAGATTTTATTTGGGTTACTTTTGGAATCACTGTGGGTCTAAAACTTTGAGTTTGACTCGATAAAAATATTTCAGCACTATTTTTTAGGTTCAATATCTTTCCTTGTCGAGAATCCGAATCAATTTTAATTTTTTCTTTAATTTCATCTTCATCGATTTCAATTTCTTCGTCTTCTTCTTCTTGGATGGGTTTTATTGTTGTTGTTGTAGTCGTGGTTGTTGTTGTGGTTGTGGTTGGGTGTTCCTCGTAGTATTTCTTAACCGCCAATTCGAATAAATCTCTTTCTTCGGGATAAATATATCTCGGATTATTTTGCCTGTAACGATAAATTTGATTCCTCGTTGGTTTATACAGTTTTTGATACAATTTTTTCTTCTCATCCTGTTGTTTCTTCAAAAATTCCTCATGATCCGCTTGAGCTTTCTCCAAAGCTTTGTTGTATTGCTTTTCAACAAATTGATTATGCTTCTCAATTATGCTTTGTTTATCATGCAACTCCTTTAATCGCTGTTTTTCTTTTTCAGGATCAATCGTAGGTTGTGGAATAGCTGTTGGTCGATTTATTTCATCACCACTCAATAAAAATTGATTATTATTAAACGATGATGGTCTAAAAGCGGTTTGGGTATGGTGTTGTTGCACTTTTTGGCGTAATTCCGGTGTGGGAATCGTTGAAAATGGTGGTTGTAATTGCTGACGAATCTGTTGTTGTTGTTGCAAATATTGTTGTTGTAAAAAGTGATTTTCAGGGGATGATTGAGGTAAAAAATTGTGTTGGGCCGCAAATCGGTGCTGGTGTTGTTGAATATCGCTTAAAATGTGGCTCTGTTGAACCGGAGATAAATGTTGAGGTTCATTAAACTATTGAACAAAAAAGAAAGATATAATCTCTAGATTACCTTTAGAAAGTGGTTCGTTTTTTAAAAGTGATGATGATTGAGATTCAAGGAAATAAAATTGGATTGGGAATGTGAACGTTTTCTGTGTGTAACTTCGATGTATATTTAGCGATTGTTCGCTAAGAAAACGAGGTTTGTGAAGGCATCTCGCATTTACAAAACTTGTAATGTAATTATTACGTAATCGCGTTTTAACTTTTCATTTAAGCTTAAAATCTATCTTAGAAAGGTAACCAGTTCATGCACAAACATTTTTTTTTGCATCGAAACCCAAGTATTTACATTTTACGCCGAGAAAATTTCTTGGTAAAGCTGAAATGATGAAAAGAAAGAAAAAACACGATGACGTGAGTGGAGAAAGTAACAAATCTCACTTCTCTCTTCGGTAGGTATGTGTGGGTCAAAAGATGCTGCGTTCAGAAGATTCACTTGACCTTGAGACCTTTAAACAACGATTTCTCTAAAACACTCTGTTAAAATAAACATTCTTAATAATTTTTATAAAAAATTATTGCTACTAATAAATATATGCTGCCATCTATCGCTTTTAATTTGATTTGAATTCGAAATGAAGTTAGAATCAAACTTAAATTTGGATTAATTTGTTTATGATCGTTATTAAATTTAGTTTCTAAATAAAATTTTAAATAATTTACATAGTTAACAATAAATTAATGCAATAAAAGATAAATTTTTATAAATTCGGCGTAGTGTAACTCACTTCACTTTATTTATGGTATGTTGTAATCTGGTTGTCATTCAATAAATGTCAATTAAATGTCATTTAAAAATATAAACTTTTAAATAGGAATATTTAGTTAAAAATTATTTTAAGAAACCTAAATTTCTTCTAAATATAATTATAATTAATATTTTTAGCATTAATTGAAATCAGTTAGAATAAATATTTTTTATAAAACGTTATCAATTAAAATATGCTGCCATCTATCGCTTTTAATTTGATTTGAATTCCAAATGAAGTTAGTTTATTATTAAATTTAATTCTTTTGTATTAATTTATTTATAATCGTAATTAAATTTAGTTTTTAAATAAAGCTTTAAATAATTTAGATATATAACAATAAAATTAAAATAATAAAAGTTATATTTTAGATTGGGTGTAATGTACCTTACTTCAGTTTTATTATAATTCAGTAAATGTCAGTTTAGACGTCATTTAAAATTATAACATTTTCTTTAAAAATTAAAAAGAGACTCTTAAATATGAAAAAAAGCTATTTTAATCCATTTTGTCCTTCGCCGACAACAAAAGGACCAACGTAACTCATTGTCAAAAACGTTCCCAACGCTACAAAGTCGAGAGCAAAGATTGCGTCTTTTTGCTGTTATTTCGTTACTCGAAGGAACGTTTGGGAAAAACGTCTTGAGGATTGCTCAACGATGAACCAGATTTATAGCTTGCAAAGAAAAATTCATCGTCGTCTTTCTTACCTTTCACATTATCCACCTGTTCTTAACTTAAAATTTAGAATTGCCAGAATCAAAAATGAGGTGATGAGGAATTTTTGTGATTTGGAATAAGATTAGAAGAAGATGGTAAAAAAATTAAAGGAGGTTAAAAAATGGAATTGTTTTGCTTTTACCTGAAGGGTCTGTCCACCGAATATCTGCGCAAACGCATGGTGAAGATACAGAACCAGGAGAACATGAAGAGTGAAGAAAAGTCGTTTCATAGTCGCTGTTGGTAACGCGCGAAGAAAGGCACACTTTCAACTTCTTCTTCTTCACAAGACTGAACTGAAGAGATTGTCTTTCACGTTTAACTAAAACTACTGCGGTTTCTTCTTGTTGTTCGCGACGATGAAGAAGAGAGGACGGTCGCAAAACTTTCCTTTTGAACGGGTCCTCCCGCTAAGCTTAAATAAAACCTTTTACCCCCTCCTTTTTATCCTAAACGAATTCATTAGGATTCATTTTGAAGAAGAATAGAAAAGAAAAAAATTTGGCTACGCCTTAACTTCCTTATTTTATTATAAATCGTTAAGATTGGTTTCTCTTTAATTTACATGATTTATTTTAAACTCTCCGTTATAAAGAAAATAAAAAAAAAAGTTTGATGTGGTACTTTCTTTCTTCAAAGATAAGTGATAATTTTTAATGTCAATAATAATAATAATTGTACAAAAAAAGGTTTAACCTACTTTACGTAATGAAAAATAGAAAAGTAAATCAATCACATTTAATTTAATTTTATAGATATTGGAGAAATCACAAAGTGAATAAAAAAAATAATAAAATAAGTAATAATTTATGAATTTCCTGTGAGAGCATTTGCAGATGGGAAATGAGTGCGAACAAGTTGAGTTCGATCACGATCGATCTCCAATGTTTTCCTTTTCAACATAATCTCCTTTTCCAAATCACTCCTAGCCTTCATTAATTTTGACTGCGACTCTTGCGCTTGAGTTAACTGCGATCTTAAGGCGGCAACATTTTCAGCAATCATCTTAACTTCCTCGACCAGTCCAAACTGTGGAACATCCCGACAATTTTCAACACGCGGTCGTTCATTTCTATTGGCCAATCTAGTTTGGGCCTTCTTCATGGGTATATCCATTCTTCTTATAGCATCGCGACAATCTTTGATGATACTTTCAACGTCTGCCAAACGTTGAAGAACTTTTTTCAAATCATTTTCTAATCGAATACGAATTTCTTCCGTGCAAGCTATTCGCCTTGATAAAGCCGCTTCAACTTTATCAGCTTGAGAACGAAGATCGCGAGCTGCATTGAGAAGAATCGCCGATAATGTACCACGTAACGCAACCGATCTTTGTCTTGTTGCTTCAGATTCTTGAAGAGTTTCTCTTGTAAATGTTTCCCAATGATCAGCTGATGATTGACTAAAACAATTAAGATTAATTAAGCATTAAGATTAATTTGATGGGTTTACTTGTCAGGAAATCGAACAGCTCCTGGTTTAAATAACATCATATTAGATTTATTGTTTAAAGCTACGTTGATTACTTCAGTTTCATGAGCTTGCTTTTTATCGCTCCAATCGTATTCTAAACGTTGTTTAGCTGTTTTATCTTCTAATAATTGCTTTTCAACGTCTTTGAGAGTTTTTTCAAATGTTAAACGTATCTCGGCTGTTAGTGCCATTTCTTTAATCAGTTCTTCTTCAACTTCATCTCTGACAAGTTCAGGATCTAATCGTCCACTTCTTCTTTCAATACATTCTCCGGCTAAAATTAATAAAAAAACATTAATAAGTTTTATTATTAAAAAAATATTTTTTAATACAAATAGCTTCTGGTAGCATTAAAACAGCCGAAGCTGATTTAAGCCTTCGCCTTTCGCTTTCCATTAATGCAATTTCTTCCATAGCCGCACCAATGGACCTTTCAAGTTCGCATTTCCATCTAAACACTTCTTGTTCGCGAAGTTTTAGTCGTGTTGTGGAATCTTCTTGGTTTTTGTCGGTGTCAGCGCGAGTTTTTTCCAAGCATTGTCTTCCGTTGAATTCGATTAGGTTTGCACGGTGTAATTCATCGTGGGTTCTATCTAAAATTTCTTTATTATGCGTTCTCCATTCACCCACACTAAGTCTTGTTATTGAATATTTATCAACAATAGGTCGAGTTCCGGTAAGATCAGCTAATGGCCCCCAATCAAGTCTTCCAGTTGCCCAAGGGCCTAAATTTCCCCATTCAGGTTTTATGGCAATTTGATCTTCCGGCTGGGGGAGATAACAAGGTGGTTTTCCCAGTTGACTCACATCAACTGGTCGTAATTCGTTTGGAACTGGTGGTTTTGAGTGAGGATCTTGATTTAATGGTGTACAATCGTCTGGTGGGCCCATTTTTTCTTCACAAGGACACGGAACTTTAGAGTCTCTATAATTTTTTAAGATTCCTTTTAAAGGTTTATCAGAAGAATTTGGAGAATTTGGTTGTTGTTGATGAGGACTCATTTGTTGTGGTTGTTGTTCCGCAGCCGCTTGAGCTTGATCGGCTAAAGCACTAATATCAACTTTTAAATTCCTAAAATAACAGCAAATAGATTAAATTAAACAATTTTTATTTATTAAAATCGTTTGTGCGAGAAAACTTCATGTTATTAAATTAAACGAACTTCATAGCTAATCATAGATGATTATGATTGTGACAGGTTGTCATTTAAAACGATATAAAGGTTATAACGTTCAAGGTCATCTTAAAGGTTTGTGTTTAATTTTTAAATTTCTAAAATAAAAATATGTAACTAAGTTAAAACATAAAAATTTTTTTAAAACGTTAAATAAAATTATTTTTGTTTATAAAAATCGTTTATGCGAGAAAACTTCATATTATTAAATTAAACGAACTTCATATCTAACCAAAGACGATTATGACAGCTGTCATCGAAAACGATATATAGGTTAATTTTTTAATAAATTTAAAAAAATCTTACACTGGTCTTGAATCTGTTACATTTTCTGGACAAATTTTCCCCGCTTTTTCATTAAGACCACGAATATTCTCTTTTAAACTATATTGTGTTTCTGGACACGGAGGTTCCGATGCATTTGCAACTTTGGGCGGGCTACACGAGCAATCGTCATGGGCAATTGGTACCGGGGGATGTCGAAGATCCGGATGTTCGTAAGTTGAGGGAACTCCCAGAGCGTGATCTTGCAACGTGACGTGCTTATCGTTGAGAATTTCTGGTTTCGGAATAGTGTTCTCGTGCAAATAGTCGCCCCCCTGCTGTTTCGCCTAAAAGGAATCGATTGGTTTTTGCTTAATTTTGAACTAAGAGGTCATCATTAGCTTACGACAGCGTCGAACTTTCCCAGATACTTGCAAGGCCCACACTCCCTGGTTGGATACTCTGCCATAAATTCGTTTTATATACAGAAAAGATGAGAAGGGGTAAAATTAGTTGTTTGATCGATTGAAATTGATTAAACAAACATAAACGGGGTTGAAAATTCTCGTTTTATTTCGTTTCATAGCAACTATCTTGTCAGTTATGTCTAAAATTGATTAAAAAGGAATTTAATTCTATCAAATTCTTTTAATTGCAGGTATTTTTAGATGCAGCATTTTCCCACAATACAAATTACAAAGAAAACAATAATAATTTATAAATGTTTTTAATGACTTATTCTTTTAATAACATATAATTAGTATGTTTAGTCTATTATATACAAGAATTTCTAATTGTCTACTGGTCTTTTGTTAGCACAAAAAGAACGTGACTAATTAAAGTTTAATTTAAACTTGGGATTATATTTGTAAAGAATGATTTGAAAGTGGCTACAAATTATGTAAAATGAAGACCCATTTCTCAATCCTCCGTACACACATTCTTACGCAATTAAACTAACGCAGTGGCCAATATTGGTTTAGAAAACCAGATGGTCACTCAGCAAGTCTTAAAAATAATCTAAATGTTTAAAATAAGTTGTGCCACCTAACAAATAAATCTTGCACTAATATTGGATTTAAATGACTTTACAGTTTCCTGTAATTTTAACCAACTTGGTCGATGTGTACAACAACAAAAAATTCCAACCCAATTAAAGCGAAAAATGAGTAAATTAACCGGATTTTTAGAAAATCCCAATGCAAAATTAGAAGAAAACCTCGAAGATGATGTTGTACAAGATATTTTAAAAACAGGTACTGACTTAAGACATTATTCCAGGCAAATAGAGAAAGAATTGAAACAAGTCGAGAATAAATCCATACAAGATTATATTAAAGAGAGCCAAAACATAGCAAATCTTCACGGACAGATTTCGGCATGTGATCAAATCCTTGAACGAATGGAAAACATGTTATTGGGTTTTCAAAATGATTTAGGAAGCATAAGTAGCGAAATATTGTCTTTACAAAAGAAATCGATCAGTATGAGTCAAGAATTAAGTAATCGACAAGCTATTAGAGGACAATTAAGTCAATTTATTGACGATATAACCGTACCTGAATCTTTAATATCAGGAATTATGGAAACTCCGGTTACTGATAAAGATTTCTTGACACATTTACAAGTATTAAATCATAAAATCAGTTTTGTTAAAGAACAAAGCTTTAAAGAATCGAAATCTTGCACGGACGTTAAGGACATTTTAGAAAAACTCAAAATCAAGGCAATGTCTAAAATAAGAACGTATTTACTCGAACAAGTTTACAAGTTTCGAAAACCAATGGCAAATTACCAAATGCCCCAAAACGCTATGTTAAAGAATAAATTTTTCTTCGAGTTTATTTTATCAAATGAAAGAAATGTAGCTCAAGAAATTTCTAATGAATACGTCGATACAATGAGCAAAGTTTACTTTTCTTATTTTAAATCATATTCAGGAAGAATTATGAAATTGCAATTTGAAGAAACTGCAACAAAGGAAGATTTAATGGGTATTGAAGATACTGCAAATAGAGGGTTGTTTCATAAAAGTAGTTTAAAACATAAAGGAACTGTTTTTACAATTGGGAATAGAGGTGATGTTTTAGCACAACAATTAGAAGCACCGATTATTGTTCCACATGTACAATCGAAAACAAGGGTTATTAAGAAATATCAATTAGTTAATATTAATTAATAATATATCCTTTTTTAGTATTACTATGAGGCTTTATTTCGTAGTGAACAATACGCTTTAGTGGATAATGCTTGTCGTGAGTACTTATTTGTGAGCGAATTTTTTATGGTGAGGGGCCAAGCTGCTTTAGGAATATTCAATCAAATAATGGGAAAAACTTTACAGCTTTTAACAGTTGAGTTATTTTAATTAAATAAAAATAACATCCTTTACTTTTATTTATTTTAGAAAAATTTAGAAGCTTTTGTATCAGATTGTTATGACACAATAGCATTATTTTTATGTTTCCATTTAATACTTCGTTACCAATTAATGTGTCATAAACGATGCGTCCCTGCTTTAGATAAATATTGGGAATATCTCCAAGGAATCATTTTACCCAGATTTGAAAGTGTTTTTCGCTTAAATATCGGAAGTATTAGAGATTGTGATCCATCTAAATTTAACAGAGAAATGGGGCCGCATTATGTACGTTATTAAAATAATTCTAAAACTAAAATAATTATTTTTTAACTTAGATTACAAGAAGATACGCTGAATTTAGTGCTGCATTAGTAGGAATAAGTGAAAATTTCCCCAATGAATTAGTAAACAGACTTTTAGCTGAGCTTCAAGAAGAAGTGGAATTATTTATATTACGAATGGCGGGGATTTTTCCACAACGAAAAGAGCAATTAATTTTTTTAATCAACAATTACGACATGGTTTTAAATATAATAATGGAACGAACGCGAGATAATTCGAAAGAAGCGGAGTCGTTTCGGGCTCGTTTATCCACGAAAAGTTCCGAATACGTCGAAGAGATTTTAAGCCCTCATTTCGGCGAAATGATGCAATTCGTTAAAGAATGCGAAAGAAATCAAGAAAAAAATGTGCAAGATCCGAAAAGAATCGAATCAAAAGCGATCATTTTGGTACAAAATTTCTCGTCAAATTGGAAAAAATCACTTGAAGAATTAAACAGAGAGGTTTTGTTATCGTTTCCAAATTTAGTTACTGGTTCTGGGTTATTACAGTTAGCTTTAACACAACTTGTACAGTATTATCATAGATTTCATAAATTGTTAAGTCCTAATTTAAAAACTCAATTGACTAACATTCATCATATTATGATTGAAATGAAAAAATATAAAACTAATTATTAAAAAATTATTGCAAAAACATAATTCGTTTTTTTTAAACTATGTGGCTACAAATATCAGTTAGATGGAGTGATCTTTTCACTGCCTTTAACACTTCTGTGTTATAGACTTGTCAAGAAAGTTATTCAGATCCTGTTCACAATTTCAAATATCTTTAAGAATCTTTGATTTGATTTGACATTTGTTAAAAGTGAGGTTAATTAAATAAATGTTTGCTCTCTAAAGAGTATAACTTTTAGAGCTTATAAAGGAACGTTTGAGCTTAGGTTGTATCAAATTTTAAGTTTCCGTGGTGTATAATTCATTTGCTATATTGTTTTATAATCGCCGATGTGATTTGACGTTTGTTGAAAGTGAGGTTAGAAAAAAAAATATTAATCTTCGAAACGGTGAGGATTTAAAGAATATAACTTTTAAGCTCTAAAAGGAACATTTGAGGTTAAGTTGTAGCAAATTCTAAGCTTTCGTGGTGTATAATTTATTTGATATAGTATTTTAAAAACCGCCTTTTTAAATTGACGTTTGTGGAAAGTGAGGTTAAAGCAAAAAATTATTTTCTTCGAAACGATAAGGATTTAAAAAATACAACTTCTTAGGTTTTATAAGACCATTTGAGGTTATCTTCTACCAAAATTTAAGTTTCCAGAGTGGATAATTCATTTGATATATCTTTTTGAAAATCGCCGATGTAATTTGACATTTGTTGAAAGTGAGGTTAAAGAAAAAAATTATTTTCTTCGAAATGGTAAGGATTTAAACAATATAACTTTTAAACGCTAAAACGAACATTTGAGGTTAAGTTGTACCAAATTCTAAGCTTTCGTGGTATATAATTTATTTGGTATAGTTTTAAAAACCGCCTTTTTAAATTGACGTTTGTTGAAAGTGAGGTTAAAGCAAAAAATTATTTTCTTCGAAACGATGAAGATTTAAAGAATACAACTTCTTGGGCTTATAAAAGACATTTGAGCTTATCTTATACCAAAATTTAAGTTTCCAGAGTGGATAATTCATTTGATATATTTTTCTGAAAATCGCCGATGTAATTTGACATTTGTTGGTAGTGAGGTTAAAGAAAAAAATTATTTTCTTCGAAATGGTGAGGAATTAAAGAATATAACTTCTAGAGCTTATAAAAGATCATTTGAGGATACATTATACCAAAATTTAAGTTTCCAGAATAGATAATTCATTTGATATATCTTTTTGAAAATCGTCAATGTAATTTGACATTTGTTGAATGTGGGGTTGAAGAAAAAAATTAATTTCTCCGAAACGGCAATGATTTTATGACTTTATTTCACATATACAGTGTGATTCTCAACCTATCCCCAATCTGTATATGAAATGAAAAAATTATTGCAAAAAAATTATCCGTTTTTTTTAAATTTATTTATTTACACAAACTATGTGGCTACAAATATCATCGATGAGTGTTCAATCCTTTAGCGTTCTCATGTTGTTACAACACTTCGCTGCACAATAATACAAGGTGTAAGTGAAAAATCGGATCTAATACGAATCAAAAAACGAAAAAAGTAATCAAAATTAACTATTTATAAAGAGAAATGTGGAATGACTAGTTTATATTTTTTATATCACCAACACCTCGTATGTTTCAAAGGCGATTGTGCTAAAATTATCGAGGTTATATTTAAATATTTGGAGTTATTGTACACACAATTTCAAAATTGTCAATGCCACCTTTACTAATGTATAATATATGTATATATTTACTCTCCAGATATTTAATTATACGAGTCGATTCCTAAAACCGAACGAAAAAAATAATCCATATAAAACTATCGTCATTGTTTTATATTCAGATTCACATTTATATATTTATATAGTTTTTTTTATTTTCTTTTTAATTTCAGAATAGGACCTATATGTACAGAGATTTTTATATATCACACTCTTTTTTGCAAGTTTCTTTTCCTTTTCTTTTTATTTTGTTTGTTACTTTTCAAAAGGACTCGAAGATAATAACGCGTACCCAATTTTTTCCGTTATTATTTTATGTCTTGGTACGTGGTCATAAGATTATATAGAGAATAAGATTGGTTTAATAGATAATTCTTTTTTGATTATACCGTTAAATTTTTTTTTAGTAATCGATCCGACAGAAAAATAATTTTTAGCCAAAGGCACTATTTCGTAGAGCGGGAAAGAAAATCACCTTTCTAGAAATTTAAAAATTCCAATTCGATCACAAAGATTTACATGTGAAAATTAATAATTGGAGTACTTCCAAAGAAAGTTTTAAATAAATTCGAAAATGCTTTATATAAAGATTGTAAACTTGTATCATCTTTGGAATTTTAAATAAAACTACTTAACATGATATGTGCATAATTTAGATAAATAAACAACAGATTTATAGTAATAAATTATTTTCTTTTAACAATCTTTTTTCTTAATTTCGATTGCATAACTAATTACTTAATTAATAATAATGTAATAATAGAAGTATTTCAAAAATTGAGAAATGTGCACTTTGACTTGGCACCTAAATCCAAACTAAAAACTACTCATCGAGAATTGGCAGTGTTCCTTTCCAAAAAAACTATCATTATAGTAAATCGTTGCCATGTGAATTCTTCATCAACTGTAGCTTATAAATATTCACCTATTGTTTCGTTTTTTCTTTAAAATCTGCTTTTTTTTAAATATAGTTACAACCTGGGATGAACAATAACTTTTTCGTTTTTAAAAACAGCGTTTGAAACGTATTTAAACATTACAATACATTTAGATAATAATCTTGAATCAATATATTAAAAAACACATCACATCGTCTCGAACAAACAATACTTCGTCGGCGGCTGGTGTTTAGTAGGTAAAGAGTTAAGAGTAATAACAATAAGCTCCTTAAAATTTACAGAATAACGCAGTACGTAGTATAAGACTAGAAGACAAAAAAACACCGTCACAGAAATAGATTCCGTGCGCTTCTTGTGTAACTCATTTTTTTGTGTAGTTTTCTTGTGTCTTGTATTTTTTTTTGTATATATTTTCTTTTTGATCACAATGCTTTCGACAATCGCTCCGGTTCCTATTTATTGTCACTACAAAAAGTGGCGGCCCGCGATTAAATTTTCACAAAAAAAAAATTTTAAATGAGCGTAACGAATTCTTCATCGCTGCGTTTGAATTTCCGTATGGCTATCGTCTTCGCTCTCCGTTAACGCCGCCAATTGTGCATCCGGCAAAATTGTTAAGTGCGTTGCATCCGATTGTAATGTACTACATTCGCCTGTACTCGGTTCAGAATCTTTTTTTTGCAAAGCTTGCACAAAATTCTATAAAACAAATTAATTTATTAAAACATTTTAGATTTAAAAAAGAATAATCACCTGGCTGATAACATCACCGTGAGCTGTTCGTACTTGATACAAGTACCTGTACTTTTTCTGTCGCATTTCCGCCCGATCAATTCTCGTTCGACCATTTCCGTTCGGTCGCGGTTTTTTCCTTCCAGCTGCCACTAAAAAAATCGTTATCAAAAAAAAAATTAACAATTAAAATTAAATTACTATCAGCATGATGTGTCCCCCTTCCGGTTATAGCACATTGTATAACCAACCCCGCCAGCACAAACGAAGGCCAGGCGGCAAAAACGAACCAAGAAAACCAACAAGGTGGGGGGACGACGGGTTTTAACGATATCCGATCCAAAATCCAATAAACCATCGCTAATCTTTCAATGAAATAATCGATTGAAGCGGTTAAAATGGCTCCGCCATAGGCGCTTGTTCCCAATATTGTCAAACCTTTTCTAAAGTATAGGTTTAAAATGGCAAATAACAAAGCGCTAGATAGTAGAATTCCCACGCAAAGCCAAACTTGACCGTTAGGGGTGGTTTCTACGACGTGATCCGCGATTGTCAACGCAGCAACGGCTGCTAAAACTCCGGTGTGTAATCCGGCCATAAAAAGCCCGACGTATTGAACTAAAGTTGTTATTAAACCGAAAAGAACACCAGCGAAAAGAGCTACACCTATAAAAAATTACAAAAAGTAGTTATACAATTGCAATACGTAATTGAAAAAATTTTACCTGCATTTCCGTAAGGTGGCATCAAAACTCCTTGTAAACATATCATATAAACTATACAAGATGCAAAAATAAATCCAGTAAGGAACATAACTGTTTTAAAACATCGATATCCTAAAAAAAAAGGAAAAATATATATTAATATAATAACTTTTTATTTCATTTTATTTTCATTTTAAGAATGAGAGTGCATTAAGGTTTTGTAAATATTGGCCAACAGCAATCCGGGATCCTTTTATGGAACAATTACACAATGATGAATTACAGCAAGATGGAATTGCTGCTCATATTTCAGAAAGAACATTAAAATATTTGCAACTTGATGAACAAACAACACTGTACAGCCTACATTTTGGTGATGACCAAGTGGAAGTAGCCCAGGAGAAAGAAGACTTTGAAAGATCTGGTACTAAATGATAACACCTTAATTAAAGGATGCCAAGAGTGCACTTACTTTGGAATTAATATCGATCACAGTGGCAGATATAAAGCAGAAATACGAAGTAATCGGATTCGTATTTCTGCTTCATCAAGGGCAACAACAACTATATTTCACTATCTTTATCCCCGTGGCGCTGTATGGATGCGAAACCCGACATTTAAATAAACAAATAAAGGAATGGATTTTTGAAGAAGAGCAGCTGGAAAGATTAAACTAGATCGACTAGGTCGACGAAAGTCCAAAGAAGACAGCTCTAGAAAATAGTGTTAGTTTTAATAATAAATTTAGTAACAATTTTGGAAGTCATCTATCGTTTAATATGTGAATTAATTTTGTTTACTTCTCAATGTGTCAAAAAGTTAGTTTTAGGTTATAAAGTTTTTCTAATTATTTTACAGTTTAATTTTATAGTAATTAATTTTGTGTAAGTATTTATATGCAACATAAACTTTTACGCTCTTCATGAAAGAAAGAATTTGTCGCCAAAAAAATATCAAAAAGAAAATAAATAAAATTAATTACTTTTTAGGTTATGTTTACGTTCCTTTTATGTCAAATTGTGTCAATGATGATTTAAACTTGATATTTATTTTGTAAATGCAAATCTTTTAACTCCAACTTTAAAGGATTTTCTCCGGGATTTTATACCTTGTTTAATTATAATTTATTTAGAATTTTTGCATAATTTTTTCCAAGTAGTATTCAAAACGTAAAAGGAAAGTTTCTCTTCATTCATACATATACACTAACCATCTTATTTGTAAGGAAAGAGAAAAGGTATGGTTTTTGATACACATCTGTGTATTTTAGAGAAATTTAGATGCTTTATCTGATTGCACTAAATAAATTTATTAAGAAAAAATGGTTTGAATTTTTAAGTTTGAGATTTATTTGAGCAAATCTGTATTAATATTTGGTGAAAACACAAACGAAAGGATGTAAATACACAGGACCCCGCAGGTCGTGGGCGTGGTCTGAACGGTTCAGACAGCATCCTGCTGCGTTGCTGCACGACAGCAACGCCATCAGATCGATAACCGCCGGTCACACAGACCAGATCGAACATGATTGGGGACCCGTTTGCATATTTGTACCTTTTCATTTTTAATTTACTTTAAAACAACGATAAGTTTTTCTTAAATAATCTAATTTAAATAGAACCACTCAAAAATTGAATTAATTAACGTTTTAAACAATGAAAAGGAAGAAAAATGTAAATGTTTTTTTATTATACTCGGTGAGTAGAAGTTTTTTAGGGCGGATGATTCCCACGTAATCATCAGGGCTAGTTGCTAGATGGAAATGTTTACCATTAATTTACAATTAAATAACTGCGAGACGTGGGCCCGTCTTAATGTACTGAATAAAATACGACTTCCTGTACATCCTCTCGTTTCTTGTTTGCAGCTGTATATCGTTGGCTAACAATCCTTTGTGTTTCTACTTAAGAATGACATATTTTGACATTAAACAATTATTTAAGGCGTTAAAAAACTAAGAATTTATTTCGCTATATTATTATAATTATATCGTATTAGATTACTTATCATCCGATTTTTCTTCCGTTACTTGAGTTTTAGATTTAAGTTTTCTGAAATAATCGGTGACGCTACCGCTTTTAGCTTTCTTAAGTTCACCTCCTTCTGTATTTTCGTTATCTTCTTCCTTTTTATCGTCAACATTATCTTTTACTTTTTTCTGTTTTTTGTCCAGTTTCTTGTCTCTTTTATCTGTTGTTGTATCTTCTCTTGTATCTACTCTAGATCTATTTCTATCTTTATTTCTAAATTTATCTTTTTCTTCGATTGCCTCTTCATTCTTAACTTTTGAACTTTCCACAGTTTCAGGTTGTTTGTGTTTTATGTACGATAAAAAGATGTCATAAAACATAGTAACTACATTAATATATATAACTTGGTATTTCACTGGTACGTATAAAAAATTAACATATTGCGACGGAGGCCACACCACACAATCCAAAAGATAAACGTTCATAAATTTTTCTTTTAACTCTTCAGTACATTCGTATATATTTTTACCTTCAAGAATTCCGGCGCAATAAAAGAAGTATACTATACAAAACGGGGACATTGAGACCTGATCGCATACAACTTTTTTTATCGTATGGCTCATGATCGGTTTCGGCCAAAGTTTATCTAAATTCGTGTAAAAGTAATGATGTAGTACCCCATACCCGATACCAGTCGTGGCCATCCGAAACATTCTTCCATAATCGTAACGTTTCTCTAAAGTACCTATATGTAATTCGACTTCTTGTTGAATCATATCTCCAAGTTGCATCAATATCACCGAAGATACAATATTGGTCATCAACAGGTATTCAGTAAACGCTTTGTGGAAAGTATTCCCAACGTGTTTTTTTAATGGTCGAAATAATTTTGAAATTTTTGATAATATTGACATTTTTAACCTCGCCTAAATTAAATTAAATTTTAAAATTGATTCCTGGGTTACACAGCTAAAAATTACCGTCAAATTTATGTCAAATTGGTGTCAAAAAGCAAAATTGTTGTATATGAAAGATGCAGTGCAGCCAATCATGTTCAAGGTCATTATACCGATAATACAGAAATCCTCCTAATTAAAACTTTATATTTATAGGTTAAGATAAAGAACGGTAGAATCTTTTAGTTATTAAGTGTTATTAAAGAAAAATATGTTCTTAGATTAATTAACGAATAGTTATTGCTTAATTTATTCATTTATTCACCCTTCCTTCTCTTCAAAATAATCTCAAGTAAACCAACACGAAAGGAAGTCGCTTAAAAAAGACTTGACACTTAATTATCTGTAAATAGCCCCGGAAAACTTAAAAACCTCCACGTTCATTCAAACCATCCCCTACACAACACACTCCTTCAAACTACTTGAATATGAGTGGCCTCTTGTTGGAAAATGGATTATCCCGTGCCATAACCTACACACAAATACAATAAGAGAGGGAACGCTGTTTTTCTTTGGGACATATTTCATTTTAAAAATAACGAGGCGACTTATTTATTTAACGATCAATTTCGTGTGTTGTAAGTATGAATTTTATTTGTGGGAAATCTGACCTAATTTATTAGCAAAAACAGGAATTTATTTCTTTTGGATGCGATCCAAGAATATTCGAAATTTATTAAAAACGGTTTTCGAAGGCGTCGCGTAATCGAGGTGCGTGTGTTATTAAAATCGAAAATTGCGGATTGATTTTCGAGGTCAATACAAGTTTCTAATTTAACGGTCGCTCTGTTTTTACGAGAACATTTTGTAATTACATCGAATTGGAATAAATCAAAGAAATAGCGAATTTAAATTAAACGAAATTCTTGTTTCTATAACGAAAAATTTTAAATGGCTTTGTAAACACCAAGCGGTTATATTCGGATGATGATACAATGACCATAATGGGTTCCCATCGGGGCATGACGCCTCCGGTAAATTAAAACCAATTTACATTCAGTACCGTTCGCAATTTGCCATTTAATCGAATTCAGGTCTACTTAGTATCTTATACTGGAGATTACGAAATTTTTTACTTTATACATGGATTTTAAAAATGTATTTTCAATTTAACTTACCAAAAAATGTGTAGAGTAGTCCAAAAACTATATAAACCGACCAAACAGCCGCTACAGCGATGTTATCATCAATTCCCGCAGGCGGTGTACATCTTTGTACCGTTGGTTCATCTGGAACGTTTAATCCCGGGATTGTACCCAGCGTTATGTTGGTACGCGGCGGTACCAAAGAGCCAGGCTGTGCCCCGCTCTCCATTTTACTAAAAAATAAAAAAAAATTACAAATTTACTTAAACAATGAAATTTTATTGAATACAAAACAAGTTTGAGAAGATTTTTCTTGGTATACCCACATAAGGTACTGTTAGGACGTTGACATAATCCGCGGAGGGAAGTCCTAAATGCGTTCTGGTCAGTGACCATTTTATGTACTGGCGTGAAAACAAGAATTTCTAGTTTCTTTAATTCTTTCTGCCCTGCACTCGTTGACTGTGGTGACATCTCACATGAACGCGAATGTAAAAGATAAAACGGCACGATAATGAAGTAATTATGTTTTCCTCATATCCATTTTTTTAAACATTAAGAAAATTACCAATTAACTTTTTCCTTGGTCTAATTCACATCAATTTTCTTAATCAAATCAGTTACATTTATTCAAGTAAAAGAAAACGTTGTTTTAGAAGTTAAAAATACTCGAGTGTTGTAAAATGGAATTGCACATCATTCCAACTGAACAAACAAAACGTTTTATGTAAAAAGAGCCCAAACGTTTTCTTCTTAAACTTAAAATAGCTTTAAAGTTTTTTTTTTTTTTAATTTTTATTCTAAATTAAATTAATATTTTTTGTCTATTTTAGCCGCACACGGTAGAGCGACATAAAACTACGTGACCTTGAGCTATAAAGCGACTGCCTCCTCATCAAGATGAAGATGAAAAGGAGCTCTGAGCTTCACTTGACACGAACGTCTAAGTGCTGGACAAACCTGAAACTCTATGCGCTACAAACTATGTTTACTTGGTGAATAAGACGCAAGAAAATAAAAAAAATTGAGAAAAAAGAATATTTGTAAAATAAAAGGAATTGCTTAATGTTTAAAAGATCTATTGAATGTTAAGATATAGAAATGGAGATTAAAATGTATTGTTTGTAAAGTTTCATGTCGCCACACGTAAAGTGACTCATATTTCTTTTACTGTGAATCATGCGATTTTTGTATTCCCTGAATGATTATATATTTTTATCTATAGTTAGAAATGAAATGTTTCTTTGAATAAAGAATAAAAAGATTACATTAAATAAAAATAATTCATTTTAAATTTTTACTATATACGAAAAACTTTTTTTGTTACAGAATTTTTTGATGTGTATAATATATGCGAAATTGAAGGTTTTCGTCTATCAACATGCTATGCGGAGGAAACATGGCAAACCATACTGAGAAAATTCTGCATGTACTGTCTCTTTGTCTATTGCAATTTATTTAGATAGAGGTGTAACAAAATCAGTTTTTTAATGGATGCGCAAAACACCATTGAAGAAATTGACATCAAAACTCAATTGTAATCTATTTTATAGAACTTATTCAAGAGGTATTGGACTCCACCTGACATGGATGTCAAAATTCAAGACATGCGGGAATTGAGGAAAAACTAAAGCAGTCAGTTAGATTGCGAAAAGCACGGAGGAAGTAATTGTAATTGAGGTTCCAGAAATTTCAAGCTTCTTATCATGAATTTCGAGATGTTGAGTTCATAAATATTTATGTATGGCAATTCATAGATAAAAAAGTAGTATAAACTGCTACCTGCCAACAGTTAATGACAATTTTGAAAGAGAAATTGGCATTGCATTCATAGCAAATTGGAGTTCTGCAAGCCATATAATAGGTTATTGTCAGTTGCCGAACTCGGACAATAATAACATATATTACGTTATTGTTCAGGAGGTTCACCAGACGTATTAGTTTTCAAGATATTATCAATAGAGTATTGAATGGAAGGTTTTAAAGTATCTTTTCCATTTTATTGTCACGAAATAATGAGAACTCGAATAACTCAACCAAAAATGAATTACGATTTTCTATATTCCTATACTTATTAAAGCTATATAAGAATATTTTATTTCCGATGAAATTCTCTTCAGTTTATTTAAGGGTTCTCAAACATAATCAGTCCAAGGTTCACTTACAGATTGAATACAGACCTCTTTTTTATGTGAAGTGAATTTTAGTGGCGCTTTCCAAAGAAAAGGTCATGGATCTATATTTATACTACTAATATATTACTATTTCTAAACATTATCATCCTATCAGAAGTCTTGAATCTTATAAAACGACGATCTTACAATTAGAACTACTAATTGATACAACTAGAACTAAAATCATTCGAGTTTAGCCGTCTTGAGAGACTTGCGGCTAAATCCGAATGTTTCTAGTTGTAGATGTATGGTTAGTTCTAGTTTTACATTAGCACTGTCACTAGAACTAACACAAGACCTAGAACTAGAATCATTCGGGTTTAGTCGTCTTGAGAGACGTGCGGCTAAACCCGAATGTTTCTAGTTCTAGGTCTAATGTTAGTTCTAGTGGCAGTTTTGGGTAGCGCTAGTTAGCATAAGAGATCACTATGTTGTATATTTTTATTGTACTAAAACTAGAACTAACACTAGAACTAGAATCATTCGGGTTTAGCCGTCTTGAGAGACTTGCGACGAAATCCGAATGTTTCTAGTTCTCGATCTAGTGTTAGTTCTAGTTTTGCACTAGCAGTATCACTAGAACTAACACAAGACCTAGAACTAGAATCATTCGGGTTTAGCCGTCTTGAAAGACGTGCGGCTAAACCCGAATGTTTCTAGTTGTAGATCTATGGTTAGTTCTAGTTTTACATTAGCACTGTCACTAGAACTAACACAAGACCTAGAACTAGAATCATTTGGGTTTAGCCGTCTTGAAAGACGTGCGGCTAAACCCGAATGTTTCTAGTTCTAGGTCTAATGTTAGTTCTAGTGGCAGTTTTGGGTAGCGCTAGTTAGTATAAAAGATCACTATGTTCTATATTTTTATTGTACTAAAACTAGAACTAACACTAGAACTAGAATCATTCGGGTTTAGCCGTCTTGAAAGATGTGCGGCTAAATCCGAATGTTTCTACTTCTAGTTTTAATTGTTATTTAGCGTATATGTATATGTAATCAATGGACAAATGGTAATCAGTGGACAAAGTAAACAATGTTGATTCTTCAGGGGCACTAAAAATGTTTGAGGTGACATAAAATTAGTATTGGCAAAAATTAACAGTTTTCGCGTCTACCCAAAGGACTTAAATCTTGATGCTTAACACGTTGACTGTCGAAATAGTCACTAAAAATCTATACATTCTGGCCGGAACAATTTTAAAATTAAATAAGCATGAGAATCAACTAGTACTAAGTAAGTTACGCTTCTCATGGCAGTCAACGTGTTAACTCGATTTTAAGAAGTACAACCATGCTTATAACTGATTAGAAGGTTTATATAGTTGAAACAAGCTGCTAGACAAAAGAAGTATTAATTAATTAAAGAATTTTTACAATAAAATGAAATACTATTTTTAAACAATTTAAAAATACGATAATATTTAAAAATCACTAAATAATCCGAATTCTTTTTACAATCGATGTCTTTTATCGTAAACAAACGTGATTGTGAACCCAAAAATTTAAAAATCTACTTTATGATATTTAACGACGATAAATGTACCGATAACTTATCAATGAGTTCCAAAATTGGGTATACATTAAAGATAGAATTAAAGAAAAAGAAAAACACGCAGTCTGCATTCAGATTTGAAACTTTGAATACAATAAATAAATAAATACGCGTTGTTGATCTTTCGAGTTCTATTTCTTCACGATGAGTGTGTGCAAAGAAACGTCGCTTGACTCATTGTAATTTTAGATCGGTTGGGGATCAAGAAAAGATCGTCATTTTTATCACCTTTAAACTGGATAAAGTCCGTTTGGAATCGTAAATAAAAAGGGAATCAATATCACTATGATAATATTAAAATTTTTTGAATCTTTTAGAAACCCGCTAATTTAGAAACCTAGATATTTTCTAATTCTAAATTTCTTTCAACTTTCTTTCAATCGTTGTAAAAGTAGATTAACCATTAGAAAATAAATAAATTTAATTCGTTTCGTCTTCTCTATTTTCTTTTTATTACAATAAAATGAAATTGCAGAACGGGTTCGACTTGTAAAAGACTTTACTCTAAATTAATATAACGGTTTTTTTTGAACAAAAATTACTGTTAATGGCCTTACCTTTCGTTCACATCGCGTGTTCACAATACACGGAATTTCCCATCTCGTCGATTTTATTTTTCGCTCTCTCAATCTTCTCCACTTAATATTTCTTACGGTTCATCATCATATTATTGGGACGATGATGGATGCAATTGTGATACACTGAAACAATTCGAAGGCAAGCGTAAAAGTTATCATTACAAAACCTGTTCTTGTATTATGATAATTTCTGTTTTTTAAAACGAAAAAAATTATTTCCGCATACATGCAAACCTGATTTAAGATTTTAATGAATATTGAAAGTAAGAAGGTTGTTGCGGTTAAGTAATAATCCTCAATAAATATGTGTTACATAAGGATACAATGAATGGTTTTTAATTATAACCTCACTTTTAATGTAATATTATTAATTTTGGTATTTGTCTTTGTTATTAAGGAGATTTATTATTTGCTTGTGAAGTTTTTGTCAATAGAGAGAGTGTGGCATATTTTGCAATAACGAAAAATACTTTCAAGCTTTATTAGCACGTGGTACCAGAATATGGATTGGGGTCCGGTATGGCACAATATGCAAATATGGGCGTAATCCGGTTCTGTAACATTCCTCCAATGATAAACATGCTAAAATATGTTGTTGCAACGAAAAGAATGTTTACAACGAAAAAATAATAATAAATGAATGCAACAAAAAAGAAAACCCCAACATACTTAAGTGGTTTAATAGTTTCAAATGAAATCTTAACCAATACGAAATAAACATATTCGCATGGTAGTTTATTTATTAGGTCACCTACACTTCTAAATTGATGTAAATTGTTCGTATTATGCAACTTTAAGTTGAGGGCGTTCGTCTATTGTTCGCCTAGCAATATTACAATTTAGTATAAGACCTCGAATAGATTTAAATGGCCATTTAAACAAAAATTAAGCAAAATTAAGTAACATCCTCATAAAGATTTAAAAAATTTAAGTTATAAAAACCATTTTTACCACAAAGAAGATCACCTAGTGAATAAATTTCCAAAATTCGCATCCAAAACAACACACTTTTTCATCTCAATTTACTCCAAATACAATTTAATAGAATTTATCTAAATGTCTTAAATTTGTTTAAAAATCAATTGTGTTTTAATAAAGATTATCTTTTGATTGAACAAAGTGTACAATATGCAACGGGTACGAATATCGCTTGAATAGACGTTGTAAACGACCGTCACGAACCGACCGTAAAATCGCGACTGGCTCGAAGGCTGTAAAAACGACGCGAACTCGACGTCGACGACGATGTCGATGCGAACCGCTGTGGAAACGCGTGCGCGACGCCCCACGACCATATGATTCGCCACCCGACCAGCCCTAGTATTGATTAATGTTAATTTCAATTTGCTTGATTTAATTGCATCGTGTTAAATGTGAATTACACCCTCAGGAGGTGATCGAATGTCTAACAAACCATACGTTATGTATTAATTTTAGAAACAGTTAATATTTTTTTAAAAAAGATTTAAGCGAAAATTATATTACCATTTTTAGTTTGCAACAATTCATAAATTGCTACTTTATAGGTTATAATTGATCGACATCCAGTTGGATTTTGGAGTACGAACTTTTTAGGTTATAATTTGACGTTTTGAAAAAATTATAAACAACAAATATGAAGTTTTTAAATTTAGTTGTCAACATGTTACCAACCTAAAAGCGAATTTTGGGAAGGCTTCATTTCGTATTGTATCGAAATAATATTGAATTAAAATTTTTAGTATAATTTTTTCGTTACTTTCGTGAAATTTAAATGAGGAAATAACATCTTTTTACTTATATTTTCTTTATATCTTTTATATCTTCTAAATAAAATTGTCTCTGCCATCTATTAACAAATTAAAGAAACTTCAATTTTTTATTCTTAAGAATTCGCTAAATCTTTGAATAAAATCTTTTGATGAATCCGCAAAGATATTCGATACGGTTAAAAACCCTCGGGAAAACTTATCGTGTCCTTATAAAATAACAAAGTACTTATGTTTCATTTACTGTGATATAAGTTAATTGTAGGTACTTACAAGTTGTGTTGCAAAATTAAATTAATATTATATTTAAAAATATGTAAAATGTTGATAAAATTACAAAGTGTTTCTTTTCTTTTTTCAGGTTTTGTAATAATATTTGTTGTGCATTAAAATAAAATAATCTCAGCAAGGCTACACACATATCCGCTGCGTATATTTGAATGCCTATCCTTTCAAAAATGTTTATTAAAATTGTATTTTAATTTTTTCTCTGTAATATTCGTCAAGGTAAAATATTTAGGGTCGTTATTGTTATTACCTAAGATTCTTATAATGTTATTCTGATTTCTTGTAACATTTTTAATAACTAAATAGTTGAGATTGTTTTTTTTAATAATGACAGTTCAAACGTCAGCGTGGCACAAAGAGATTTTAAAACATGATAGAACAAAATTCCCTGTTAATCTTGTCAACTTTACAACCATTTGACGGATATAGAATAAAATCAAGCGTTTAGGCACCTTATAATTTAATAAACGAAGCATTTAACTGTTAGAAATACGTTTAAACTCTAACGTATACGTATCACTAGAATATCGAAAGCTGTATATTTGGTTGCATATACAACAAAAGAAATTTTACTTTTAGTTAATTTTGGATCTCCGCGTTGGTCCGTTATCAATGGTCATTTTTTACGTCAAGAAATCAAGCTTTAAATGTTAAATAATTCTGCCAGAGTAAATTGAGGATAAAATGATGTAAATTTGATGATTTCATTTGATTCTTCATTCTTGTACCTTCATCAATTTGTTTAAAATACCTAAAACCAAGAAGTTAGAGTTAGATTGTCTTATATTTTGATTGAACTAAAACTACAACTAACATTAGACCTTGAACTAGAAAGTATGACTAACAACCACTTGGAAAGAGGAGATACTGTTATCAAAAGTTATCTACTGCTTCCAAAGTGCTAGATATTGCTGGAAAGAACTAATAGCTGCATGGAGAAGATTAGATACTGCTGGCAAAAGACTAATAACCACTTGGAAAGAGGAGATACTGTTTCCAAAAGTTACCTAATGCTTCCAAAATGCTAGATACTGCTGGAAAGAACTGGAGAAAACTTCAGACGCACGGCTAAACCCGATTTTTTCTAGTTCTAGAGCTAGTTCTAGTTTTAATTGATTTTTAGCGCTAGGTTGTATATTTTTATTGAACTAAAAGTAGAACTAACAATAAGACTAAACCTAGAACTAGAATAATTTGGTTTTAGCGTGGTATTTAAAAAAATATTACTTATAAAATTATTTTTATTATAAAATTCATTTAATTATTAGTAATATTTGGTTTATTAAATGGGAAAAAAAGTAGTAAAAATTTCATTCTTTACGTAATAGGTTTGTAGTAAAACAATTAGACCATAAAGCATTCCAAGGAATGAAATCAAAAGAAGCAAAAAAAGTGTATGATGCAACAACTCGACCCAGTTACTTCAAGTCGAAATAAATTCCCATCAGGTGTCGTATCCTGCCTGTGACATCTCTATAATACACCGAGACCTTTGAATAAACAAACTAACACACCGCTTGTATAAAATGATTTAAATCGTTTATTGCATTGACAATAAAACGTTCATCGCCAATTTGCAATTCGAAAGAGGTTGGTGCACGTGGCCGCATTTTGAAAGTAGCTTCGGGGGCAAAAAACTTAAGAGTTAAAATACGAGGAGGAGAAGGAGGAGAGTCCGCACACAACCACCAGGAGGAGGTCGATCGACTCCAACGTTCTCTTCAACTCGACCATCGTCATCCGGCCGAGCAATGAGCCTCTCTATTATCCGCTATAATTTCGCAAAGGAAATAAGAGGGGGCCACATTCGCTTTAATGTAGAGCCGCGTTGTTCGCCTGGCCTCCAATAACTAGCGATACGATTCCTGTTTTTCTAAACGTAGTAAATATACCTGTATACTAAACGCAACGAACAACGGGGCCTAAATTTTCGGGAGTGGGGTTTTTCAGTTGGCGACGACGCGCTTTCCAGAACACGTGGTGCTCAGTCGGAAGTGCTTCGATATGAAAGTAACAACGGACGTATTTAAAAAGTGTTTTTAAAAATAAACTTCTTTTGTTAGTTAAAAAGTTTTTTAAAGAATTAAAATGGGTAAAGCTTTGAGTCAAAATTCACTTGCCGGCTCCAGTCAAGGAATTAAAATGAAAAAGGAGTTAGGATTAATTGATGGTGTTGCTATTATTGTTGGAATAATAATCGGAGCGGGAATTTTTGTCTCTCCAAAAGGAGTATTAAGATATTCAGGATCTATTGGACAAGCTATTATAGTTTGGATACTCTCAGGGTTATTATCAATGATTGGAGCTTTATGTTATGCCGAATTAGGTAAGGATACATTTCATTGCAATTTTTATTAACAAATCTCACTGTTGCATCAACTTTAATGAACTTTCGATTAATTTGAATCTTAGCGAATTCGATTAGAAGTTGCGTAAGACTTTTTAAACCCACCTTTGTAAAATCTTTTGGAGGTGGATGGTTGCCGAAAAGTGCTAAGATTGTTGGTGTTAAAATCATTTTTAAATTTTTTATAACTACTGGATACTACTGTTATGACCGCATTTTCCTATGGGTTTTCTTATCGTTTTGTCAACAATGTTTCGTTATCGTTCTCGCGTATTTGTAGGTACACGCGAATTCAACACAGATTTATTTAACAACTCCAAAAACTGTAATTTATATCAAAAAATATTTATATTCAATTTTTAATGTTAAAATTTAACATTCTTATAAAAATAACATAACCACAATCAAGGACACATTTGACGTTTTAAATATTTTCAGTCAAATCGAATTGGTTGCTAAGCAACGGCCGATTTCTCTTTTTAGCGGGATATTCAAATTCTAATTTATTTTTTTATTGATTTCTTTTCTGGTCTTCTTTTGTAACGGTAGTTTTCGCAAAAATTAATTTACTTTTTATTAAAATATGCAGCAAATGAAACCGGGTTTTAAAATATTTTAAAATAATATTTAAATTTTAAACATTATGGATACACGCGTTTCTAAATGAAAAATAAATTGTAAATTTAAATCCGAACAAAAACCGTGAGATTGTATATACATTTGAAACAAAGAATAACAAATAAATGCGTTCTGAAAGAGTTAAAAGCCGTAATCCTCGATAACCTTTACTGCGTAGATATGGGAGTGCTCGATTAATGTTTTCTTGTTTACTGTATTGTTAAGGTGTGATAAAAATAATTTAAAACGTGAAGAAAATTCATTTTCTTTTTTTCGATAAGTTAATATGCTTTGTATCGACGTAAAACCATTCAATTTTTTAATGAATAGTATTTTAATCTGGAATTCAATGAGGCATTTAAGCAGAAATGGTGATTATTATGTACACCTACTAATCAATATCGATAATTTATAATGTTTATATTTGATATTACAATAAAACCTCGATTCAGCACTAGATCTATAACTAGAAACACTAGCAGTATCTAGTCTTCTCCAAGGAGTTATTAGTCTTTTCCAGCGGTATTTAGCAGTTTGGAAGCAGTAGGTAACTTTTAGAAACAGTATCTCCTCTTTCCAAGTAGTTATTAGTCTTTTGCCAGCAGTATCTAGTAATTTGGAAACAGTAGGTAACTTTTGGAAGCAGTATCTCCTCTTTCTAAGTAGTTATTAGTCTTTGGTCAGGAGTAGCTAGTCTTCTAAAAACAATTATTAGTCTTTTCCAGCAGTATTTAACATTCCGGATGCAGTAGGTAGCTTTTTGGAAATAGTAGGTAACTTTTAGAAACAGTATCTCCTCTTTCCAAGTAGTTATTAGTCTTTTGCCAGCAGTATCTAGTAATTTGGAAACAGTAGGTAACTTTTGGAAGCAGTATCTCCTCTTTCTAAGTAGTTATTAGTCTTTGGTCAGGAGTAGCTAGTCTTCTAAAAACAATTATTAGTCTTTTCCAGCAGTATTTAACATTCCGGATGCAGTAGGTAGCTTTTTGGAAGTAGTAGGTAACTTTTAGAAACAATATCTCCTCTTTCCAAGTAGTTATTAGTCTTTTGCCAGCTGTATCTAGTCTTCTGAAAGCAGATATTAGTCTTTTTCAAGCAGTATCTAGCATTCTGGAACTAATACGTAGTCTTTTGGAAACAATATCTACAATTTAAGTTTTTATATCTGAAAACGCACAGCTAAATCTGAATGTTTCTACTTTTAATGTTACTTCTAGTGCTAATATTAGCTCTAATTTTACTTGTTCTAAATCGTTTATAATTAATTATTTCTTTTTAGGTACAATGATACCAAAATCCGGAGGTGATTACGCTTACATAAGCGAAGCGTTCGGTCCACTTCCAGCTTTTCTTTACCTTTGGGTGGCACTTTTCATTCTGGTACCAACTGGAAATGCAATAACAGCAATAACTTTCGCCCAGTATATTCTTCAACCATTATGGCCAGCGTGTGATCCCCCTTACGAAGCTGTACGATTAATCGCTGCGGTTACAACGTGTTTTTTAACCGTAATCAATTGTTACAATGTTAAATGGGTTACCAGGGTTCAAGATGTGTTCACAGCGACGAAAATCTTCGCGTTATTATTGATTGTAGCTGCGGGGATATATTATTTATCAACGGGACATACACAACATTTACAAAACCCTATGGAAGGAACTCAAACCGAGCCTGGTTACATCGCGTTAGCGTTTTATTCCGGGTTATTTTCTTATTCTGGATGGAATTATTTAAATTACGTTACCGAAGAATTAAAAGATCCATATAGGTAATTATTTTTGCATAACTTTTTTATTTAAATTAATTGTAATATTCTTTTTTGTTTAGAAATCTTCCTCGCGCAATTTGCATTTCGATGCCGTTAGTAACGATAATTTACGTTATAACAAACGTTGCGTATTTCGTTGTATTGAGTCGTGCCGAAATTTTGGAATCGCAAGCGGTTGCAGTTACATTTGGTGATAAAATGTTGGGCACATTCTCGTTTTTAATGCCGTTCTTTGTTGCTTGTTCTACTTTTGGATCCTTAAACGGAGCTATTTTTGCTTCATCTCGATTATTTTTTGTTGGGGCGCGTCAAGGACATCTTCCGCAAGCCATCGCATTAATTGATATTAAAAGACTCACCCCGGTACCTTCATTAATCTTTATGGTAAGTTCAAGGATTATTTATTTCAATTCTTTTTCTAATTTTGTTCTTATTTTTTAGTGTATAATAACGTTAGCTTTGGTTGTAATTGAAGATGTTTACGTATTAATAAATTACGTATCATTTGTGGAAGCTTTATTTATAATGATCAGCGTAACGGGTCTTTTATGGATGAGGCGTTCGAGGCCGAACGCTGAAAGGCCTATAAAAGTAAATATTGCGCTTCCAGTGATATTTTTTATAATATGCGCATTTTTGGTGACTTTTCCGTGTTATGTTTCGCTTCTCGAAGTTGGAATAGCCTCCGTTTTTGTTCTTTGTGGTATTCCGGTGTTTTACGTCACAATTGGTTGGAAATCAAAACCAATTTGGCTACAAAGGTGCTTTGATAATTTCAATAAAAGCTGTGCTAAGCTCTTTGTTTGTGTACCAGAAGAAACCATTGACTGAGACAATTCTTATAAATAGAATAATAAATAAAAAGACAATAAATTAATTGGGATTCAATCATTCCATTGCAAAAGAAAGGGAAAAAGTATTTTTAACCATCACAAGGTGTTTTTAAAAAATTGTTTCTTGTGATAATTTTTATTTAAGCAAACTTGTACAATTGACCACATAGTTTTCATTTTTAATCTTTAAAGACTAATGAATTTATAATGACCCTCTAATGTCTGGGGTGATTGTTATTTATTATTTGTGAATGTATTCTTTTCTTTTGTCTTATTTTGTGTTAAGCAATAAACGGATAACGAGAGATTATGAACTTAAGTGTTGAGGTAGATTAAAACCTTAAATTTTTTTTTCACTAAATATAATTTCACTGAATGTTACTTCTTAAGTTATTCCTAAGAAATTCAACGACGCATTTAATTAGATTATATCAGGTATAGTATTTGTTGCAAAATGCTTTAATGCGATCTCCAGCTTCCAGCATTAATTCCGAAGGTAAGGTTATAACCAATCTCATAAATCCTGGGAGTTCAAAACACTGAAAAATATATAAACATTATTTAAATTAAATTTAACAATACTTAAGATTTATAAAAACATTAATAATAAACACACTGAATATAACATAACCTCACTTTAATGATGAATCGTTAAAATATTTTAAATTACTTTAATTTATTGAATTTTGCAATTCTTTTATGTTTAAAAATAAGAATTCTTTCAAAAACTCGTTAAATTAAGTTTAAAAAATCGGAATTTAATAATAATAATAAATACCAACTGAATATAACATAACCTCACTTTAATGATGATTCGTTAAAACATGAAATTTTTTAAATTACTTTTATTTATTGAATTTTGCAATTCTGTTATGTTTAAAAATAAGAATTCTTTTAAAAAATTGTTAAATTCCGTTTAAAAAATCGTAATTTAGTAATAACTGATTATAACATAACCTCACTTTAGTGATGATTCGTTAAAACATGAAATCTTTTAAATTACTTTTATTTATTGACTTTTGCAATTCTATTATGTTTAAAAGTAAGATTTGTTTTAAAAAATCGTTAATAATTAAATAAAACAAAATAAAATTTTAATAAAATAAAATAATTTCTGCAGCTAACTTCACTTTAAAACTTAAAATTAATTTAATTATTAAACATTACTTACATCCCCTGGTAAACAAAACACCGATTCTTCCTCCATTAACCTCCTAACAAACTGCAATCCAGTTTGGAATTGTGGAAAATGTTCAAGGCAAATCTTAACCATCATATACATAGCACCATCAGGCATGTAAGGAATTAAACCTGGAATATCTTTAATTTGGTCAAAAGTTAACGTGGCGTTTTCGCAAAGGGTGTTAATTAAATCGTCGTGAAAATTTTGTGGTGTTTTCAATATTTTAGGTAAAGCTCCTTGAACGATTGTGTTACTACCGATGGTTTTTTGGCTAAGACATAACAATCCTTTCTTAATTTCATCTAAAGCATTAACTGGGTCGTGGATAACAATCCAGCCCATACGCCATCCGGGAATTAAAAACCTCTTTGCCAATCCGCCACAAATCAACATTGGCACTCCAGATTCCAAAGAGGCCATTGAAACGAATTTTTTCTCAGGAAACACCAAGCGTTCATAAATTTCATCCGCAATAACCGGAACTTGATATTTCCGGGCGATGTTTAAAATTTTCGCGAGATGTTCTTCATCGAAAACTGATCCACACGGATTCGATGGATTATTTACGACAATAGCGGAAGTATTTTCATCAATTTGCGATTCCAAATCGTACAAATCAACTTGCCAATTCTTTTCTGATAACAAATTATAAGTTTTTACTTTAACACCATTACTTTCCGCCAAAGTTCGATAAATTGGAAATCCCGGTCGTGGCATTAAAATGTTGTGATTTTTCCCTGCATCAGCTAAAACGCTTATACATAAATCTAAAGCTGATGAACAACCGCTGCATAAAATAATATCTTTTGGAGAAATTTCAACGCCATCATGTGATAAATACTCTGCCACGGCTAATCTTGCTGATTCATAACCAACGCATGGAGCATAACCGTTTGATGAACACTCATTTATAACCTCTAAAATTGATTCGAGTGTTTCTTGAGATGGTTTTAAGTTTCCATAAACTGTGGGATCACCTACGTATGAGGAAAAAAATTAAAATGTTATGTTATGCATAAATATAGGAAAATAAGATTTTTTTTTCGGCGAGAATCACGCCATACATTCTTCAATGAAATTAACAATGCAAATGTGTTAAGCGAAGAAATCGGCGAACAAAAAAAACCTGATATACTAGTTACCATAATGACCTATACGTTATTGTAATTAAATAACAGAATGGCAAAATAAAAAAAATTATCGCAAAGAAGTATTTACCTAATGAGAGTGCTATAACTTTCTTTTCTGGATTAGGTTCTAAATTCAAATTGTCCACGATATCTCTGATATAATTCTTGCAATTTTTTGCAGCTTTGGACGCCGTTATCTTCCATTCTTTCTGCGTCTTCTCATTGTAACCCAATTCATCTATTATTGGAGTCTCTAACATGATGGTTTTAAGTTAAATTTTTGAAACACTATCTTTTCGTTACGAAATCTTTTATGGTTAATTTTCTTTTTTTTTGTGGAGTTCTTTCTCGGTTGAGTATTCTATAAGAAATAACCGTGATCCGTTGAGATCAACTTGTTAAAACTATAGAAAACCAGTCACGGCCTTGGAATCGAAAATGATATGCGCCATATGTAAGTTGACGTCGGAAGAAATCCACACAAGTCGACAATCACCAAAGGGGACGATGAAGAAAATGCTTCCGATTGGTTCTTTATTATTGATACGCAAAAGACTTGTATCGTAGATGTTATGGTGGAGGTGCCATGCGATCGGGATCTTTTGCGTTCGAATCTAAGGTGGTTTGCTGTTGTTGTTTTTAACAGGGATTCTAAACCAAAGGTGTGGTTGTGGAAAAAATTATTTTTGTTGTTCATTAAATTCTTTTCTAGGTAATTTTGTTTATCGAGATGAATGCGTTAAAAACAACTCTTGTTTTTTTACATCTTGGGAAATGAATAAAGATAAAAAATTCCTAATGAAGATCGTAATTTTTATATACTTTTATCTTATTAATCCAAAAATCTTAATATTTTGTTGATATTTGATTTCATCATTATTAATAAAACCTTGTTTTAGATACTTTTTGACAATTTTTTTTAAATTTTATTGAGAATCGCTGTTATTAAACAAAAAGAAATTCATATCTTAAAAAATACCAATTCAAATAGCTATTTATGACGTCACGGAATATACCTGTTGCGGGACTCCGCCCACAAAGGTGACTTCTCCGGTTAATTTGCATTCCTGCTGAACAAGAAGTCAAATCCTGTGTCGTTGTTATCTGCTCATTTTAATTAAGTGGAACGATTTGCCGGGGGTGATGCCAAAGGGGTTATGATTCCTGAGTTGTGCAATACTTAGAGCATGACGCGACTTTTGCGTCCAAACAAATTTGAGTATTATATCACCCTCTAAACATAATAAATTATAAATAATTAAATCCAATTAATGCAATAATCCATAGCATTGAATTGCTATTGGTTATTTCTCTTTTAATAGAGATAAAATGGATTAATATGCAAACAACGCACACAGAAACATAAAATATTCATAGTTATTTATGAATTTATGAACCTGTTATTATGATGAGGATAAAGTACACATTTTTTTTTATTTGAAATAGAAGGTTAAGATCAATCGGCAAAAAAAGTTTTAAGATTTTAACCAAGCGTATACGTATTGAATTCATTGTACGTAATAAAAAGTTTATGCATAAACAATTAAATTGAATTTGAATCAGGTAAAAATAGCGAACACACGTGAATTGATGATGGAAATTTGCCAAAAATGTATGAATGGCTAGAAGCAATTGGGAAACGCGCATTAACGTGCCATAATTTATGTGGTCTCATTTATTGCTTTCTAGTTATTTCTATTAAATTTGAAAGAAAATTTCAAAATTTGATGATTTTTGTGTTGTCAAAATATTGACAGATAAAATAAATCATAACCTCACTTTTAAAGAGAAAATTAACTTTGACCATAAAAAACGATTTTACACATTTATCGTTGTAAAATTGACTAATTACATTAAAAAATTAATAAAAAGGATAATTTTTGATGTATGCAGTATTTCATTTCATTTCTCGATATGACAGAAAAAGTGATTATTTTGGTTTATAGTTATAAAATAGATTTGTTTAATACTTTTATTCTATAAAATCTAACTATGTTTTAGTTATTCTAATAAATATAGAAAGAATTTTCAAATTAGTGTTTTAAAATTATAGGCTGTCAAAATGACAGAACTAAACAAACATAACCTCACTTTTTAACAAATCAACATTGACCATAAAATTCGAGTTAAACACTTTTTTTTTTAATAACCGGTTATAAACTTAATTAAATACGTTAAATAAATAGTAACTGTTAATATAATTTAGGTATGTATAATTTCGTCTTATTTCTTGATGTCAGATAAAGTGATTGTTGAATTTCAGCTAATTTTAATCTTATAATTTCATTTATATACAATTTAGTTGCCAATGTAAAACATTTTGTAGAAAAGTTTGTAGGCAACCTCAAAAATGTAAAATATGCATCCGTAGATGTCATCGATTATACTAAAACACGAAAACCTAAATCTTGGTATACAACATTGAAGAAAATTATATACTTGAAAAGAATTGCTATAAAGCCAAAGGATAGTAAACAATTAAATTAGTATATTTTTAGAAAAATCCCTTTAATTATTTATTTAAAATTATATGCTGTCAAAATGACAGTTCCAAACAAAATATAACCTCACTTTTTAAGAAATCAACATTGTCCGTAAAATGCAACTTACACACATTTTACTGAACAACCGATTGTAAAATTGAATAAATATGTTAAAAAAAGTTAACAACAAATAATTTTTGATATAAATCTGGTAGGTATGACTGTATCATTTTTCAACATGGTAAATAAGGTAATTGTGTTGGGATTCAGTTAGAAAATAAGTTTGTTTAATAATTTTAGTGTTATAGTTTCATTAATATAAGATTTAGTTTATTACAGGTAATAAATTTTGTAGGGGTATTAATAGACAACAAGAAAATGTAAAACATGTTTCCGGAGATGTCATCATCATGAAAATCACAAAGAAACTTTCTCTTTCTGGAATACAACGTTGAAGAAGGGAGTGTATTTAAAGACAACCTTAACAAAGCCAAAAGGTAGTACAAAATTAAAATGGAACATTTTTATTGTATTCCAGATTCTCTATCTCTGATTATAACCAAAATTAAATTAAAATTTTCTGTTAATAATTTTAATGTTGAGGTTACGTTTATTACCTAAGATTGAAAATGAGAATAAATTTATTTTTTATCATTAAAAAAAATTTTTGACAGTTCAAAACATACCTAACCTCACTTTTGAACAAAATCTAACCTAGAATATTTAAAACGTCATCACATTAACCTCAATTATAATTTTTACTTACTCATTTAAGATATATCACTATTTTTAAGAATTCTCTTTGATTTTTTTATTAAATAATGAAAAAAATACTCAGATAAAGTGAAAAGTCAAAAAGAATTTTTATTCAACACACCTTAATCTATAAAAAATAATAATTTCAAATTTTAAATAAAATTTAAATTATTTCAGTCCATTAATAACTTATTTCCCCGCACTTTTTATTAAATTTTTTTTGGTCCTCGTTCTTCTTTTTATCTGATTTTTATTTTATTCTTGGATAATAATAAAGCACCGATGATCCAGGTAATTGCCAGTTAGACGCGTGCAATTCGATTAGTTGTAGAAGTGTTTTCCTTACCGAAGGAGATCCAACGCTCGCTAAGAACCCATCTCGAACGTTTGCTAAAAGCTGTTCCAATTGTGCGGGAAGTTCGTTTTCTAAATCCCTTCCAATCGAGGTTAGTACAAAAAAGAGGCATTCCGTTTCCGCTAAGCATTTAATCGGTAGACTCACGCACGCTTGGCAACATTTTGCCAAAACGGAAAGAAGTACCAAATCGGGTTGCAAATTTTCAAATCGATCTCTTAATTGATGACGTTTAAGTTGACCACACATCTCAGTTAAAAACCACATAAAAGCACTAAATCTAGTCCCATCTCCAGCTTTTATACCGCGTAAGATTTTATCACGTTCTTGATACCATTGCTGACAGGTGTTAATTAACGATTCAATAAACGTTTGGGTGCGTTCTTTTTCAATAATCGTAACACAAAGTTTTGCTCCAGCTTCCGAATATTTTATTCCTTCAACAACCCGTTCCATTATTATCTTAGCCAATTCCATTAAAGTTCTCGATTGTAATTGATTAGGATTTTCAGTCGCTATTTTAACCGTTGCCGAATGTTCAGAAAAAGCCCCCAAATCGGCTTCTTGTAACATCAAAAATTCTTTATTTTTAGCCATATTTCTTATTTCTGCAGCCCCCGTTGATTTAGAACGTCTCAAATTGTGATTTTGAGGGGAAGAATTTTGATTCCAATTCTGATTTTTTTGTTGCTGTTGTTGTTGTTGGGCTTGTTGAAGAAATTGATGATGAGCGCTTAACGCTTCCGCTGTCATTTGAAAATTAACTCGAGGGAGATGATTTAAAATTTGAGATGTTGAAGTTGAATGAAGAATAGGAAGTGGAACAATAGGAATAATTGAATGTGGGAGATGTCTAAGAACGTTTCCACTCGATTTTGATTGTTGTAAAGGGTGTTGGTGTTGATGATGTTGAATATTGTTACAATCAAAATTGAATAATGCTAAGTTTCCGCTTGATTTTGACGTTTGAAGTTCGGACCCCATCGTAAATTCTTTCGCGTGTACGTTTAATTTGTTATTACCGTGTTGTTGAGGAATATTATCTATTCGCACGTTGGGGGGTCTATAAATTTCCATCGTTGGTTTGTTACCTTTTACGAGATTAGCAGCCATCATTGTTTGACTTCTTCGTTTCGATGATTCTCTGCTATTTTGTTTAACAAAGCTTCGCTCTCGCAAAACGGTTGTTGAACTTGATTGAAAATCGGCTTTTTGACTACGTTTTAAGCCACCCGATTGTTGATTTTGAGACATTTTTACTCTTTTTTTTAATTAAAATTGTTACGAATCAGTTAGCACACACGTTTATAACTGAAAGGAAACTAAACTCGGCTTGCAACTATAATAAGTTTTGACGAATGCCGTCCACGCAATCGCCTAATTTAGATGTGCGAGGTTACGCGATGAATTTCCATCCGTATAAAATAGGAGGTGAACGAAAAATATTAAAAACGTATGTAATTTTTTTGCTTTTAGATTTCGCTGACCGATTTCTTTGGTTTGTTACAGGAAAGCAAACTGATGTGGCGGAACTATCGTTAAGAAATTGTGGTCTCCTCTGTTTCGTGTATTTTTAGAGTGTGTTTAAATATATCTCGCGGGGTGATGCTGGTCGCTCACCGAGTTAAACTATCCGTTTTGTGTCCGTTTGTTCTCGAGAGACGCCTTGAGACTTAATAATAGAAACTGCGGGCGTGGTAAAACCTCTCTTCGTTATTTGACGATCACCACCACGACAATGTTACGCTCAATTTGGACCTAGCCTTTGAAAAAAAAATTTTTCTTTTGAGTCTGAATAGCACAATTTAAATCTAATCTTAAGCAACGAGTTAACTGATTATGTAAAAAAAACAACTTTTTATATATGTACTTCATTTATTCTTATAAATACAATTTTTACCCAATTATATTTAACACCATAAAATAAATAAAATCTTTGTAACAAAAAATAAAATAAACTATAAAATGTAACATTAAGAAAGTTAAATTCATTAAAACTATTCGTTTGCACACTTTTAAAAAACTTAACTTTATTTGACATTTAGATGACATTTAGTAAAAGCAAACCTAACCTCACTTTTAATAATGATTTAAGTTGACATAGTAAGTATCCAACAAACCAAAAATCCCTAAATCTTATGATTTGCCAAAACGAATAAGTTTTTTGGATAAAATTATTTTTAAAATTGATCAAATTCCGTCGAATCAGGAGGAATATCGTCATCTTTCTTAAACGAATCAATATTTCTAACATCAATATTACTTGTCAATTTTGGAACGTAAGGAGCCTTCATTTTCTTACTTCTCAATTTGTTCCATTCGAAACCTTGGAACCACTTATGATTTCGAATATCATCGATACCATTCTTTTGGAGTCCCAATCGTTCCGTTGGAGTTGGTCTACACAGTTTCAAAATAATATTCACTGCGCTACGACTAACGTGTTGAGGAAAAGTAACTGCATTAATTCCTTTTAAAATTCTATTATAAGTTTTCATATAATCATCCCCAGCTCTAAACGGAGTTCTTCCCACTAACAATTCAAAAATTAAAATACCAAACGTCCAATAATCAGCTGATTTATCGTGCCCTTTATTGTAAATGATTTCGGGTGCGACGTATTCGGGGGTTCCGGCGAATGTAAACGTTTTTAATTGATCACCTAAATGTTTTGCAAAACCGAAATCGGTTAATTTAATGTATCCTTGTGCGTCGATTAAAAGATTCTCCGGTTTTAAATCGCGGTAAATGTATTTTCTTTCGTGGAGATAAGCGAACGCTTCTAAAACACATCCGGCGAAGAATCTTGCGTCTTGGTCTGAAACGCATTTATTCTTTCTCTTTTGCAAATAAGCCCACAGATCACCACCGAGACAACTTTCCATCAGAAAATATAAATATTTTTGATCTTTAAAAGTGTTGTATAACCTCACAATAAATATACTATTACATTTAATTTGAATATTACGTTCATTGTAAACATGCTCAACTTGGGATTGCTCAACCATATCAGCTTTCTTTAAATATTTCAATGCAAACGTTAAATCTTTTTGCTTTTTATGTTGTACCAGTTCAACGCGACCAAATCCTCCAACACCCAACGTTGCTATCATTGTTAAATCAGCTAATTTTATATCCGAATATTCCCCTCCCGCCGATGTTGATGGCATTTCTCTTTTTGGTGTTTTATCTTGTTCCTGAACATCTTCGATTTTATCATCAACAACTTTTAAGAGGTTGGGATCGAAATGTTCTTGGAATTGAGTACGAGTTAATGTTAAACATTCAACAGATGGTGCTTGAGCTGTTACAGTGGCTTGTCTTGTATCTGAATATAATAAAGCACGTTCTCCGAAGAATTCACCTTTACCTGGAATAATAAAAAGCATTATATTAGATTAAAAGTAAGATGATTGTATTACTTGTTTATTTGGCTTATTAAATATTTTTAAGGATGTTTTATTACTTTACCCAGAATTGAGTTATCATTTTTTCGTTCAAAACATTTTTATCTAAATAAAATATTGATATATCCCTCATCTTATGCATAAGTCTCTCAAGACGGCTAAACCCGAATGTTTCTAGTTCTAGTTCTTGTGTTAGTTCTAGTGATAGTGCTAGTGTAGAACTAGAACTAACACTAGACCGAGAATTAGAAACATTCGGGTTTAGCCGCACGTCTCTCAAGACTGCTAAATCCAAATGGTTCTAGTTCTAGGTCTTGTGTTAGTTCTAATGATAGTGCTAGTGTAAAACTGGAACTAACAACGCAACGTTAGATTGTTGTATATTTTTCAAGAAACTATAACTAACACTAGACCTAGATCTAGAAACATTAGGGATTAATCGTCTTAAGACACGCACGGCTAAGCCCGAATGTTTCTAGTTCTAGGTCTAGTGTTAATTCTACTTTTCGTTCAATAAAAATACCACAATCTAACGGTGAATAACTATTCGGATTTAGTCGCATGTATTGCATTTAAAGTGAAATTAACTGCATGTTGAAACTGCATAAAAAACTAAATTCATGTTAGTTAGGCAACCCCTTTTACTTTTAAACATTACCTAATTCTCCAACTTTTCCTTCACCATTTTTCGTGACAGTAACTGATCCAGCTCGAATAATATAAAATTTATCGCCAACATCGCCTTCTTTAACAATAACCGTATCCGGTTTAAAAACTTCTTTTTTCAACAAATCAGCGATTATCCTCAATTTTTCCTCTCTCAACTTATTAATCATCGGGACATTCTTTAAAAAGGAAAACGTTTCGTTCATGTATTGCATTGCATCTTTAATAAGACTTTGTTGATAGACAACTCTCGGTAAAACCCAAATCTTTCCGCTCGTGATCGCTTTAATCGTCGCTAATCGTTTATTGTTATACAAAACGGCCAATTCCCCGAAAACTTTTTGATCACTAAATGAGCTGACCAATTTGTTCTTAACGTAAACCTCGAACGTCCCTTGATCGGAAACGTACATATTACTTCCAGGTTCGCCTTCTTGAATAATCACTTCGCCTTCCGCGACTTCTTTGGAATACATCGCATCTACAATTACATCTAAAATTTTTCCTTGAAGGATGTTTTCCAAGAATTCATTTGAAGATATCGCCTTTTTGATGATTTCTTTGTCGCTATATTAAAACAAAATTATTTGTTAATTAATATTTTCTGCAAAATGGCTAAACTATTAAAAAAAAAGCAGACCACACGATTTTTTATTTTATAAAATCCAAAGAAAGCAAAAAGAAATAAGATAATAAGAAAGAAGAAGTAAGACAATCTTTTTTAGTTGGCACATCAAAAAGCGTTTTAACTTGTCTTACCTCTTAGACAGAACCGTGTGCTCTGAAAATATTCTGAAAGTTATTTAATTCTTTTTAATTCAATATTGAGTTTTTAATTCATGTGCAAATACTTTTTTCTTTGTTTTTCTCTTTTAATTTAATAATCTTACTGGTCACTTTTTGGCGTAACCTCAATTTCAACATTATTATCCAACGGAATATGTTCTCTAATTCCAGGTCTTCTTTCATCTACAACTTGAGGATTTATAACAGGTGGCTTCTCTGGTTCAGCAGGTGGCTTCTCTGGTTCGCCAGGTGGCTTCTCTGGTTCATCAGGTGGATTAAAAACTCGAGCTGTAACATTCATTTTCCTACTCCAACAGCAACACTTCAGGCAAAGCATGTTTTTCTAGAAGAAAATATAGAGAACTCGCGAGATGTACACCAAAAAAATAATAATTGATTTTTGTATTGATTAAAAATTGTTCTCCGAGATTAATCTAATCGCGAACGCATTTCCTTGTACTTAAATTGTTGAGATTAAAAGTTATTATTATTTTTTAATACTATTATTGTGCTAATTTTTGGTTAGTTACTAATTTTTTTACTTACTGCATGTAATGATACTAATACAACAGTTTCTAAATGATATTACTTGTTAATAGAACTATTTCGTACACTTTATGTGTCGATAAGAAATTATTAAAAGATAAGATAACTGTGGAGATTGAAATTCCTAAAACTAACGTCTTAAAGATATCAATTTATTTTTATATTCCAATAACAGGATATTCGATGATTAATAATTTATGATCACACACGATTATTTTTACGTATATTATTTAATTAGGGAGAAATTACACTGATTGCAATTTTTTAATTCGCAGATTTTTTTTCTGCGCAAAACGTAGCACAAAAGCGGAGCGCTGCAATAATAGTTATAACTTTACGTGAGAAAATCGCTTTAAAATCGTAATAAAATCGTGCAATATAATGGAATAATTCATTAAATTCTCAAGAAACGATAAAAACGATTTAAATACCAACGAAAAATGTAACGTAACTAAGTTACAGCGACATCTGTTACCGATTTAAAATATCACTAAATCATTCTTGTCATTTTGACATTTAAGAATCCTCTTAAAATGACAATTTTAATTAAATACCTACGAAGAATGTAACTAAGCTACAGGAACATCTATTTAAAAAATAACTAAAACAATCGTTTTGACATTTAATAACAATTTTAATTAAATGCTTACGAAGAATAATTAACAGCGACATCTGTTATCGATTTAAAATATAAATAAATTGACACATTCTTGTCATTTTGACAGTTAAGAGTCATGTTAAAATGACTGTAATTAATCCAATATTTTAAAGTTTTCAAGGTCCTCCGTAGTATGTGGAATTCTTTTTAGTTTGTTTCAACCTTCTTTTTTCAGTTTATGAAGAAATCTTAATGAATTGTGATGTTGTTATCGAAAAATTAACACAAAGCAAAGAGAATAAGAAGTATTTGCACATTCTTAACACTTTAAAGCATATATCTGTTAATAAAACGTACCTACTTACCTGTAACTTTTAGGATATGTTTTAATTTCAACATCCTTTTCTTCTTTAATTTTTTCTGTAACTCCAAATCTTCTAAATTCACTTTCTTCTTTTGCAGGTTGTACTGGTGTAAATTCATCGATTTCATCGAGTTTTTTATATCTATCACGTTCATTTTCGTTATGATCCGGGCTAAATAATATCGAATCATATATTTCTACATCTTTGTTCCAACGACCAACAATTTTGTGTAAGAAACTCTTTAAAATGGAATTTATTTTAAATTTTACTTCAAGATTCGCAAAAGGATCAGTTTTAAATAATTTACCTTGTAGGTTAATCTCAAATGTTCATCCATATCGATGAATTTCTATGAACGAAGTGAAAAATAAAAATCTGTTTTATTCTTGTAAATTTTAAACTGTCGTGATAAGATATAAAAATTTTAGGCTGAATACGTTTTAAAGCAATTGTTGTTTATGAATTATCGGAACGGATGTGATTACTTTATTGATTTCTTATCTCAACTTTTTAACAAAATGTTTTATAGAAATGTAAGAAATAACCAATTTATTTTATTAACACCTTTTTATTTTGATTTAATTAAGATCTAAATGATAAAAATGATTTTATTTTAAGAGATACTAATCTGTTGTTTTTATTGTACATAGTTTTACTTAAATAAATTAGTTCTTAATCGATAAAGTCAAAATAAAATTTAAATAATCACAAATTCCCGCCATATTTTTTGAATATCTTAATCATTGTTACCAACACATTCTTTTTTGTTACCACGTAATGTATCTCGCGCATGCGCGTTTACATTTCTTTCATTTACGTGTCATTCCGGCGATGTACCGGTGTTTGTGAATCAATTTTGAATTAAAACTCATCGAAATAATGAAACTCCGTAAGTAAAAACCAATACAATTAATCAATTAATAATGTAATTATTCGATTTAGTTCCGTTTGTGTTCCTCACGGTTTGTGTTTTTATCTCAACAACACACGGTAGTATTAATGGTTATATTACGCCTGGTGATAGAAATAGACTTCTCGAAGCCCTTACGAAGGGTTTTGTAAAATTACAAGAAGGGGATGTGGTTACTGTGTATCAAGCAGCTAAAGGATTTGAATTGTTGGGTCAAAAAGTGGTGAAGGTGTTGTTTATGGATGCTTGCGCTCATTTGAAGGATAATTTCAAGGAAGATTCAACCCCGGAAGCGGCTTTTCATGCAATTTCCACCTGGACGATACTCAAATGCGAAGGAAAATTGTATTCTGACGTACATTTAAACGTAATTAAAACAAAGAAAAGGGTTAATTATATATTATTTAACTTTTTTTTTTGTTTTAATGCAGGTTTTAAAGGTGGCTTTAGGTAGCGATAAATCTTCAACGTCCGATTTGCGATATGCAGCGGAGACTTTACATGTTTTAAACATTCCAATTCCGAATCCTGAGAAGGTGGGAAAGCTTTTACAGGCTAAATTAAAAGAAGATGATGGATTGCAAAGTTTAGGACATGCTTTGCATTTGTCGTCATTGTTGGGGAATGCTGGTAAATTCATTTTGGATCGTATTGAAGATGTTGTTGTTCAAGCAGATGAAGTTGATGGGAAAATGTTGCAATGGGAAGGTGGGCTAACTATAACAGGCTTACTTTTAACTGGGTTATTCCGTGTTCCCGGGGCTAAGCCACTTACGGAAGCTCAAGCTGATAAATTTGCTGTTTATTTATTGAGTAGAAGGAGTGTTCAAACTCCACGTGGGGCTTTAGCTTTGATTCAATCCGCTCAAGTTTTAGCTTCAAGTTCAGTATCACCCGTTAGTTTAACCATTTCTGGACCACCTCACGTAACGTCCGATAAACCAGATTTAACCATAAAACTCACCAATTTATTAGGAGAACCTTTAAAAACTTTACCAAGCCCCGTTGTTGCGCAATCAGCAATTAGAATTACCGATGACGTCGTTGTTTTAAGCAAACAACCACTTACACCAGGCAAAGAATCTAAAACAGAATTTATCTTACCCTTAAGATTAGAACCAGGACAATATAAATTAGCTCTTAGTGCAGGACAACACACCTCAACGTTTACTGTAAGAGTTTTGGGTCCAATTACTTTAAAAAATTTAGAAGTTGGGTTAGGAGACGCCGATGGAGCTTCAGCACCAAAGTTGTATAAATTAAACTATAATTCCCAATTAGATCAAGTTCTCCAAGCTGATTCTACACACAATCTAATTATGAAATTTAATTTACCTCGCCCTGTTCATCAAGCTTTCTTACGTTTATCAGCGGGAAAACGCGAAATTATCTTTATAGCTGAAAGGGATACATCGCAATCGTACAAAATGAGTGTAAATCTTGCTTCTGAACTAACATCTTCTGGTAAATTTGAAATGGAATTGATTATTGGAGACGCAATCGTAAGTAATCCGTTCAGATGGAAGTTAGGTTACGTTCAGGTGAGTGTGTCGCAAAGTGGCGAATCGGAAGAAAAGATTCAATTGACCGGGCCAAAACCGGAAATTGAGCATCTATTTCGTCAACCGGAAAAACGCCCACCTCAAACTGTCTCGCTTCTTTTTACTGCGTTGGCTGGAGCGCCTTTACTCTTATTGTTCGTTTTGTGGGGCAGGATTGGAGTCAACATCAGCAATTTTAGCTTTACTGCTATCCCTTTTCACATTGGATTCGCAGCAATTCTTGGTTTGTTTGCGTTATTTTGGCTCCGTTTAGATATGTTTGTTACTTGCGGATGGTTGTTGCCCATCGGAGGATTCACCTTTTTATCAGGAAATGTTTTACTTAATAAAATTGCTAAACAGCGGAAATAAAAAAAAAGCGTGCATTTAGTTTAGAAATTTAAATTCTTTATCTTCTTAAATGTCTCTGAAATAACTTTTTTGTTTGTCAATGAAAATTGAAAGAAAAATGATCGTATGTGATTATTTAATAAGTTTTATACAATAAAGTGTTGTTAAAAAATTTAATTTTTTTTTAAATTACCTTAAAATACAGTTATAACAGCTTTAGACCAAGAACGGTAGAATAAGAGTATTGGTACATTCTGGGAACAGCCGACGGACCGTTCGTGACGTCACACTACTAGTATTTCACCCTTTCAATTAGTAAATGCTTAATTTATTCTATTCGGATTTTGTATAATTAGTTTGAGACTTGATAACGTTTATAATGTATGTAAAAGAAAAATCTTGATGAATGTTTTTAGGTCTAGTGTTAATTGTGATGTCAGACCTAAAACTAGAACTAACAGCCATCTTAAGAGACGTGCAGCTAAACCCGAATGTGTCTAGTTCTAGGTGTAGTTGATGTCAGAACTGAAACTAGATTCGTAGAACTAGAATGATTCAGGTTTAGCCGCACGTGTCTTCAAACTGCTAAACCCGACTGTTTCCAGTTCTAAGTCTAGTGTTAGTTTTGATGTCAAAACTAAAACTAGAACTAACACTAGACCTAGAAATAGAATCATTCGGGTTTAGCCGTCTTGAGAGATTTGCGGCTAAATCCGAATGTTTCTAGTTCTCGGTCTAGTGTTAGTACTAGTTTGACACTAGAAGTATCACTAAAACTGTTTTAGTTCAATAAAAATATGCAACATCTTATGCTAACTAGCGCTACCTACCACTGTCACTAGAAAAAACGATGTTTCGTTGGCTGGAGAAATTTAATTACTAAATTTCTGTGGTTAACAAATACACAAAAATAGTACTTAAATTGATAAAAAAAAATTAACGGTTGGTATTAAAACTACAATGATCTGTCATAATTTTAATTTAGTTGCGCCATCTATTAGTAAAAAAGTCTTATTTTTTTTATTGGTTTTTAATAATAATTAATTACTTCGTGTAATTTGGTGTAATCTAACCAGAAACGTTCCTTTATAATCTGCAAAAAGTTTTATTGTTTCAATACAAATCGTTTTGGAGAAAACTATTTTTTTTTTTTTATTAACCTCATTTTCAACAAACGTCATTTTCAAATCGACAATTTTAGAAGAAACGTTTTAATAAGTGTTCACCGAGGAAACTTAAAATTAGGTCTGATATAACTCAGAACTTTTCTTTAAAATCGTAAGAAGTGTTATTTCTTAAATCCGAACTGTTTTGGAGAAAACGTTTTCTTCTTTAACCTCACTTTCAACAAACGTCATTGTCAACACGGCGATTTTTATTAACCTCGTTTTTCTTTCTTTAACCTCACTGTCAACAAATGTCAAATTCAAACTAAATTTCACCTAAAGCGCGATATACAAAAATATATTTCAATAGAAACAGGGAGTTTTCTACCACATAAAATGCAACATGACAGTGGTAAGTAGCGTTAGTTAACATAAGATATGTTGCATATTTGTATTGAACTAAGTCTGAAGCTCTAGGTCTAGTATTAGTTCTAGCTTTAACTGTGATTCAGGGCTAGGTTGTTGTTTATTTTGATAGATCAGCAGGTAATTGCAAAAGCGTTGCTGTACATGATAATTTATAAGGCCCGTTCGTAACGTCAGCTCTAATTAACAAATACTAATACTAGACCTAGAAAGTTTCGGACAATCTTCTACACGACTTTGAAATGTCAATTATACCGTGAAGGAATGTTATGTAGGGTTAGTTTTGTTTACAAACATTAATTATAGCATGAAGTTTTCTGTAGTAATTAGTAATGGCAATTATAGTGTGAAAAAATTGCTAATTCAAGTGAAAAGTTTGTATCTGAAGAACCAAGAGTGATATCTCAAAACGGACTCATTTATTGGATAGTAGAAGCTTTAATTGATAATCTGTGATAGTTTCATAAAAAAATTCCATGATGTGGATTTTTCAGAAATTTTTAAATTAACACGAAATAATTGGCAAAAATTGCTATTTAACTTTAATACTTTTTATCTTAAGAACAAAGAGTGATATATATTTCAAAACGGACTTATTTATTGGATAGTACAAGCTTTAGTTGATTTATTGGTACTAGGTTCATAACAATTTTCCAAGAAATTGATTATTCAGAAATTTTCGGTTCAAAACGTATTAGTTTTAATCTAATCATGAGGCCATCAAGGTGTTGTCGAATACACTCCTTGTTTATATTAAGCTGAAACCCATTTCGTAATGTTTCTTACAACTGCTTAAGTGTGATTTTAGGATTTTTTTCAACTTTAAGTGGCCCTTTGTCATTGTACGTGCCACGTGGTTCTTTCTTTATTTGATTGCGGTTTAATTGACACTGATGCCCGTTAAGTATTTCTAAAGTAAGCACACTCACACCCACCCTTAACAACCACTTAATTAATTTGACATCATTTTTTTGATTATAATAGAAGTCCTTTCAGATTCAAAATTGATTCCTAATAATTTTTTGTATATATAAACAATGCTTTTTTTATATAATTGTTTTTATTTCTATTTAAATACATGTCTGAAAGTCGATTCTTTATGTAAAGATAGATCGACAACGCCAGGATAAAATATTTTCAATATTTTTTTAATGAAAAACGACAATAATAATGTATAATAAACTGAAAACGAGTAAAAAAGTCAACAAAATAAATTCTACGGGTCGCGTACACATATAAAAACTAGTTTTTTTTTAGTTATTAATAAATTCCTCCGCGTTTATATTCAATTATGGGCAAAAAAATTTTATAAACGAATTTCTTTTATAATTTAACAAATACAATTCGCTTTTGCTGCGAGATTTTTGTTTGTCTCTATAAAATAAGTAGACCGTACATTTTATTCTTTTATTGTTATTAATTTATGCTTAACATTAGTTTAATCTCACTGTTTTTTTTTTCTTTAAGTTCTTCTTTATTCTTTGTATTCATAAATAAATAGTTTATTTTATAATATACATTTTTCGTTTCAATTTCCTTACACAAAGTTCATTTACTTCGTCGTCGACTAAAAAAGTAAAAACCATCGGATGTGCAATGTTTTGTTAAAAGATGTTTAATCCCCTTTCACAATTCAAGATATGCATAAATTTATTCAATTTTAATTTTCAAATTTTATCTTGTTATTTCCGTTCTGAAATTCGAGTTTTTTTGTACTAGTATTTACGTAGTCCTTTTATCGTTAAAGAAAAAACTAATAATTATGTAAAAATTGCACATACGATTAATTATTTCTTCTTTTTTTCTGTAATCAATCAATTTGTTAATAATTAGTAGTTTCCCACATACAAGAATTAGTAATATTTATAGATATATATCTTTTAAAACTTTTTTTTTGTTTTCAGTAATGCAGATAAAATGTTTTTTATTAAAATAATCTTAGAATCACAATGTTTTTATTTAAATAATTTTTTTATGGAAATTAAGATTATGTTAATAAAAAACACCGTTTTTTTTTGTTTTTGTCCTTTGTTAAAATGTACACGGAGATAATTTTTTCTTTTGGTCAGTAACATTCATTATTTCTAGCATAGTACGTCGTAATCATAATAATACTTTGGTAATGTTAAATATATTTTTGTATATTCATTATTTATTTCTTTTTTTGGCAACAATGACTATTAATTAATAATAGCTTTTTTAACAAAACAAAAAAAACAAAAATTTCTACTTAAATAGATACTTATTTATAATATAGCTTTTTTTTAACAATAATAATATTAATTAGTCGTTCTTTTTTAATTATTATCGACGAGAGCTTGTCTTTTACAATACTGATTAATTCTTCATCCATTGCATTTATTATTTTTTTATATTTAAAATCCTAAGTGTTCTGCCTTTTTTTGTCGTCCTGAAACATTTTCCTACTTCCTAAGGTTTTACAACAATAATTAATAATTTACTTAAATTACAGCGATCTTAATGAATTTATGATAAATTATCACAGATAGGAATTAATTAAAGTAAATAAAAAACAAAATAACATTTTGAGAGTACTCAGAAATGATTAACCCAATTAACTTAAGAGGTTGGTTTCTTAAACTCAAAAAAAAAATTAAAATCTCGATTACAAATCCAAAAACCAACCGAAACAAATTAAATTAAACCCCACTCCTTAATCACGCCTAATCAAATCAAATTTTATCCATTTTTGTTAATCGCTCAACTTGGGTACTCCATATTGAATTTTAACCTTGATATTTATTAACTATTCCTCCGGTCAAACGTTCATAGCATAAAACATCGGTTTTTGCGGATTTTGAGGCGACGTCGGAGATGTCATTGTAGAAGAATTATTCATTTGGCCGCAATCCTGAGGACTAACGCTCGCGGCACCTTCAGGTACACCCCTTTCAGTGAACCGAGTGGAATTCGTTTTCGTCGGAGAATTCGGCATAGAACATTTTGAATGTTGACTGTCCGAATCTGTCAACGATAAACTATCGGAAGAAGGGGGATATCTCGGATAACTATGCCGATTAATTTTCGGATAAACCCCTCCGTCTTGATACACCATACCGTTTGATGGTAAAGGTCTGGTCGCGTATCTTTGCGGATAAATCGAATAATTTGATGATGAAACGACAGAGGGCGTTTGAGTTGATCGAGCGGTTGATTGATGAAATTGAGGACTTTCACTTCTTTGTTGATAAACAACTTGTTGTTGCCGCAAAATAGGTTTTGAATAATGATCTTCAACTCGGTACGCTTCAATGTAACGCTTATTGATTTGGTTTTGATTTGAAACGCGAGCGTAACATTCTTTTGGAGTGTTATAATAATTATGCTGATAACCTTCTATGTGATTATAAGGAATATAAACCATAGTTTGATGATAATTTTTTGATACTTCTTGTGGTGGGGGAGATAAAGGTCGTGAATTTCTTCCAATTCGAACAACTGATGAGGGATAAACTACGTTCATATTACGATAATTTATTTGTGTACAACGCTGATTTGTGCAATTTTGATATAAATTTTCTTCGATGTAACTAGATGGTCTAGATGGAGTTGAATATTGTACATAGGCCGCAGCACGTTTATCATCATTATTTATTTGATTTGGATAAATGGGATAATTAACTTGCGGATTTCTTTTCATTTCAACATTTGCTTCCGAATAATACGGCCAAATTACTTGTTGATTTTGATTTCTTGGTGGTGTGTTATTTGGTGGTTGCATTTGATTTTGAATTTGTTGAAGAATTTCAGTTGTTGACCCAAATCTTGGTTTAATTCCGCGTACACTCGGTCGCCGATTAAAACCGTAATCATCATGTTCGTCATCTTCTTCTGTAGTTTCTGGTTGATATTTCTTTTTAATTCTTTCAATTCTTCCTGCGTCTTGTTGAACAAACATTGCTAATTCATCACCGGATTCGGATGCAGATGGAGTTCCAGCAATAACATCGGGTGCTATTTTTTTACAACTTTCTTCTTCATCTTTTCTTAAAACTTCGTCGATATCTTCTAAGCTATATTCGGTTCCAACGGAACTCGCCATCGACGTTCTATCCCCGATAACTTCCGGTCCGTTATTAATATGATAATAATCTTCATTCAAACCAATTCCGGAAACGCAAGCTGTTAAAGGAACCAAAGTTGATAAAAATTGTTTTCTAGATTCCGTCGCTGGATTTATTTTCAATGAATTCGTATCTTGTACAAACTCTTCGTTTCTCGTTCCATTTCCTAAATCCGGCGCTGTTAAATGCAATTTCGTATCGATATTTTGAATATCTGGTTTAGTTTTTGAAAATAAGTCGGTAATTTTTTTATAAGTCGAAGACATTGAAGAATTTGAACTTGCAGTTGATGATGATGAGGGGGAAAAACTCTTATCAACATGACCCATGTGTTTATTTGCGTTTACTTCCGGTGAATTTCGTGCTTCTTCACCTGGAGGACTAGCTCTTTGTTGTTGTTGAAGTTCATCTACAACATTAGTGACTATTTCGCTATCATCTACATCACAGGTTAGTTGTTTTATTCTTTCTACGAGGGAATTATCGGTTTTTTGAGTTAATTTTTTATTTTTTGGATCACCACGAATTAACGATCTCCGTAAAGTGTTACGTTCAATAGCTCGTCTAGAAATTAAAAAATTATATTAAAAAGGTTTGAAATTTTAAACAAATTAATTATCACACCAACCTAATTGATTCGTCGGTATCCCCACTTTGAATAATTTGGGGTAATTTCGATCGTTTTGCTTCTTCGAATGCCTTCAAAGATTCCGCAGTAACCAAATATTGATTATTTACCGTTTCTTCGACTTTTCCTGGCGGTTTTGTGCACGGAAATAATTGCCGAACTGCTGAATTCGGTTTTAAACTGTTATTCGAAATTAAAACGTGATTACCGAGCTTAAAAGTGAGCATCATTTCCGTCGATTCGTTCGGATTTTGACTAATTACAGAACTTTCTTTAGTTTCGTCCGGTTTCTGATGAGCGATTTCTTCTTGAACTTGAACATCTGGCGCGCCATCGCAAACGTCCCTTTGTTTCGGTGTTGTTTGATTTTCTTTAGATTCGATAAAACGTACAGAGCGTTTGTTTGTTCCTTCGTCATCTGATGTTATGTTTTCAGACTGTTTAAAAAAAAATTGATTTATTTTACTTTTTTTTCCTCAAATAATAAAATTTACCTGGTGTAAATCTTGGTTTTTATTTAAATTAGTTATTGTATTATTTTCAGTACTTGTTTGTTTCCATAAACGACCCCCTTTTAAAATTCCGCTAATAGGAGATCCACTAGGAGGTACACTAGGTGTTATAGAAGGAGCAGGTGAAGGACTTTGTGATTTTTCTTCGGCCTCTTTCATAATTTGACGTTCACTAACAGTCGTCATTGTTACCGTTTCTAAAATATAACGTTGACCTTCATCATTTATTTCTGAAAAAAAGAAAAAATATATAATTATAAATCATAAAACAATAAAAATTGATGAATTATATAAAAAATTAGGTTAGAAATAATGACAGTTATCATTTATGGCGTTTTCAAACGAACTTCATATCTAACCAAAGACGATTATGACGGATGTTATTTAAAACGATGTAATGGTTATAACGTTCAAGATCATCTTAACGGTTTGTTTTGTATCAATTTTTAAATTCTCAAAATAAAAATATTTTAAACTAAACTGTAAAAATCGTTTATGCGAGAAAACTTCATATTATTAAATTAAACGAACTTCATATCTAACCAAAGACGATTATGACAGATGTCATTTAAAACGATATAAAGGTTATAACGTTCAAGATCATCTTAACAATTAATAAATTAATAAAATAAAAATATGTATTTTAAACTAAATTGTAATCAACTCAGTTAAAACAAATATTTTTTAAAACGTTAAATAAAATTATTTTTATTTATAAAAATCGTTTACGCGAGAAAACTTCATTTTATTAATATAAACGAACTTCACATCTAACCAAAGACAATTTTGACTTAACGACAAATTGACATTAATGACAAGATACAAGAAGAGGTTATGTTTTAAAATTCAAAGTTATTTATTTTAATAACAACATATTTCGCAGGAGAGAACTAAGGTTATATTATTAAAACAAATCATCCTAATAAAATTCCAATGTCCTTTTTCAGAAAATCAATACCTTTCGTCTTTTTTACGTGGGCGAACTTTATACCTGTAGCGAAATTGTGGGGGAGTTTATACCTGTAGTCACCCCTTTAAAAAGCTATACGCGGTTAAATATAACTTGTTTTCTAAAAGTTAACCTACCTAAAACGATTTGGGAAGGTCACTAAATCAATTTTGCGCGCAATCCGTAGAGAGTGCTATAAAGGGATGTTATTTTCAAGCGAAGCGAGAGATTTTTAAGGTAACTCCGGGTTCGTTTCAAACTTTACACCCACCATCCCGTGGAGTGATTGTGTATCGTAACGTTCGTTCGGCTAAAAACCGTCGGAGATTAATCGTCCAAGTTTAACGTGGGGTGCTTATCGCTTCCAGGTCGTATATGAGCAATTTATTAAGAGATTAACTCGAAAACCCGTCAGGGATGGCGAGTGACGAGAATCTAGTTCAATATAATATGTCGATGATAGATGATTAATTACCTTTTCAAACTTTTATGAAAAAAAATAAATATAACGTTTGTCGAAAATGTTGGGTAAAGTTAATAAAACAATAATATAAATTTAAGTGGTATTTCCCCACATTTCCACGAAGGGAGCTGTTAATCAAGTCGATCATCTACGATTCAACGAGTTTCCTGCTTGAAACCACGTTTAATTAAATTTGAAGTACGAAATATATAGTCATCTAAATTACATGAAGCAAAAGTTAATTTAAAAAGTTTTAAAAGCTTATTTTATAGCATTTATTTTTTAGTTTTAAAAACAAACCTTCTGCAGGAGGCGTTGTAGGGGTGGTTTGTTGGCTCTGATCGGTTTTCTCTTTTCCTTCAACATCCCGTATTTGTTCATCTGATGGTGTTTCAACGATTTCTTCGTTATCCGATAATGATTCTCCTAAAATAAAACTTAATATCATGCTTGTACTTAATTTATGGTGGAAGATTAAAATCGATTAATGATAGTTGTAAGGATAAAAGGGTGTCGGATCTTGGAGTGGTGGTGATAAGAAATAGGGACACGTTTCAAGAGGGATAATGGTGAACCTACTTTGACATCGTTAGAATGCAGCCTGCACACAACAGGTTGCATATCTAAAGGTGGAGCTTTACGAAGTCGAAGGGGGCTATTTGGGAGGCTTTAAGGTAGCAGCTTTCGTGTAAATTCAGTCGGGTAACACCTGTGCGAGAGAGTTTCTAAATTGGATCGGTTTAACTTACTACAAAGAAAATCGGGAGATAGAAAGCTACTTGAAATGTAATTTTAATTGGTGAAAGAAAATAAATAAAAATTATATTATTAATAATGTTTTTTAGGAACTTTTATTATTTTGGTGTTAACGCACTGTCGTTGCTATGGAGATTTGAAATAAAGTGACAGTGACGTAAACTTAACCTTAAATTATTTTTAATTTTATTGTTAATATTTTCCTCTTCTTTGTAGTAACCGGAATTAAATTTCAAATCGATTAATGTACATGATTTTTGGCGTGTTTCCGGTCGATTAGGTGCCTCTTTTGTCGTCGTCGCTTTACGGTTTAACTGGGTTGAACCAACCCGGTTGTATTTTCCGACACAACAAAGACGACGGTTTGTTAAAAATAACTAAATCAAAAGTCTAATGTAGACCAACAATAAAAAAATTCTTCTTTTAAAAAGTTTCTTTTTATTTCCCACCGACTACAATAACCGTGCGAACCAATTTTACCTTCGTACGTTGTTACGAAGTTAATTACCGGGGAAATCTTGTTTTACTAATTAATTAAAAATAAATAGATTCGAATGGGAAATCGGTTTTCACTAGAAACACAAAAAAAGTATAGTTCGTTTGAATGAACTATAACTTCGTAATATGAGAAAATGACATTGACATTTTAGGTTAAGATCTATTTGACATATAATTTTTAGGTTATTCTAAACTAAAGTTTTTTCGCAGAGTACATTTTAATGGGTTGTAATGGCAGTGAAATGAAGTAAGTACTACCTTTAATAGTAATATTTTTAATCGCGGGGGTATAGAATATCCTGGCCGAAGAGAACATTTTCTAGTACAAAAAGGATGTTATCTCTACGGGATATTTCGTCGTAATCGTAGCACGGATAAATAAAAACGTTCGAAAAACCGCATACGTAACTCGAAACTGAGTCACAACGGGCTCGTTATCGTAACCCCGTTTATCCCACCTGTTACATATTTACGAAAAGATATCGCGAATGAACAATAGTCGTCCGCATTGTCTAAAAAAAGCAACGTGATAAATTTGGAATGTTATCTTTATAAAAAATATTTAAAAACAATTTTTTCTCTTTATTAATAAATAATTAAATAAAGTGTGTATAATAAATTTAATTAACAAGTTATAACTAGTTATCGAGACCCATTTAAACGATAATTGGTACGAGTATATACCGTCAAATGGAGCTCGTAAATAACGAGGCGCTCCGATGCAAAAGCCCTCCGTTCAGTTCTGTTCCAATATTATACCCTCCGCACTTGTGACGATCAGAGAGATTTTGCGGATTTAATTAGACGAAACTGCGTTAAACTGCCACAACAACAACAACATCCGACGTATTTTACGCGTTGTTATTACGTTATTAGCTAAGCAAGGAGATTTGAAAGTGAAACTGCAAAGCGTTTGGGGTTATGAAACAATTTTAGACCGGATGTTAACGATTTCTGTTAGAATTTTTCAAATGGATCGATTTCTAGATGCAAGGAAACCATTAGCATAATTATTTTAATGTTTTAATTTGTGGTAATTTTCTGCGTAAATTAGAGTAAATAGCGTTTGTTGTATCATATACAGTATATAAAATCCGTATTCGAACACCCTCCGATATATTAGAAAATGACGAATTATTCAAGAATGGTAGTAGATATTTCAAATATTTTTGATGATTAGTTCTGGTTTTACACTAGCACTGTCACTAGAACTAACACAAGAACTAGAACTAGAATCATTCGGGTTTAGCCGTCTTGAGAGACGTGCTGCTAAATCCGAATGTTTCTAGTTCTAGTGTTAGTTCTAGTTTTACACTTGCACTGCCTCTAGGACTAACATTAGACCTAGAACTGGAAACATTCGGATTTAGCCGCACGTCTCTCAAGACGGCTAAACCCGAATGATTCTAGTTCTTGGTCTAGCGCTGTATAACAATTATAACTAGAACTAACACTATCACTACTATCAAATCTCACAGATCTGTCATAATTTTAATTTAGTTGCGCCATCTATTAATAAAAAAGTGTCTTATTTATTTTATTAGTTTTTAATAATAATTAATTATTTACTTCGTGTAATTTGGTGTAATCTAACCTAAAACGTTACTTTATAATCTGCAAAAATGTTTTATTGTTTAAATTCAAATCGGTTTGGAAAAAACTATTTTTTTTTCATTAACCTCATTTTCAACAAACGTCATTTTCAAATCGACAATTTTAGAAGAAACGTATCAACAAAAGTGTTCACCGAGGAAACTTGAAATTAGGTCTGATATAACTCAAAACCTTTCTTTATAATCGTAAGAAGTTTTATTTCTTAAATCCAAACTGATTTGGAGAAAACATTTTCTTCTTTAACCTCACTTTCAACAAACGTCAATGTCAACACGGTGATTTTTATTAACCTCACTTTTTTTCTTCAGAATCCGATACTTTCTAGTTCTAGGTCTAGTGTTACTTCTAGTTTTACACTAGCACTATCCCACTAGAACTAAAAACATACGGGTTTAGCCGTGCGTCTGAAGACTTCTTTTATATGAGGTTGATTATTCGGTTGGATAAGTTAATTATTACCAACCTAACTTCGTTTTCCCCAATGCTTCCTCCAAAATTAAAAATCTAAATATTTCTTCTTATTATAAGTTGCTTCTTACACAAATTCGATTATAAAAACGTTTACAGACTTCAAACACGGTGTAAGTACATGAATTTTTATGTTTAGTTTCCGTTATAAAACGTGAACGTGTGAGCTGCATTCTAAACGTTTTTTGTTGACCAAATTCTAAGAAAGACCATGACCTATGAATCGAATTTATGTCCCAATTCTAAAACGTTTCTAACATACAATTTTATTTTACAATTTATAAAAAGTTTCGTTACGAAAACTTCAATATTCAAACCTGGTTAAATTAGAGCGACATCGAGCTAAAGAAACTCGGTATAAAGCGCTTTGAACTTTGAAATTGGCCAAGTACCAGCGATGAAATGTTTGTCGAATCGAGCGCAAACGAAAGATGTGTTTACTGTATACGTTTAAAGTTTTTTGTTTTGTATTTTATTTTCTTATTTATTTCTTTTTTCGGTACGTGTATATTTTGTAAGGTTAAAAATTCTCGGCATCGATATTTTTACTTTCCAGGAGCGGTGATCCAAAATACGCGTTTTTCGCGTAAACACCGCCGCGATATTCATCGTTCCGAGAGTTTTGCAAGATCATATTATACGGCGTAGCGGAAAATATATTTTTAGAAAATTGGGGGAAACCGAATTGTAAATCGAAACTTGTTTTAGGTTAAGTAATTGAAAATTTTCCAATTAAAATCGCAAAATAATGGCGATGTTTGTGGCAGAACGTTTCCTTCGTTTTACTGTGTAAATAAGCAAAAATCTTTGGCGATTAACGATATCAAGGTCGTTGGTAATTGCCGACCAATTAAATAGTCGAGTTCATTTGCGATATGAATCACGGTTTTATTGCAAAAGATCCTTTTATGCATAAACGATGAGATTTATAATATTTAAGATTCATTAATTCAAGGAGTTATTTGGACCAATTATTATGATTCAAGAAATACACTCATTGTAATTGAACAATACCATAACGGTATTTTATATATCAACAATTCGTCTAAATGAAAAACAAAAAACACAACTGCTTCGAATAATTATGGTAATTTTAGCCCATTGTGTTGTTGTGTAGTCTTGAAGGACCACTCATTCGAAACATCTTTATTGTCATTTTTCCAAGAAAATTGTCTCCAAAATATATTTCTTTTTGTTTATTTTCATTACAAGAATCAATAAAAATGATGCTTGTTTTGAACAAATATACTGGGAATTTCATATAACTCGAAATATATGAATGCAGTAACCATGGTTACGAAACTACTATGTACTTGCATTCTCACATAAAATGTAACATACCTTAAAAGTATTGGGCAGTTTTGCAAAGGAAAAGTTTTGCTTGAAAACGGTGACGTCTTTATGATAACTCTGAGTTTCTGTCTTAAGAGACACTCGGCTAAACCCGAATGTTTCTAGTTTTAGGTCTTGTGTTAGTTCTAATGATAGTGCTAGTGCAAAACTAGAACTAACACTAGACCGAGAACTAGAAACATTCGGATTTAGCCGCACGTCTCTCAAGACGGCTAAACCCGAATGATTCTAGTTCTTTGTCTAGTATTAGTTCCAGTTTTAGTTCAATAAAAATATGCAACATAGTGATATTTTATGCTAACTAGCGCTATCTATCACCTACCAGTCGTCTTAAGAGAAGTACGGCTAAACGAAATGTTTCTAGGTCTAGTGTTAGTCTAGTTTTATTAGTCGTTCAGCGCTAGATTGTTGTATATTTTTATTGAACTATATGAAATTATATTGACATGTTGCATTTTATGTGTGACAAATTAAGTAGGTACATCCTGGTTTCTATGGAATAATATTTTTGTGTATTGTATCTTAAGTGAAATTTACTGTAAATGAACTCGCGAATACTATACATATATCTTGTATCTGTTAGGGATGTTTGTAACGAGAACTCGAGTTCTAGTGTTACACGCTCGAATGAAAAATGTGGATTCAGCTTCAAATACAAACCATTATTTTTACATAAATTTCCTTACATGACTTATTACATTCGTTTTATCGTATTGAAGATGTAATACGAATTTCTACCTAACCAACGCTGGTCGATTATTGATTGTGAACTCAGATGCCCATTAATCAGAGATTGTAACGATATTTTGGATCGCCATAGAATTCCATGTACTTTAAATTTATCGATGCCCACAAATGGTGAATATTCTGAACATTCATTTAGGAATTATGAACAGTTTCAGAGTTATCTATATAATTTCGCGGTGCTTAATTTATGATATTCCGGATATTGATCTGAACGTTTCCTTAATTCTGGCATTGTTAATTTTTTGATAATTAATATATTATAAGAAAGCGAATTTTTCCATCTTGACTGACATACAACATCGTATTTATGGAAAAAAGATCGCGATAGATTTATTTAGATCTAAATATCACGATTTCTATAAGCAGCAATAATAATAATGTTCAACCTCAGACCGATCATGTGTCAGGCTATGATATATGCAGATGATGTAGTCTTCATCGCAGACTCGAAGAGAAAATTGTAATTGGTCAGAAACTCTAAAGGAGAGGGGCATGATGTTGAATAAGGTGAAGAGTCAAGTTATGACAGAGGGAGAGATGGATAACATCTACATCAAATGTAATTGTCAACTTCTAACCCTGGTCAGCAGCTATCAATATCTGGGCACGACAATCCACCAGATGGGCAAACTTATTGAAAAAGGTTAGAAACAGAGTGGACAAAGCTACTAAAAACTACTATACCCTCAAAGAATAAACTTTTTCTTATTATTTACGCAATCTACCAACATTAAAAACAAGAATGAAGCACGATACAACATTTAGCAGTCGATTTATTGGAAATTGATAATTTTAAGGTTTATGATGACGTCACATAAAGTTACAAGATTAAATCACGATTAAAATCAAGCTGTTGAATTGAAGTTGGTCTTCTCCTACTGGGATACCAATGGAAATTACGCTTTAAAATGTAATGCGATTTAACCCTTGGTACACACTGAGACTACGAAGAGAGTCCCAGAAATAACGACATGACCTATAGAAGGCGGTTGAGGTTTGAAAATAATTACTGTGGTCCAGCAGCTCAACCTTGTACGGGATAATTTGAAAGGCAAACTAAATTGTACTCTGAGGTGCCTGCTCCTTCGTGTATTAATAATCAAATATAAACGTGTACAACGAGTGATTAAAACGAATTTCCATAAAATGTTTTCATTGAAAGAAAAAGGTACTGAATAGAAAAGCAATGATGATGTTGATGAACGTTTTAAATTATTTACGTCAAAGTAATGAAAATTTAGTGAAACTATTCTTGATGAAGTAAGAATTTTAATGTTATTACCCCTTAACCTCAAGGATAACTTATTTAGAGAACTGATGAAGCTTGTGGGGTTTCAATAGCAACTGTGTACCGTATAAAAGCGCGATTTAAAGACACGGAACGCCAAGGCTCTTCAATATCATCACCCCATAAATCGGCCAAAAACTAAATCAGATGATGTCGATGATTTTGTGTACGTCGGAAAATGCAATCAGAAATGGCATTTGGAGGATTTAATGTGCTACTAATACAGCCTTTTACAACTATGTTTAAACAAGTTTAAGTTTATTACACAATAAAAGGAGAAGTCTCAACTACTGGTAACGTTGTAATAATAGGTAACCTTCTAGTGACAGTCTAATTACACGCAAATTCACTTAAAGCTCGGGTGTCGAATGGGGGAACGTTGCAGGTTGCAGGAAACGGAAACGTTCCTCTCCGGTTGTTGCAAACTCGCGGATTTAAACGTGAAGAGGGGTAACGGGCACGAAAAACCGGGCGCGTTCCTTCGTGAAGCCAAATAACATCTTTACACCGGTAGTATATTTTCTTAGTTTACTTATTCGATGAAAAAGGATGTGGAAAAAAAGGAGTATAAAAACAGGAAGGACAAAAAGGATTCTTTTAGTTAAATTGGGTTTTATTTTTCAAGTTTTTAAATCAGCTGTCAATTTGGGAGGTTATAAATGTTTATGAAAAAGATTATGTCAAAATGACATTTCATAAATAATTAATTCGAAATATAAACAGTGCTGCCAACATTATAATTTGATTTAGGAAACGTCAAAATTATAAAATATTGATTTCAATTTCAAAATATTTCTTACTCAACTCAATTGAGAAATAAGTGTTGTAAAAAAAAACTTACCATCATCGTCATGCGAAGCACTACATTCTCTACAAACAGCTCCTCTTTGTCCCCTAAGTGCAATTTGTTGTTGCAAAGCAATTAATTGTTGTTCTTCCAATTCCATATCTTTGTATTCTTCCGGTGGACTCAAAGTAACCGCGTCCACAAACTCCAAAGGTGGTGCAAATTTAGGACTTGGCGGTGTAGTGTCATAACCATCTCCGTATACGTTGCAATTACAATTTGGTTCGCAACACGTTAACCGAACCATTTCGTGTTGATTACACGTACAAACACCATCATCTTCCTCCTCGTCGTATTCACATTCTTCACGGATCAAAATGATATAATCGGCATCGAAGAATTCATTTTTCGTTTCGTTAAAAACAACGCGATTCTTTTTCGTTGTCGATTGTGTTTGTTGATGTTCTTTGGTATTTTTTCCGCCAGGTTTCTTAAGTAACGATTTAAGATTTTCTTTATCGGGATTATGAAGCTTACGTTGTTGTTGTTGCTCCGCGTTTTGATGGCCATTATCACCTCTCATTATGAAAATTTCTTCGTAATCTTCCTCCTCTAACTCGTCATTTTCGTTATAAAAAAATATAATCGGCTTTTGCGAATTAAATTCGCAAAACGTTACGTCCTCGGAATCAGATGGAAAAAAATCTTCCTCTTCATCTGATGAAGAAGATGTGACGATACTATTCCCTATGTCTTCTTCTTTGTCCCCTTTCAAACAAATTAATTCGTTTTTTCCATCTGTTATCCCGGCCTCTTTTAATTTTTCTTCTAAAATCTTTAAACGACCTTTTTCGTTATTATTCTTTGGATTAACGTTTTTGCTTGTTAATATGCTTGGTCCGGATGTTTCTTCGTCGTCGGCGACGACATCTTCGAAGACTAAACGACCATTTTTAAAGGACCAAGTTAAGTTGTTGTGTTCTTCTGATTTTGTTTCACTTAAATTATGATCGCGATGTAAACGATTGTTGTGTTGTCTTGGAGCGCGATCTTCCTCGGTGGCAGGAAGGCAACTGCACTGGTCCGCGTGTGCGCAACGGACGCAAGTGGAGGCGGCGGCGTCAATCGATCGCTGGGCATCGCAGGCGTCCCCCTCCTCCTTCAACTGGAGTGATTCGTCGATCTCTGCGCTCCTTTGCATCTCCAGGTTTAATTTAGTAATTGTATCATCTAAATTTATACATTTATTAATTTTTTCAATATTTACAATGTCTTCTTTAGCATCGGCAATCTTTTCTTCGTTTAAATATTCGTTTTGATTTTCTTGATTTTGCTTTAAATTTAATGCGTCAGATGAGTTGTTGTTATTCAAGTTATTCAAATTGTTCTTTTTATCTTTTCGGTTGTTTTTGGGCATTTTTAATAGTTCATCGAGTTTATTTTGGGATTGTTCCAGTGCAATTTTTGAGATAATCGAGTTCGAGTAGTTGTGGTTACCTATAATGGGTAAATCGAAAATTCTCGGGGATTTTGTTGTTTCCGTGGTAATTTTAATGGGAATGTTATCTTCGTCCTTAACATTTCCATCACAATTTGTTGGTAATTCTTCACTTAATGAATCATTTTTATCTAAAATCGAATCTTCCATGCTTAAATTTTTTTCTTGTAGAACATTAAAATAAATTTCATTGCCTTCAATATCAAAAAATCTTTTTTCGTTGCCACATTGATTACAATTATCATTTATTTCGGTAAATTTCTCATTTTCATCTTGATTTAAAACGTCTAAATTTTCTAATAAACTAGTTTCCTCGATTATAGTACTACTCATATTATTTATTAATATTTCTTCATTTTCAGTCTCATTATTATCGACCCTAATTGTTTCTAAATTTAATTCATCTAATACATTTAAATCATTTTCTAAAATTGCACCAAGATTGCACTCATCAATTTTTAAATTAATCAGATCTAAAAGTGATTTATTAGGTTCCCCCTCTAAACCATTTCTTTCCAAACAAAGCGGATGCAAATATGTTTCTTGAATTAATAAATCTAGTGGTGGGGGAAGCTCAACACCTGTGCTTTCATACTCTCTAAATTTCCTTCCGTTTTCCTTCAAAAAATCATCTACACTCATCCCATTAACTTCCGTTTTCGAAGGGCTCAAAAACGATTCTTGAGTCACCAAATCTAAAGGTGGGGGAAGTTCAACACTTTTAGATTCTGTAGCTTTAATTTCTTCAACCTTGCTCTCCGATGAAAAAGGATTCAAAAATGATTCTTGTATTAATACATTTAATGGTGGGGGAAGCTCAACATCTGTCATATCACACTTAACAGATTTCTTTTCTTCCAAAATATCTTCATTACTACTTATTCTACTCATTTCAATATCTTTAAGAGCCTCTTCTTCTGTACATTCCTTTTGATTAAAATTATTAAATTCACTATTATTTCTTGCACAGTTCGCGACACCTGTTTCGTCCTCGTTCGTTTCGATACTAACAATATTCGTAGAACGACTACCGCTTAGAACGTACTGATGGATTGGCGAAGGTCGCAACAACAACTCGTTGAGGCGGTAGTAGCAATCAGGTTTTGCCACTACGCCTACTTTATCAACACTGCTAATAACACAACCATCTCTCGTTATCTTATCATTATTTTTATCATTTCGATACCTTTCATTTGAAACATTTTCATCTTTATCGCCCGATTCTTTTTGTGTTACGTTATCGTTTGTAAACGTATTTTGTGTTTGGTTCTCACAGGATACTTCCTCTTGGGTGTATAATAATGTGACTTCCGGTTGCCGTTGGTCGTTGTTGCCTTCTTCACGGTACGTTTCAGATCGTTTCGGTTCGTTTCCGTTTCTAAACTCTTCGGGTGCTTCCAGGATAATTTCCTCTTCTTCGTTTTCCTCTTTATTTATTACCCTTAATGAAGCGACGAAACTTTCGGCGGTTTTGAAAATATCTTCAAGATCTCGCTTGATTTCGTTTAGTTGATCGAAAGAAATTTTATCGCTTTTAAACGTGATTTTTGTTAGGGTGTTTTTTAATATATCTGAATTGATTTTATCGTTGGTTTCGATAACTTTCTTTAAAGAAGAAAGTAGGATTGTAACATCTAAAGTTTCTTCCATGTCGTCTTATGTCATTTTCTTGGTTCTGTTTGATTTTATTCGTTTCTTCTTCATCTAAAATACAAAATAATAAAAATTAATTATGTTAAATATATCTGTCTATGTATAATCTATGGGAATGAGAACCGGAAGGTAAATTTCAAGGTTTTTAACTTCATGGTATTTGTTGAAATGGTTTTTATTTTATTTCCCACAGAGTTATGGTCACGCTTAATGAGTACTTAATGAAATAAATTATAATAGATTTAACTTATCTTCAATTAGTCTTCAACTTATTCCATAAATCGTTCTTGAAAACACATTGAACCTTTTGAATCAATTTTGAGGTTATAAAATTTTTTCTGTCAAATTTAAAAAGTTTCAAAAAATCAATTTTTATGGTTAATAAAGAAATTTTTGATATATTAATGCAAAATCCGTCTAAACACGACTTTACTTAAATAATTCTTCAGAAAAAAATAATTAAAATAAATAAATTAATGTTTTTGTTGCCAACCTAAATTTAGTAATTTTTAAATTCCCCACTTTATATTAAATTTTTAAAATCCATCTAAATTTGACCACGATTTAATAAAATAAAGTAATTTTTTACCAGTTTAAGTTATTTTTAATGAAGAAATAATAAATAAAGTTTAAAAATATTATTAGTTACAATTTATAGTGATTTTTTTAATTGACGTTTAGAAACGTCATTATCAAAAAATCGCCCCGTAAACTTCATCGCTGTATATTTTTTTTTATTACAAAGTTTATCATCGCTTCAAAAACTTTTCATAATCAATTTTGCAAGTTTTACTAAAAAAAAGTAGCCACTGAAGTTTCTGTCGACCGCAACTAACTAAAATTGACTTATCTTAATTAAATTTCATAACAGACATTCTCTTTATCGCAGCGAACGCGTTATCTACGCTTTCTTGAATCCATCGTATCGATCTCATTTCATCAACCCCCGCTTTTATACGACTTTTTTTTAATAAAGTTTTCCACTAGTGACGATTTTTTAATCCCTGAAATTCCAGTATTTCCATGATACATTGATATTGCAGTTTCGTTTGTGTGACGAATCTTTGGAGTCCCCTTTTTTATCCCGGCGCATTTCAAAACGAACCATTCCCCCCGTAAAAGTCGCGTTTGAACGGCGAGTAATGATGTCAATTCAGTTAAAAGTCTCTTTGTAAAAGAGCTTTTTTTAAAACAACGACAGAAAAAATTTAAAGAGAAAAAAGAAAATTTAATGATTTTGAGTTTTTATGATTCGTTATTTGGGGTGTTTAACCCATTTAAAATTTCTTTTTCATTTTCTTTTTTTTTTCGCTTTTTTCGTTATTATAGTTTTGGTTTTTAGGGACACGTTCCAAAGATAAATTGCTCGCTTACGGAGAGTATTTGAATAAACACCCCGTTATGGCAATAAACGGAGTCAACCGTCCCCATCAGGGGGGGAAATGGTGGAAATGTGGGGAGAGGTAGTTTTGTTCGCGTATAACGATCCAAGAGGAAGAGAGATGGAATTTTGGTGGCTTATGGAGTGTAAGCTATTCCTTTTTTTTTTAAAGTTAAATCAGTTTTGCGCACGCGTTAATTCTGCACTTTATATGCAAATTGTAAAATGAAAATACAACTACTAAGTTAGATTTTTAAATTAGTTTTAAAAAATTATTTTTAGGTTACATTACTTATTAAATGTCAAATTTGACAGAACTTAGTTTAAGTTAAGTGTCATCCGATAGATGTCATTAAAAAGATTTGTAATGTCAATATACAGTGATTTCAGAAAAGAATTGCTGTCTTCGACTAGAATTTGCTCAATCTTATGTCGACAAGGAAACGGATTTCTAATCCAAGTTTTTTTTTACTGATGAGTCGAAGTGCAACCTTTTTGGAAGTGATGGTCGGACAAAAATTCTGTAAAGCGGCGAAGTTAGTGTCATGGTTTGGAGAGCGATAGCCGCATCTGGTGTAGGAAAACTGGCACTCATTGATGGAATTATGGAACAGCATAAATATAAAAGTATTTTAGATTTAGCCGCATGTCTCTCAAGATGGCTAAACCCGAATGATTCTAGTTCTAGGTCTGTGTTAGTTTTAGTGATAGTGCTAGTGTAAAACTAGCTGTATTTCAATGCTTTATGTAGAGTTTTGTCCGCCACTATAAGTCATAATTTATTTATCTATGTCTTAGTAAACAAATTAAAAGATATAACTAAAAGCATGGTTTTTAATTTTAGATAAAATATAGATACCAATATGTAAGTTTGATGGGAGCAACAATCAACAAAGCAATAGTTTGAAGCGTTTCATGGGCGTTTACTGGAGGCGTCGTCGCCCCCATTTATACGAAATCTGAGTCGCGTATCACAACTCGGACGTGACAATAGGATCCATGCGCCTCTTCAACGTCCATTGTTCAAGGAAAACAATACAAAAGTCGCTCAAGAATTTTTTGTTACATCTTCTATTCACTTTTAACAGTGATAATGTTGATGAGTATTTTTTAATAATGTTGCAAAAACACTGACAATATTTCATTTTATCACCTATAAATTGGTTTCGATTTTTGGTTCGTTTCCTTTGTTAGAAAACACAGACCAAAAACGTTATTCAAATACAATTTTCCTTGCCCGCCTTCGAATTTTACGTTCTCAGTAAACCGTCCGTTTCAATCTACATAAATCCTACCAAAAAGAACCCATAAATTTTATCCTAAAAATTGAAACAATTTAAAAAAGAATATTTTTTTTTATGATCATTTTATTCGTCATTGCATATTTACAAAATTAAAGAAATCACAACTTTTTTTTTAATAAATTTCTCCTTTATAAGATCCATCGTCGTATAATTTTTCGTTAATATCCGGAATCCATCGACCTTCCAAACCAGATCCGGGTGCTAAAATTGGATACCCGGAAGCGGTTACTGGTGAAGCAACGAGAGTTTTTGCAACACCATAGGGAGTTGAAGCGTAAGCAACAGATGGTACAACAGGGGCAGCGGCGTAACCGTATGATGATACAACTGGAGCAGGGGCGTAAGCAACTCCATGAGGTACAACTGGAGATGCAACAAATGGAGCAGAATATCCAACAGCGGCAGCACCAACATTCTCATGAGCTACGATTCTTCCGGCTGGTTGAGCAGAAACGATTGCGCTTCCATCGGGACCTACAACCGAAGCACTCGAACTTGGACCTTCTACAACTGTTGTCTTTGCGAGTGGAGCCACAGGAACAAGACCTGCGGAGGCTACTGCCAAACAAACAGCGAAGATTACCTATAATAAAAATTAATGTTTAATCATATATTTTAAGATGACGTAATATTAAAGGAATTTAATACTTACTAAGGAGTTCATAATTGTTCGATCTGTAAAAACAGTGGACGAATGACGAATAAAAACCATTCACTCGGTTATTTTATACCCAAAAAATGTCCTCGCCGACGCCCATGTTGTTCTTGAACTTAAACTCATAAACTTTTAAGGTCGCCATATCTGGTTTCTAGCATACGGAGTTGGTAAACGAAATCGTGTAAAGTGATCCAGATCAACTTCTTTCTCCGGTTGGAAAATTATCAAGGCCGTAATTTTGATATAAAGAGCCTAATATCTAACACAAAAATCATTAGTTCTCGTACAACCACAAGACAAATCAAAGAAAATGAACTCCTTTGTAAGTAGATTCTTTAATCTCAACTTATATTAAGTTATTAATTAAAAATTTGTATCGCAGGTTATCTTCGCAGCTTGTTTGGCAGTAGCGTCTGCAGGTCTTGTTCCTGTAGCTCCACTTGCAAAGACAACAGTCGTAGAAGGTCCCAGTTCGAGTGCTTCGGTTGTAGGTCCCGATGGAAGCGCAATCGTTTCTGCTCAACCAGCCGGAAGAATCGTAGCTCATGAAAATGTTGGTGCTGCCGCTGTTGGATATTCTGCTCCAGTTGTTGCATCTCCAGTTGTTTCTCATGGAGTTGCTTACGCCGCTGCTCCAGTTCTATCACCATATGGTTACGCCGCCGCCCCTGTTGTACCTTCAGTTGCATACGCTTCAACTCCATATGGTGTTGCAAAAACCCTCGTTGCTTCGCCAGTGACCGCTTCTGGATACCCAATTTTGGCTCCTGGGTCCGGTTTGGAAGGTCAATATGTTCCGGATATCAACGAAAAATTGTACGATGACGGATCTTATAAAGGAGAAATTTATTAAGGTTGTTTTGGATTGATCATGATAATGCGGCTGTAATAAATAATTAAAAACACAAACATATTTGTTTTAATAGTTATTTTTTAATTGATACTTTATCGTACTAGAAATGACCCGTCTGAAATTTCAATTATAGGGTGGACCGAAGCTTCTCGGTCCAATAACACAACGGCTCACTTTAAACCATCCCCCCGTTGTATAGTTAAAGCGGATAGAACAATTGGGAATCAACTCAAACTAGGTTTCAAACTAAACTTTTGGTTAATTAATAAACTTTCTTGAAAGGAACCACAACCATCGTGACCAATTTTTCATCTTATTTAGTTATTTTAAACCAATTAGCACAATACTAATCAACATAAACAAATCGTTCCTAAAATTATCTTCTTAACAAGATTATTTTTAAAGATTTTATTTTAAAACAGAATTTGAATTCGTTCCATTTTATGAGATAATATGTGCAAAATGTGTACTTTGAGAGAAATAACATAGCGGTTACAATGTCTGGATGATAATTAACAATTTAAACCCCGTGGAATAACCAGTTTAAAAGAACCGCATATCTTGGGAATTACGTTGTATATTTTAGTTATTTCTTTGGGTGGTGGTTAAAAGCAGTACGGGAGGCAAGAAAAAAAGATGTTTTGTTGGCTGGAGAAATTTAATTACGAAATTTCTGTGGTTATTATTTTGTAGACGAGACATGTTTATAATTTTAAGCTAAATTTTAAAAGATTAAAAAATTCTATTTATTACAAATATTTAAACTATATTTATAATTTAATATAAAAATAAATCAAAATTAAAATTTTAACGGTTGGTAATAAAACTACTAATCTCACATCTGTCATAATTTTAATTTAGTTGTGCCATCTATTAGTAAAAAAGTGTCTTATTTATTTTATGGGTTTTTAATAATAATTAATTATTTACTTCGTGTAATTTGGTGTAATCTAACCTAAAACGTTACTTTATAATCTGCAAAAAATTTTTATTGTTTCAATTCAAATCGTTTTGGAGAAAACTATATTTTTTTTTATTAACCTCATTTTCAACAAACGTCATTTTCAAATCGGCAATTTTAGAAGAAACGTATTAACAAAACTGTTCACCGAGGAAACTTGAAATTAGGTCTGATATAACTCAAAACCTTTCTTTATAATCGTAAGTAGTTTTATTTCTTAAATTCAAACTGTTTTGGATAAAACATTTTCTTGTTTAACCTCACTTTCAACAAACGTCAATGTCAACACGGCGATTTTTATTAACCTCACTTTTTTTTCTTTAACCTCACTGTCAACAAATGTCAAATTCAAACAGTAAATTTCACTTATAAGATGCAATATACAAAAATATATTTCAATAGAAACCAGGGAGTACCCACTTACTTTCTCCCACATAAACTGCAACATGACAGTTAAGATATTACTAAATTCTTATTGAAGTAAAACTAGAACTAACACTATCACTAGAACTAACACAAGACCTAGAACTAGAATCATTCGGGTTTAGCCGTCTTGAGAGACGTACGGCTAAATCAGAATGTATCTAGTTCTAGGTCTAATGTTAGCTCTAATGACAGTGGTAGAAGCTCTAGTTAGTATAAGATATCACTACCATAAAATTCATTTTCTCATTAATTAACTATTTGGTGAAAATGTAAAAGGGAAGGAGATATTTGATTACATTTTAATGTTCCGTAAAAGTGAGAGCGTGAATAAATTTAAACCCAGTAACTGCCGATTTAAAATTTAAAGACGAAACGAAATTCGTTCGATTTTCGATTCTTTTCTTTATGGATTTGAAGGAAACTGTGAGAAGAAAACTGTTAGGGGAAGGGGGACTAGTAGTTTGTCGTCGTTTATATCTTTCCCGGTTAAACGAGACTCGGCTACGACAAATAACTCGTACTTTGGCTTCTACGAAGAGAATCCCGTCTGAAAAATGGGAGATCGTTGAAGGGATTTTTGTTACACGCAAAGTTAAAATTAAAATGATTAATGTAAAAAAATTAAGTTTTTCCGGAATCCTTCTACATTATTTTTAATTCTTACATAATCTGAATGATTAGTCAAATTCTCTTTCGAAATTTTGTTCTCATTCAGTTTCGTTAAATGACGTCACCTCTTATGATTCACACCAAAATCTTTAAAGTTAACCCGCCTTTGTAATAAAGTATCTTGTTTAACGGAACAACACAATTGCAACGAAACACGTGCTTAGCTTAGCTTTAGTTATAGATATATGAAAATTTCTTTCGACACACCCTTTCTTGAAGGCCATTTACGTCTCTATAAAATCGGTTGTCGTTCGCTTGGTCGCTTTCAGTCTTTCGTTGTCATTGTTAAAGAAGAAGTGAAAGCGAAACCATGGATCTAATAACAATAAGACTCGCTGTAAGTAGTACCTAGTTAAGATGACGCTCGACCGAGTATGACGTGATATCTCAATTTTATTGTAATTTATTTAGATGTTGTTGGGAGTTTTTTTGTTAATTATTACGGAGTTTCATCAAGTTGTTGGTCAACAACAAGAAGAGTTAACGTTTTTAGCCGATGATGGAACTGGTAGTTTTAAAGTGTTGGCATTTGCTGGACCGATGAGGAGAAGTTTTGGACGGATTGTTAGGGATTCTAGGGTACACGAAGGAAATTACCTGGGGAATAATGGGTTTTATGTACCGTATAATCCCGGTGCTGAGGAGTTTTATACTGATGGTTCTTATAAAGGGGAGAAGATTTATTGGTTTAAAGGAAAAAGAATTTATTGGTAGAATTTTTTAACCAAGATTATGATTAGATTATAGGTTCTGTGATAGTGTTATTGCTAAATTTGATTATTAAATTATGCTTATTAATTTCTTTTTTAATTCTATATCCTATTTTTGATCCTTTTTAACCACAAAAATAACTAAACTAATTGGGGTTTGTGTTTTTAATAAAATTTTAAAAAGCTGATTATCTAAGATGCCAATCTCTTCATAAATCATTCATGTTTAACAAGTTGCAAGAGATGCCGTTTTCATATACGATTCAAGGTTATTATAACTGCCACAGAATTGTTTATTAACATTTTTTGTTTAACCTGTTTTAATCTTGTTGTTGATATTGGCGTCTACGCAATAAAATGTAGGTAAGTGAATTATGTAAATCGTCTCATAACAAGTGCAAGAAATAGATAATGTTAACGGACCGTATATTATTATCTTTACACACAGAGGGACACTTACTATAAACAATCCTCGTGTGTCGTTGAGAAATTATGCAAACTATACCAGAGACAATACAGTTTGCTAAACATTCCAAACGCCTTCAAACTTGTCACTTAAAGAAGTTTGGTTAGTTTTAAGAACTTTACGAGTTTAAACCTATTTTTCAAGTTTAACCTATAAACTGAGTTTGACATAAAAAAAGGTTTTTTTTTGTTAAAAAGGTTAACTTTTAAATCGTTAAAGAATAAATTGTTTTTATTTAGTAAGTTGACAGTGTTTCTTAAAAGGAATTAAAAAATAAATGACATCTGTCAAAATTAAGTAACTAATAAATTTTGTTATTTTTTTAACGTTAATATATTAATATAAAACTTTGATTTACATTCACGTCTAATTTTAAATGATACAAGTGCTTCACTTGCAATTATAAATCAATCTAAATTTATAGTTTGTATTAAAAATCGAAATTAACATTTTAACAGTTGGTATTAAAACTGCAAAGATAAACAATGTCAAGGTTATCTCAAAGATCTGTCATATTGGGAATTTAATCTATAAGTATAATGTGTCTTATTTTTTATTACTTTTTAATAGTAATTAATTACTTTGTGTAATTTGGTGTAATCTTACCTAAAACGTTCCTTTATAATGTGCACAAATTTTATTGTTTCAATTTAAACCGTTTTGGAGAAAAGTACTTGTTTTCTTAAAGGTTATTTTTAACAAACGTCATTTTCAAATCGACAATTTTAAAAGAAATGTTTTAACAAAAGTGTTCGCCGAGGAAACTTAAAATTACATCTAACATTATTCAAAATCTTTCATTATAATCGTAAGAAGTTGTATTTCATAAATCCGAATTGTTTTGGAGAAAATGTTTTCTTTTTTAACCTCACTTTCAACAAACGTCAATATCAACACGGCGAATCGGATTGGAAACTCAATATCTTAATGTTTTCGAGTAATAATGATTTCAAATCTTTGTTCGTTTTATTATCTTGTAGATTTTTAATTTTACTTTGTTTCGGGAATCTTAAGTTTTTGATTAAATCTCCTTAATTAATCAACCTAATCTCATTTTTTTTAACCTCACTTTCAACAAACGTCAATTTTAAATGAGCGTTTTTTACATTAATTTATTTTAAAAAATTCTAAATACGTATAAATTTTATATGAATTTTCGTTAAATAAATTGTTAACCTTGAAAACTTAAAATGACGATATATTTAGTAAGTTGGCAACATTTTTTAAAAATAAATAATGATAAATATGACATCTGTCAAAATTAATTAATAATAAATTTCATCTTGTAATTTTTTGACGTTAATATATTGAGATTAAACTTTTAGTTCAATCAATTTTGAGATTTAATCATGATTAATGACAATTTAAACGTTAAAAAATTACATTCATGTGTAATTTTATACGGCGCAAACTTCACTTGCAATTATACATAAATCAATTTAAATTTATTCTTCTTGAACATCCAACGTCGTATTTTTTTCTCATAAATATTCTTCATTATCTCGCATAGTTTCAATAAGATGTCATCTAATTGTTTTGTAATTTCAAGGTTGTTTAATAACTTTTTGATATATTTCGATTAATTCTTTATACAGGAAGTATTTTTGGTTGCTAAATTGTTTTGTATTATTTTTAAAAATAAAATATTCATAAAACTCGATGTGTATCGTAGGCCACCAACTACTGGAATTTAACGTTGGCCCGCATCACGGACAAAGAAACAACAAGGCGTTGTCCTTTCGTTTAATCGAAACCGTCGGCGTAGGACTTGATTTCGCGAAACGAAAAAAAAATTAAAAGAAAAAAAGTATTGGGACTGGATGAAAAGACAAGGACGCTGAGCGGGTATAAATCGACCGACTCCTTCTTCTGAGACGTTATTAACACTCTAGAGAGATCCACGGCGAGTTATCACCAATTAAATACACCAGAAATGAAGTTCTTGGTGAGTAGTTTCACTTCTTCCTACATTTCATTATATATTATTATTTTTTTAGATTGTTTGTATGCTTTTGGCTGTTGCCCAAGCTGGAGTTATCCCAATCGCAGGACAAGTTGAACAAGAAGTCATCCCTGGAATTGCTAATGAACATATCGTTCAAGGACCAAGTACTAAAACAAGAGTTTTAGGACCCGATGGAAGTCAAGTTAATTCCGATGCTGCTGGAGGCACAATTGTCCCTGAAGGTGGAGTTGCAGTTTTTGAACCAATTCTTACTTTAACAAAAGGAACACCAATTGTTGCTGCAATTCCCGTTCCGGCGGTACCACAAACAATCGTTCAGCCAGCAGCTTTAGTTGTCCCTGTTGCGAAATCTTTAGAAGAAGGCCAATATATTCCAGATAACACCGAAAAATTATACGATGATGGTTCTTACAAACCATCTCCTTTAGAGGAAGCTGATGATGGAACTTATAAAGGAGAACAATAAAGTTGGTTATAAAGAGGGGTTCTAGTCTTAGAAATGAATAAAAATCCACCCGTAGAGTTTGTAAACAAACAAGTTTCGCTAATAAATTTTATTTTACTTAAAAAGAACCTTAGTAATTAATTTTGGTGAAGGCGCCGGTGATATTTTTCCAAGAACATGGACAGTCGATAAACAAAGAACACAGCAGGCGCCAGAGATTTAATTGCTTTCTAAATTTAAAACGTGACTTTTTCACAATTCAATGCTAATTCGGTCTCGCGCGCGGCGGCACTAAAATTTCACCCAATTTGTGCAGTGCAAATTATTTTCTTAATTAAATCTCTCTTCTTTTCAACGATTTTATCATTGCGTGTTCTTTTTTTATTTCCTCGTTTAAAAGATAAAAAGTTGTATGGAAACCGGCGTTAACTGGTTGCAAATTGAACACTCGACCGCAGATGATGAGAGTGTGTGGGAGGAGGGTTGGGTATTGTTGTCGTCTGCTCGACGTAATCGATATTAGCTAAAAGAGACCTTCGAAAAGGGAACGCGCGATAATAAAGCACCGTATGGGCCATTTCTTAAGAGATAATAAACAACGTATGTTTATCAACAAGCAACCTCACATTTTAAAACGAATTTAAGTTTTACTTTTTTTTTTTCTCGTCCAATTAACGAAAGTCGATCGTGAGGGGGTGACAAAACGAATACTTGAGACAACCGTAGAACGAAGAGCACGTGTCGTCCTTGACACATATTTTTCAACCCTCGCAACCGATTCTCGACGACGACGACGACTCCAGACGATGGATCGAGATGGTAAGGAAACAACCCCTCTCAGTCTGGGTCTATTTTCGTTCGACCCTCAATTCGATTGACGATATTGGCCGTTGTGGAAACTACCGGCGGCTTGAAAATACAGATTTTCCAATTTTCCACCTCCAACACAATCACACCTCCAGCAATTTCTTCGATTATCAATGAAAACGTAAAAATACTAAATAAATTCATTTATTTGAATCATTTCGTTCAATCCAGATCAACAGTTAATGGTGGAAATATGAAATTTTACTAACGAAGCTTTCAAATGCATCAAAGTAATAAGATAGGGTGCTGCTACAGAATCCTTTGATATCCGACAATTTTTCCATGCCTAGAATCGAACGTGTTTCCAATTTCAATTAGCGCTAATTACTCCTACTCATTTCAACGCGTTGAGCGAGAATGTAATGTAATTGAAAGTACACATATGGTACGTTCGATTAATGTAATTAGAAGTTGGATTCGAAGGGTGTTTTAATAAACAAAAATATAATAACAAATTTAGATTGAGTTAAATCAATGGTCCAAAAACTTTTTCATAGCCGTGAAATTAAACTTGAAACGGCCACCCTCATTTCCTTTTTCACGTTGATTACAGCGACCGCCGAAAACTTAGTTTCGCTCAAATATCACGTCGAAAAGGGAATGAATATCCGCTTGGAAACGGATATTCAACTTTTATTGAAATTCAAAATTATGCCAATTCATCTTCTCCATAGATCGTTATTTTTATAAAAGCTTCATTGATTTCAAAGATTAGGAATTAGTTTTTCAAAAATGTCGCATAAATATGCCAGTATTTAATCTAGCTATAAATAAACGTCATCATATTTACAATAATTTCATTTCTTCACATTCGTGTCACTGATTGAACGCACTGAAGATGCCAGGTGAGATCTTGGCGAAACGTCTGCCCCTTTCCAAAAGTAACCAACAGTCATAAATTCAAGGTCTTCTTCGTTCTGGGCTATAACCACCTGGTCGTCAGCAAAATGTAGGCTGTACAGCATTGTTTGTTCATCAAGTTCAATCCCTTTATATTTCTTTCTCCATTCTTCAAGAGCAATCTGCACATATATGTTGAATAATAAAGGGGATCACATTTTTCCTCAAAAATTGTTTAATTCTAAATCAAATGAAATTTTTAAGTTTAAAAATTAAATTATTTAAATTCCATCGTGTCCAAGAATAGAAAAATTTTATTTGAAACGTATAAAATGTCATTTTCCTGTCTGCAATCTCCTTTCTCCCCATAAAATTACGAGAAATAACTTTGTCTCCAGCGCGAGCTTTCACCGACTTTCAATATACACAATTAGATTTATAAATTTCACCGATTTTTTCATATTGGGCTCGTTTTCGCTTCATACACAAACACATAAATATTTACAGCTTTTTTTTTAAACTAATTTTACACCGAGTCGGATTTTAATCAACGTTCGAGGAAAACTTATCATTTATTCAACATGTTTTTCTCATTCCGATTCTTTTTTATACTTTTCTTTTACATTAAAAAAAACAGATTTAAATACATTAATCTAATAATAATTCGTTTGTCCTTCTTTCTAAAATATAAATTCGTATATAAAAAAACGCTTTTTTTTTCGAACCATGACCCTGATGTTTAACGGTACGCTTGGTAATCATCCATTCCGTCTGATCATCAGTCCGTAAAATCAACGTCCGTGACAATAAACAAAAGGTTTCTATTTCCTCTCGTTTCGTTTCCTCAATCGAAAGAGCCGCAAAGACCTCCACAAATCAATACGACTTTAAACGAAATCGACTTTCAAAGCCAAATCAATTGCCTTTCCAAAGCTTTAATCCCATATTAGTAGTATCAAATGAATTGAATAATATCAGGAAATTGAGCGCAAGTGTTGAACGCGAGCATAATCGAAACGGGATCTTATCTAGGTAGATTTCAACCACAAGAGTAGAGGGAAAGAGATAGACATAATCTATTACTCAGACAATCGGATTACATCTATGGTTCGCTCGAATTAAACTATTGTTACTTGATAATATGGGTCATTTTCTACTTACCAGCTTGTAATCGAAGAATTAATAAATGATTCCTGCTGATTTATAGCTTTTTTTTGCTGCATAGATCTGCAAGAAAATAGAAAAATATCAAATTAAAATTTAAAAAAAATTCTTTTTGACATTGACATAAAGTAATAAACATAACCTAAAAATTAATTTTTAACGTCAAAAATTATATGTAATTATTTAATGAATTCAAAACGTGCTTGGAACATTGTAAACAAAGTTATTTCAAGACTTTTTTTGCAATAACTAATAAGAAAATAGAAACATATCAAATCAAAATTAAAATAATTTTTTTGACATTGACATATGGTAATAAACATAACCTAAAAATAGATTATTAAAGTCAAGAATTATAATTATTTTTTCTTGAAAATTATTTAATGAATTCAAAATACGCTTGGAACGTTGTAAGTAAAGTTATTTCAAGATCTTCAAGACCTCCATCCATTGAATCGTTGAATTCCATCCAAACCTAACCACCCACCTAGACCCCCTTTTCAAGGACTCTATGCACCTTTCGCCTCGTCGAGACTCGGAAGTAGCGTTCTCGTTTTTATTTCCGCCCTCCGATATCCCCCTCATCATCCCCCGCGTTATTTTACCTTGTTTCCGTCTTACCACCACCATCGCGTCGCTGTGGCGCGAATCGAGAAGGGCAATTCCCTTCGTTTCCCGATCTCGTTACGAGTCCATCTGGGGTTTGCGCTAACTGCGTTATCCAGGGCGAAATTCGCATCTCCCGTCCCGGTTCCCGGGTGTTCCCGGGGTTCGTAGTTCGTATTTACAGACGTGTTTACTGTCGCTATAAATAATTTTGGTACAAGGACTGGGTCGTGTTTGTTACCGGCAAATTGAAAAATGGCTTTGAATTGATAGTTTTAGATTGGGGGAGTTGTTGTTTGTTGAAATCACGTTAAAATGAGATTTTTTTGCATTACAGGGTACTCTTTAATTTCAAACTCTTTAAGAAATCCTAATAAACCACTTTAATTGATTTTGACAGCTGTCAATCAAAATCTAACCTAATAACAAAGAAGTTAGCGATCCTCATAGTAAATTGATGGTGATGTTTTAATATTTATAAAGTTTTTCAAAATGAATCTTCAAAATAAATAATAACAAACTTTTACCCACATAAACAAAAAGAAATGTAAAAATTAAAAAACACAAAAAATAAAATGCTCTCTGAAGTTGGCGATTTATTTTAGAATAATCCCGATTTGTAAATTATGAATTGAAATTGAATTATTAATAATGTGAAAATTTTAAATATTAATAATAATCGGTAAGATTGTCAACTTCTTATTATTAAGAATTAATTATTTAAGCTTCATAAATATAATTTCGAAAAGCAAACTAATTTTGCAGTTTCCGGCCCTGATTATTTAACAGTTAAACGTTAAATGACAGTTTAAATGTCAAGGTAAATTTATTTTTAATTAATTTGAATTTATTTATGTTTTTAGTCCCATTTACACCAAATATAGTTTTTTTTTTGTAAAAGCATCTGGAATAACAGCTGTTACTTAAAAAATAACATCTAAACCAGCACATTTACCGTGTTAAATAACACATTTTAGTTATTCTTAGTAAACAGATTTTATGGTCTATTTAATTTAACGCTATTTAAGTCACGCTCGTTTATTAAATGTTTTTGTAAATTTAAATATCTGTAAAGTTAACAAAAAAAAATTAATATTAAAATGTAATCAATTTTCTGTGTGATCGTTCCAGTTTGCAACCTGTTCAAAAAGAAACAAATACCGTTACAGACTAAACGATTTTTAACGATTTCGCGTCTTCCCTTTAAATCAGGTGGCCGCCGCAACCGGTTTTTTAGTTGACACACTTTTTAAACCATTTTCTTTCAACAACGTCGTCCATGCGCACGTTTGATTCGATCCAACAAAACGTTAAAAAGAATACATGAAAATGCATGAAATTAAAAAGAAAACCTCGCTTTCACCACTACACCATGGGAGAAAATGCAAATTAATTATTGTTTTAGAAATACGCCTTGCAAATAGAAACCCTTTTATTTTGTTTTAATTTTTTAAAATATTTGATCAATAAGTCCTCGTAAATACATACAAATGAGGTAAAAAACGATCGATTCCACGTCCTTTACAAATAGAAAGTAAATTAAAATATAAAATTAAAAACATACCTAAATAAATTACAGCCAAGTGTGATTAGTCTTTTTTTTATTTGCAGATTAAAAATTCACTTCACTCACTCAAAACAAGAAATGTGAACAAAAAAAAACTAAAAAATAGAACACAAAACCAACGAGAGAATAATGGAAAAGGGAAAACAATAGGAACGAGGAAACGTTCCGTTCTGTACTGAAAGCAGCAGCTAGAGCACCTCCTTTTGTCTATTTGCGTTATCGTTCGAAACGATAAATAATAGAATATATTCACGCGATCCAATAACTAGCTGTACTAAAACTTCAACACGCCGACGGCAAACTCAAACCAACGTTCTCGCATAAGAGGTCACCAGTCTACTACTGCTTTCTTCTATAACTCACTCTCTGAGACGCTCTTCGAAACATCTACTTTTACAATGAAGAAGACGAAGAAGGAAAAGAAGAAGAGGAAGAACTCGATATCGTCGTTGTTGTGTTCATTCGTTGTATGCCGTTAGTAGAGACGTACGTTCTCAAAAACACAAAATAAAAATTTGTTAATCCTTAATAAATTTAGCAGTACTGATTAGAATCAACACATTTTATAACTTTTAGCATTTAATCATCTCTTAATCCCGACAAATAGCTTCAAGAAAGCTACAAATTTCTTCATTCATATTAATTCATTTATCAGATACTTATTTAACTTTAATTTAATATCAAAATCTGTCCATAATTCTTTCAAAAACAGCCAGGGTAAAGTTTTAAAGTATTTCTATCGCCTTAATCTTGTATAAGGTTAGGTTAGTACTTATTGAATTTCGACTAAACTGTCAGCAACAGGATGGTTACAAGTGATTTATTGCCGATATTGTAGCCGTTACGGTTTAATGTGGCCAATCTCTAGGTCGCAGACTCACTATATTATGTACGATGTAATTACTTAATTAATTGCTTCTGGCGTTTGGTAATGGATTCCTATCAACACTCCCCAACATCATTTGAGGCGTGAGGAAGCCTAAATCAATCTTGGTCTTATCAAATGGAGTAGTTAACTGATTTTACTAATTGATTCAAAGAAAAACAAAATTGATATTTTTTTAATTTAATAAAAAAAAATCACAAAAAAATTATTTATTTATTAATTACATTATAATTAATCTTCGTCGTCCTGATTTGTAGTAATATTTTCAACTTGTTCTTGAGAATGATCTTCAGCTTCTTCAATTTCAGTTTCATTTTCATCTTTCTTAGTTTCATCACTTTTTTCTTCCACATCTTCTATTTCTTGTTGAGCAACAACCTGTTGTTGTTGTTGTTGCTGCTGCTGCCTTAGATATTCTTCTCTTTGTTGTTTATACGTCTTCAATTGATTACCCATATTTAAAATATACTCCTCTGCGAGACAACAAGCTTGTTCAATTTCATAATTGTGTGAAACTAAAGCAACCCATTTCGCTTCTAAACTCTTTAATTGTTCCCCACCTTTGGTTTGTAACGATTTTCGCTGCCAATTAACTTCTTGCAAAGCTTGTCTTAAAACTGCAATTTTTTTCATTGCGATTTTTTCGCAATCAGATAACGTTTGAAGATATCTTTGCCAAGCGGGGCAACAATACTCCAACATTAATTGTAGATTTAATATTCTTACAGCTTGGTGTTCCAATTGAGCTTGGGAGTTTTCGACGCATTCGAACCAAGCTTTTTCTTCATTTAATTTTCCGCTTGGCGGAGGCGGAAGTTCATAACGTTTCATTGACATTGTATCCATCGGTAAACGATTTTGCAAACGCTCAAACTCGGTATGCATCATTGGAGTTTCGAAAGAGGTTACATTTAATGGAGGTAAATGTTCTAAGTAGTTTTTTGTCGGTCTAAATCTACGACATTCTTCTTCAACCATTGCAGAAGCCTAAAATTAAAAATTAAATAGAAATATTTTTGAGGTTATGTTATTTTTTTTTTACTTACGGCTTCTCTAACACCGGGTTCATCATATCCTTGGTCTATATAAGGTAAAGCATCGACAACAACCTCACCAGCCATTATTTTAATTCATTAATTCCCAATTTTAATTTAAAAATTGTCTTGTCAAATATGACAGCTAATGAAAAAGTGAGGTTATGTTTACTTTTAAGGTTAATCAATAAAGGTTAATTTCTACATAAAATAAAAATTCAAGTACTGAATATTAAATTAAAGTAATAACAAAACAGAACACTAGTAGAATGGCTTTACAGGAAGTAGCAGATGAATATTTTCGTAGCATAAATTCAACGGCTAAAAGGCTGTGTGAAGACATGAAAGAAATCAAATCTAATTACGAACACCTTTGGGATGATTTTACGGAGAGCGAAAAGTCTGAAATCATTAACGAAACGATTGTAAAACCAGAGATATCAATTCAATATGCAAAGCGTGGAAATGTTATTAAAAAGGAGTATCAACCTTTACGGAAAGGGGATAACAATTACAGTTTTAAAGATGAACATTCTGGTCCATTCCAATTTAGGACTGTTAGTCAAGAAAACTTATTTATGTCTGGTACTAATAAAATTAGTTCTAGAAATAACAAAGCATTTAAAAATAAGGAAAAAAAGGTTATTTTTAAACAATAAATTGAGAATAAATAGTATTTTAGTTATTTTTAAGGTTGAAAGCACCATTTGTGAAGCTAAAATGGATGACTTGAATGCCATACCAAAGACTGGATTAGATTTATTGGATAATTGGTAAATTCGGTAATTTATGTAAAATTTTATTTATGTTTTATTGTGTTTTGTGTAATTGCTCTGGATGTTCTAGTCAAGCAAAATGTTTTTGTTGTTGTTATACTGCCATACATATCATAAAAGAACTGATTGCTTGTTGTTTATTTAAGCAGTTTTACGTACCAGTGTTTTTCTGTTTTAATTTAAAGTAATATTTTTAGACAAGAAAAAATTTAAATTTACACAACTAATATACTTCTTGAATATGTACTTTTATAAAATGTATACAAATAAATACATACATAAATAATTCTTCTTCTTCTCCTGATCCTTAATTATGCCTGATGGCGTCGGATAAATCTTATTCCTATTCCTCCATCTACTCTCTCTGGTTCTTGCCTAATTCCTTTATATCTGCTGGAGTCTTTTCTTCCCAATTTTTGCTATTCTTTCCTCCCATTTCTTCCTCTTCCTGTTATCCATTATGTTCCATTCTAATTATGTGGGCGTATCAGTTTAGTTGCTTTCTCTCTATTTTGCTGATTAGCTCCTCTTGATCTATTTTCCTCATTCTTTATCCCATCCCACTTCGTCTTCTGTACTATTTTCCGTAAAAATTTCATTTCCATTGCTGTGATTTTTCGTTCTTTTTTATCTTGGAGCGTCCATGATTCACTGGCATATGTTAATATTGGGACTGCACGGAGTTGTACACTTTCAGTTTTATCTTTTTATCTATCTTCTTCTTCCCAAAAATTGTTCTGTTTAGAGTATGATATACGTTGTTTTCTTTATTTTTGGGTGTATGGGATGTAATCAATAATACTCTTAGCATTCCTTTCTTCCGCCACAAACGTATATTTATCTTGCCTCCTCTGGCTCTACATAGTGTTTCCAAACAATAAGTCGTTTATTTGACAAAATTCCAGCATTCTTTGCCCATTTCTATTCATCACTACCTCTCCCTGATCCTTATGTTAATACCTATTCTCGCATTCCAGTCGAGTAAAGTTGTTCCAGTTGAGTAAAAATCTCGTATTTTTCCGTCTTTTATAAAATATATGTTATTAATTCTTTTTACTTTAATGGGTTGAATTTTTCAGGTGAACAAAGCGACAAACACAAAAGTATATGTATATATTTTTTATTCCACTTTCTTTTCTTTTAAGTAGTTGTACATTCGCAGCCGATTTAAAGCTATAACAATTTCAATAATTTATCACACTTAATCTAGAATAGTGAAAAAATAACTCCTAAAGCGACCCTATCTCGTTTATATCGTAGAATATCGGTTTTAAAGTAGCATATGAATTGAAAATTAGAAAGTATTACATTTTATTACTTTACGATTTGATTTTTTTTTCGTTTTATTTTTATAATAACAATATATTCTTTATATATTTATATATCAGCCTTTCGATTGACTAAGCACGGTTCGAGATTAAAATATAACTCGTCCTCTCACTTATTTTATATTTCTTTTTAAAAATATTTACAACTAAAACATCCCCTTTTGTGTAGAGCTGTCAATAACAATGTCGATTGTTATTAATAAAATCTATTAATTATTACATTACACGCATTACATATTTACATTTTGAACACTTTATTTGTTATCTATTTACACAATATTTAAAACAATTTCCTCATCGGAGTTGTGGCGATTGTAAAAGCGGTGTTGTTTCAACAGCTGTTGGGATATATCTATTTCCCGTTTGTCGACTATGGTTTAATTGATGTAAATACATCGTGCTAGCATTCATGTGGTTTGGCAAAGAATTTAAGGGTCCCTCCGCTTTCCAAGCGGGGCCTTGTAACGAACTATCCGTTAAATTCGTTTGCATCAACAACATATCTCCCGCGTTATTGATTTGTGCTGGATGAATCGACATTGATTCTCTTTCAATGTTTTCGACAAACATCATCGATTCCGGTGGTGGAATCCATTGTGGATTCGTAGTGCGGAAATGCATTAAAGACAACTCAGTTTTTCCATCTTCAGCTTGGGTGTATTGGTCCCGGGGTGTTGGAGCTACAGAATCCGTTTCTTGCCAATCCGGATTACCGTGTCTTCGAACATCCATTTGCGCAAAACTACAAACGTCGCCAACCCCGACTACCGAGACAGTAAAATTTCGGAAGAAATCCACTAAATCTAACGATCTCGGTTTAAAATAAGTCCATAAAACGTACGGTGTGAGTAACGGCGAAAATAATTCTTCAAGAATCGCAACGAATTTGTATTGGAAAAGTTGTTGAAATTCAGTTCGAATACGAATGGTGTGAGCTTGCCCTCTCCATCCCGGTGGTAAGTAATCTGTGTATTGAAGTACGTTCGCTAATAATAATTCAGGACAATAGGCAGTTGTTTCATCAGGGATCATTGCGCGACAAACCGGGATTAAACCCCCCAAAACTGTCATAACAGTTAAAAGATGCTCGACGGAAATTACATCTGGATCATAAGCAGTTAAAATAATAAAAACGGCCAAGATAGAGCTACACATAAACATAAAACATCTTGCGATAATCGCCGCTAATGATGACCCAAAAACGGCTAGATATCTGGAAGCCGGTCGATGAGCCCTGCATAATCTTGCTTGGAATTCGTGATCGAGTTCATTAAAATGCCTCAAATACAATCGTCCGTACATTGACCAGTTCCGCAATCCCAAAATACCAGGTTCTCGTTTCAAACTTTCCGCGTACGAAAAAAAAGTGTGCAAAAGTTGCCAAACGAAAATTAATGGAATTAAAATAGCATTTCCTAACGCAAGCCACTTAATTTGCGTGCTTAATTTCCTAGCTAATTCATGTCGCAAATTTTGTTTACGATATTCCTCTTTTAAATGCCAAGGATTCTCAAAGGGCGCCCAAGGAGAACAAAATAACAACAATTGTATGTTATATCTTAACCCCCGAGTCCAATAAATAACCTCCCCCAACAAAGGAAATTGTATTCTTGGTGGAATTAATCTTTTATTAGTCATCGCGACAAAATAATTAACTTGTCTTAATATCCTGTGATAAATATCCAACTCGGTTAGTTCACGTTTGTGTATGCACATTTCTTGTTCTAATTGAACCGCTCGCACTTTCGTTTGTATTTGATGCCACGTTAAATTTTCTAAATCCGAATCCGCGAATCCTAAAGCTGTGTTATAAAATTGTTTGATATCCCAATATTGTAATAAACTGTAACCGCTACGACACAACCGTAATAACCACACGAAAAAAGCTATCAATAACACTATCCAAGTCCACATATTCAAACGACCAGCCCATTCCCCCACTGGATATACAACATCTCCGATTGTCACTCTGGTTGAATTTCCAGGTGGTAATTTATTTCTAAATAACATATCGTAATCGATAAAGTAAATTAAGAAGACGGTAAAAAAAATGATAAAAACAAATTGGATTAATTCTGATATTTCTTGGGCGAGCATACAAAAAAATCCGTGTCGTTGATGATATTTATACATTCTCGAGAAAAAGGAATCCAAGTCTTGAATGTGATTCCACCGAGCTCGAGATTGTTCGGCCACATGAAATAACACCCCAGTGTCTTCAGTTTCAACATCTTGTAATGTTGCGTAATTATTCATTTTGTAGAAACTAGAACAAAAAAAATATTGTAATCTTGTTATTATCAACAAAATTTTATGCAATACATGATGATTATTGCTACATAAAAACAATAATTTATGATTTAGTTTCGAAATTTAATAATAACTTAACAACAAAGGTTATTGTATAAAACTTAAGTTAAAAAAGATAGAATAGACTATACTTACTGCTTTTAATAACTAAAATATACTAAAATATAGTGGATCACAAAAAAAATTTATATATTTAAAAAAAGTAATGAGAAATCTTCTTTAACGTACCTCTCTATACTAAACTTCTCTACGTTTTAGTTATTAATGTAACACATTGATGTTTATTAATAAACAACAAGATAATAATTGTTATTGTTACATGGTGATAATGATTGATGAAAATAAAAACACCTGTCTCTTTGAACTAACGACGAACATTGAAACTTGCTTATAGAATACGTTACGTGATTACACTTACGTCTTTGGTTTCTAATAATATCAAAGGTGATGCATTACGCGACATAGGCGATTTGTATTTATAAAGATGCACAATAATTTCGAGTAAACAAAGAGACGTCAAGTTAGGGAATTTTACTGTCACTTACAAATCGAGGAAAATAGCACTGAAACGTCAAACTTCACGTTCATAAATTAATACAAAATTTTATTTTCAACCATTTCGCGAGCTTTTTAAGTAATCATTTTTAATGTAATATTTCTGCGTATTATTTATTTTTTGTTGATTCATTTTCTATGATTTTTAAATGTATCGAATTATAAATTAAATTTTTGACAGGTTGTTAAAAAAATGTAACCTTTATGTTTTATAGCACCATCTTATTTTAAATAGCGAAACTAAGTGTTTTGAGTTATAGGACTATCGGTAATTGTTGGATAATGGATATTCTGTGGTTCAAATTGGATATTTAGTTCAATGAATGCGTTTAAACGCTTGCGCAACCGTAAATAAATATTTCGCTGGGTTTTTAACACCCCGGTTCCGATAGAAGGTTAATAATAAAAATTAGAAAAATTTAAGGGTTAAATTTGGAATTAGTTCAAATAGAGTGATTAGAGGGCGGTACTGTTTCAAAGATGACCAATACAACCATAGATAACTTAACTTTTATTTTGTTTAAACAATTTTATGAAACGTCGGTTTTTTTTACGAAAATTAATTAATTTATGCTTAAATCATACGAAAAAAGGAATTTGTTTAGGTTTACTTAAATTGAAATTTTGACAATAATAAAAATTAAAAGGTTAAGTTTGAAATTAGTTCAAATAGAGGGATTAGAGGGCGATACTGTTTCATCCAATACAACATAACCTCTTTCTTGTGTTCAATATAAAGTTTTTAAAGTTAATTTGCACGTGCTTTATCGTTTTAAACTATTATAATGCAAGTTTCCGATTTGAATAATGTGAAGATATATAATTTAAGTGCCGGAAAATCTTTGCCAGAAGTAAATTTTAAAATTATTTTCTTTTCCTAGTGTTTAAGATAACCTCAAATATTTAATATTAACTTTTTTAACCGCACAATTATTTTTTTTGCTTATATTTTATGTTTTTGCTTAATAATTTTTAGTGGTTATCAGAAAGAAAGCGCCGCACACTTTTAAAAAAAGATGTAGACATTAGACGAAGAATCGAATTGATCCAAGATTTTGATATGCCCGGTTTAAGTACTTCGATAAGAGTCTCAAAAGATGGCCAATACATTCTAGCAACAGGAATATATAAACCTAGAGTTAAATGTTTCGACGTTAACAATTTATCGCTTAAATTTGAACGTTGTTTTGATTCGGAATGTGTTACTTTCGAAATATTGAGTGATGATTATAGTAAAGTAATATAAAAGGAAGATTGAAATAATAAAACTTGATTAATTTTGTATTTGATTTCAGATAGTTTTTTTGCAATGTGATCGTTATGTTGAATTTCACGTTGCGCATGGTCGTTATTACCGATTAAGAATACCAAAATTTGGCAGGGACATGAAATATCATTATCCAAGTTGTGATTTATACATTGTTGGTAGTGCTTCTGATATTTATCGCTTAAACTTGGAACGTGGTCAATTTTTAACTCCTTATTCGAGTGAATCCTCAGCAATAAATCGTTGTGAAATAAATCCTGTGCATCATCTTCTGATTTGTGGCACCCAAGAAGGTAGAATTGAAGCTTGGGATACAAGAAGTAAAAGTTTAGTTGGCAATTTTGATTGCGCCCTAAATTTTGTGAATGATCTTAATCAGTAAGATTTAAAATTAATTTAAAACAATAAATTAATGTTAATATTTTAGATTACAAAGTTTTCCTTCGATTACTGCTTTAAAATTTAATGGGGCTCTTCAATTAGGAGTTGGAACCGCCACTGGACATGTTTTACTTTACGATATACGTTCAAACAAACCTTTTTATATTAAAGACCACATGAATGAACTTCCCATTAAAGATGTTGAGTTTCATAAACAAGAAGAGTTTGTTTATTCGATGGATGGATCCACTGTTAAAATTTGGGATAAAAATAATGTACATAACATTAAATTGATAATAAAAAAATTAAAAAAAAATTTTTTAGGGTAAATTATACACATCGATTGAAGCAAAATCCGAATTTAACAATTTATGCATCGTCCCAAACACTGGATTATTATTTATCGCCAATGAAAACACAAAAATGCAAACATTTTACATCCCAAGTTTGGGGCCAGCGCCGAAATGGGCGAGTTTCTTAGATAATTTAACCGAAGAATTAGAAGAATCCAACACAGAAACTGTTTACGACGATTACAAATTTGTTACAAAAACTGAATTGGAGAATTTGGGATTAGATCATTTAATTGGAACCAATTTATTAAGGGCTTATATGCACGGGTACTTCATTGATGTAAGATTATATAAAAAAGCGCGAGATGTAGCTAATCCATTTGAATTCGATCAATATCGCAAACAAAAAATACGTCAAGTAATTGAAAACGATCGCGAAGCTCGCGTCAAAGTCGATAAATTACCAAAAGTTAACAAAGATTTAGCCCTAAAATTAATAAACGATAAAATCATCAACAAAAAGAAAAACAATTCATCATCATTATTAACTGATAATCGATTTAAAGCGTTGTTTGATAACCCGGAATTTGAAATTGATAAGAACGCTGAAGAATATAGATTTCTTAATCCCGTTTTGTCTCGGTTAGATAAAAATAAAAAGAAAGAATTGAAACAAAAATTGGTTGGAGAAGAATTCGAAACGGTTCAAGAAGAGGATAAAGATCAAAAATCGAGTGATGATGATTTTGAAAGTGATGATTCCTCAGATGATGATGATGGAGCATGGAAAGAAGAAATGAAAAAACAACATAAAATTCTTGAAAGAGAAAAAAGAATTCGCGAAAAACGCGAAGAAATTGATAAATTAAATGAAGAACAGAAAGCTCCGAAATTTTTTGAATTAAGGGCGGGAGAAGAGTTTAAAGGGGCTCATAATATGAAACGAAAATTGAATAAGTAATATTATTTTTTCTTTAGTATTGTTGATTTACATTTATTTTGTTGTAGGGCTTCTTTGGCTGAAAGGTTACAAAACGAAGATAGTTCCGTTAAAATGCATTCATTTGGTAATAGACAGATGACTTTTTCTGTTTCATCTAAAGCACGTGAAGCCGCAATTAATGAAAAAAATAAAAGACATCGAGAAGAACGAAAAAAATTGGTCCGTCCAACTTTTGGGATAAAATCTTCAAAGAAAAAACATTTCTAAGTAATCAAGAAGACGATATCTTAAAAAAAAAAATACTTTGCCTTATATTTATACTTCTTTTTGTAAATATAGTAATGTAAGATTTAAAAAAATTTAGATTTGACATCAATTTAGTTCATTTATTTCTCCCTAGATGGTACTAAATATCGAGTCAAAAGTAAACATCAATTTGACAAATTTTCTATACGATCTTCAATAAATTAAACAATTATATCGTTGTATCATTATTTTAATTATTATTCCACTTAAGCTCAACAATGTTAATTATTTACAGTTATCTTTTTACACGTCACACAACGTGTCAAAATTTAACCTTAAACGCAATGTGATTATTCAATTCATTCCATTGATTTCAATAAGAAATAAAACATTTGTATTGCATTTATGTTAATTTTATTATATTAAAAGAAAATTATGGATTTGATAAAACAAGGGATTCTTTTGGCGATGACGCCGCAATGTTTCGATGAATACTTCGTAAAATTTAACTTCTTGGATGGTAAATATTAACTAATTTATTCTCTTGTATTAATAACCGTTCTATTTTCTGTTTTAGTTGGTTGTTTTAAATCAACACTAAGTAAGTGTTTAGGTATCGGTATAATTCTAGGTTCTGTCCTGGTAAAGTTACCACAAATATTGAAAATCATTAAAAATAAAAGTGGACAAGGAATCAATATACTTAGTGTCACTTTAGATTTATGTGCTATTACAATTGCTTTATCATATAATTACGTAAAAAGATTCCCATTTACATCATGGGGTGATGCAACCTTTTTAGCTTTACAAACATCTCTAATAGGAGCTTTAGCTTTATTCTACGCAGGAAAACAAGTCCAATCTATTTTATACCTGATTTTATATGGAGTCCTTCTTTTTATTTTGGCTGGGGGTCCCACTTCGATAGATATATTGTGGACACTTCAAGGATTTAATATACCGATACTATTGGTTGGAAAATTAGCTCAGGCTTATACTAATTGGAAAAATGGAAGCACTGGCCAATTATCTGCAATTACTTTATTTTTACTTTTCTTTGGCTCCGTTGCAAGGATATTTACATCCATTCAAGAAACGGGAGATTCTATGGTTATTATTACCTATTGTTTCTCCAGTTTTGCTAATGGTGTTATTTTATTCCAATTATTGTATTATTGGAATGTGGATGATCAAAAGAAAAAAATTGAGAAGAAAAAGAAAAAATAAGTTGTAACTAAATAAAAGAAAAATGTAATTTTTTTTTTTTGTAATAAATTTGTAGAAGATAGGAATTGGTGTTATTTTAAAAAATTATATTTTTCCGTTAATAAATATAAAGTTAATTAGTTATTATTAATTATATCCACTTTTAAAGTCGATTTAAATTTTGCTTATTCACGTTGGTACTTATTTACAAACCAGATTATTATAATTGTATGATGTAAATAACATTATATATTTTAACCGAACTTCTCATTTACTTTAATTACCAATTTTTATGAAAGTATTAGTTTTAATTTACAACAAAATCTTGTATATTAATCAACAGTTATAAACAGTAACAATTGGTACAACTTGCGAAGTGAAGTTGGAATTTTGTGACAGTTCCCTGGAAGCCATTTTACGTAAAAAACTCGTGGTTTTTGCCGGTTTTCCTCTAATTATATTAAACGAGAACACCGTTTATTATTATTACCATAAATCGGAGTTAAAATAGTAAGTATAATCAATCCGACAATCACCGATATGTATTAACGAAAATAAAAACCTTAGAAACATAACCTAAAATTGCGCAATAAAACCCTTTTTAATTCATATCAATCATTTCAGAGATGTCAGCGGCACAATTTTTTAATAGAATTGGTCAAATTGGTCTTGGTGTGGCCTTAGTTGGTGGTGTAGTCAACTCAGCTTTGTATAATGGTAAGATTTAAGGTTATTTTTTTTTTTAGGTTATTTATAAACAATTTGAAATTTATAGTTGATGGTGGTCATAGGGCAGTTATTTTTGATCGGTTTACTGGTGTAAAAAAGAGCGTTTCTGGGGAAGGTACTCATTTCTTTATCCCATGGGTTCAAAGACCAATTATTTTTGATGTACGATCTAGACCAAGGAACGTCCCAGTTGTCACAGGAAGCAAAGGTAAACTTAAATTATTTCAATTTTATACATTAACCCCTCTTATATATATATATATATATATTATATATATTTTTTTAAATAGATTTGCAAAATGTAAACATCACCCTTCGTATTTTATTCCGACCAATTCCTGATCAATTACCAAAAATATACACAATCTTGGGTCAAGATTACGAGGAACGTGTTCTTCCTTCGATCACTACAGAAGTTTTGAAAGCAGTAGTCGCCCAATTTGATGCCGGGGAATTAATTACACAGCGTGACCTTGTCTCGCAAAGAGTTAGCAATGATTTAACCGAAAGAGCGGGACAATTCGGTGTTATTTTAGATGATATTTCAATTACGCATTTAACTTTTGGTAAAGAATTCACTCAAGCCGTTGAATTAAAACAAGTCGCGCAACAAGAAGCAGAAAAAGCGAGATTTTTAGTTGAAAAAGCTGAACAAACGAAGAAAGCTACCGTTATTTCAGCGGAAGGTGATGCACAAGCCGCTATTTTATTAGCAAAAGCATTTGGCGATGCCGGTGAAGGTTTAGTTGAGTTACGACGCATTGAAGCCGCTGAAGATATCGCTTATCAATTGTCTAGATCAAGACAAGTATCTTATTTACCTTCTGGACAAAATTTATTATTAAATGTGCCAACTCCTTCAAATTGAAATTAAAAATAAATATGTGGGGAAGAGAATATGTAATTTGAGTGCTTTTTTTGAAGGTTTTTGGACTTAAAGGGTGATGTGAGATTTATATGATAGCCGAATGTTTTTAAATGGCTTCTGGAAGTGTCATGTGGGGTTAATTTTTTTTTATTAATAATGTACTTTGCATGGCAAAAAATTGTAAATCTCATATGTTGAGTAAATTTAGTTTCTTTTTAGTTTCTAAGAGCCAATTTATGAAAATATTTCTTTTTTTTTGTATGTAAAAGAACAATAAATAATGTTATTGTTAAGATTTTCTTTTTACCTAAAATAATCTTTAGTTACTCCACTTCTGGAGCTTCCCAGCTTTATGGGTGTCAAATTGTATCACAGAAGAACTTTTAGGTTTGATGACAAAACTAGCAGACCGGAACTTGCTTTGTTACTATAAATATTACTAAAGCAAAAAAAATGTTACTATAAACAATGCAGTAAGTTTACGAAAAGTTAAATGTCAACTTTGTGAAAGACAAAAAGATAGAAAAACCAATAATTTGTGTGTAAGTTGTCCTAGACCTTACTGTATGGAACTTAGAGCGCGTATATACAGCGTGTGTGAACAACATATACACTGTGTTAATTAATTATCGTAATCCACGTGACCTGTGTAATATCGGCTGCATATCTCAATATGTAGTGGTAGCTTGGATAATTTTAAATTAGTAACCAGATGTTGACAGCTCATCGTATGTTATTGTTGTGATTGTCGTACTCTTTGTGAGTTTCGGTACTTTTTTTGTTCTCCACCGTTGTTTCTAGCGGTAAGTCAATAAATAAATCAAAATAAGCACTATTTTTAACGTTAATTTTAATCTATGGCTACACTAAAAATTATTTTAAATAAAAGGATTGAAAGTTAGACCTTTTTTTTATATTTAAAATATTAAAAAGAAATATATCTAAATATATTTTAAACGGCTTTTAAACTTAACGAATTGTCGCCATCGTTTTTAGGAACTTTCGTCGCGTTGCAATACCAATCTGTGATATTGGTTGCATACTTTGTCGTGTACGATAATTAATAATTAACACACTGTGCCACGATCACCATAGGATAGTCATTTTTCACGGAGTGAATAATAGCGGTGAATAATCATTATACACGGTTAATCAAGTTGACAGACTAATAATAATTATTTGAAACGTCAAAATTTCAAAAAACGTCAATTTAATTTAATTTTTTATACTCTGTTTTTAAACCAGGAGGAGTAAACGCGAAAGTCAGATTTACACTAGAAAATATCACCAGAAAATATCACTAGATATTTTGGCGGTAAATTTAAATTAATAATTATTATTTATTTACTTATTATTGTATTTATTTTCGTTTGTTATCGTCAACACTATACATACAAATTAACATTGAAGTTATGAGTGTATTTATTTCAAAATATAATAAAAAAGGGTTTAAGAACACAAAATATACAATAATGACACGAAACTGTCGAATTATCAATTACCTAACCTTCAAATTCAAAATCAAAATTCAAAATTGCCTGTGTGTGAACCTTCCTCGCATTCAACCAATCACGTGCAAGGTCAATCTGGTGACAAATTTAAAATACTCCTCCTGGTTTAAAAACAGAGTATANTCGTAATCCACGTGACCTGTGTAATATCGGCTGCATATCTCAATATGTAGTGGTAGCTTGGATAATTTTAAATTAGTAACCAGATGTTGACAGCTGATCGTACGTTATTGTTGTGATTTGTGATTGTCGTACTCTTTGTGAGTTTCGGTACTTTTTTTGTTCTCCACCGTTGTTTCTAGCGGTAAGTCAATAAATAAATCAAAATAAGCACTATTTTTAACGTTAATTTTAATCTATGGCTACACTAAAAATTATTTTAAATAAAAGGATTGAAAGTTAGACCTTTTTTTTATATTTAAAATATTAAAAAGAAATATATCTAAATATATTTTAAACGGCTTTTAAACTTAACGAATTGTCGCCATCGTTTTTAGGAACTTTCGTCGCGTTGCAATACCAATCTGTGATATTGGTTGCATACTTTGTCGTGTACGATAATTAATAATTAACACACTGTGCCACGATCACCATAGGATAGTCATTTTTCACGGAGTGAATAATAGCGGTGAATAATCATTATACACGGTTAATCAAGTTGACAGACTAATAATAATTATTTGAAACGTAAAAATTTCAAAAAACGTCAATTTAATTTAATTTTTTATACTCTGTTTTTAAACCAGGAGGAGTAAACGCGAAAGTCAGATTTACACTAGAAAATATCACCAGAAAATATCACTAGATATTTTGGCGGTAAATTTAAATTAATAATTATTATTTATTTATTTACTTATTATTGTATTTATTTTCGTTTGTTATCGTCAACACTATACATACAAATTAACATTGAAGTTATGAGTGTATTTATTTCAAAATGTAATAAAAAAGGGTTTAAGAACACAAAATATACAATAATGACACGGAACTGTCGAATTATCAATTTCCTAACCTTCAAATTCAAAATTGCCTGTGTGTGAACCTTCCTCGCATTCAACCAATCACGTGCAAGGTCAATCTGAAATTCAAAATCAAAATTCAAAATTGCCTGTGTGTGAACCTTCCTCGCATTCAACCAATCACGTGCAAGGTCAATCTGGTGACAAATTTAAAATACTCCTCCTGGTTTAAAAACAGAGTATAGGACTTTCTAAAGGTTTGACATAAAAAAACCTAAACAAATTCCTTTTTTCGTATGACTTAAGCATAAATTAATTAATTTTCGTAAAAAAACGACGTTTCATAAAATTAACATTTAATTTTGACAAATTATTGTGAAGTTGGTTATAATTGGTAACTTGGTAATATTGAATTTGTGTCACATTGACGTTTAAACTTTATTCAAAAATTTAAAAAAAAATACTTAGCGAATAATAGCCCTCATTATATGTATGCTCATATAATAATATACTATTTATTGTTCAAAATTTGTTTTGAATATATGGGTATTTGACTGTTCACTTAATGTTAATTTTAAATAGATGGTTCAGATGCAGGGTTAAAATTAAAAGAACACTTAATGTACAAAGAAATCAAATTTATTTTCATTAAATTTCTCTTAATTTAAAAACTTAATTAAAATCTAAATCATAAATAGACTTAATTAAAACTTTATGCTTCTTCAACTTGATTTTCATCCTTGTTCTTATTAGGATCATCAGGTTTCATTGCAGGGAAGAATAAAACTTCCTTTATATTATTGTTATCAGTTAAAAACATTGTTAACCGATCAATCCCAAGTCCCCATCCGGCCGTTGGTGGTAACCCATATTCAAGAGCTGTACAAAAAGTTTCATCAACCAATTGAGCTTCATCGTCACCCGCTGCTTTATCTTTAGCTTGTTGTTCAAAACGTTCGCGCTGCACCATCGGATCATTTAATTCCGTGTAAGCATTACAGACTTCTTTTTTCATAACAAATAATTCGAATCGTTCAGTTAACCCTGGTTTGGAGCGGTGATATTTCGCTAATGGAGACATGATTTGGGGATGTTCGATTATAAAACAAGGGCTAATACATTTTTCTTCAATAAATTCACCAACTAATTTATCTAAAAGTCGAGCTGTTGTTCTCGGGGGTGGGCACTCAACGTTATTTTTAACACATAGATCGTCTAAAAATTTTTTAGTTTCTTCACTGGACATATTTTCCGTTGGCGGGAATTTAACGTTTAATTCTTTTTCAAGTGTCGGAATCATCGAGACTTGTTTAAACGGTGGTGTAAAATCAATTTCATGAGCGATTCCTTCCGGTCCATCAGGATGATAAGTTATTTTATAAGAACCAAAAATTTTTTTAACCATTCCTGATAACATATTTTCGGTGATACGCATTAAATCGTTATAATCGGCGTACGCCATATAAAATTCGCAAGTTGTAAACTCCGGGTTATGTGTTAAATCGATACCTTCGTTACGAAATTGTCTCCCGATTTCATAAACTCGATCGATTCCACCAACAACCAACATTTTATGATATAATTCCGGCGCGATTCTCATAAATAATTCCATATTTAAATCGTTATGGTATGTAACGAAAGGTTTTGCGGTTGCACCACCCGCTATCATATTCATCATGGGTGTTTCAACCTCTAAGAAACCTAATTCATCCAAAAAACTTCGAACGTAAGAAATGATTTTAGCCCGGACAATAAATATATTACGAACGCGATCGTTTAGGATTAAATCTAAATATCTTTGACGAAAACGCGTCTCTTTATCTTTTAAACCGTAATGTAAATGGGGTAACATGTGTAAACATGGGGATAATAATTTAATTTCTTTTGGCCGGATTGAAAGTTCCCCCTTTTTGGTTCTCGTTGGTACTCCTTGAACCCCCATAATATCACCACGTCGTATTTTATCTGTATCAATTTTAAAAGCATCAATACTGTTGTAATTATTTGCTGTAGCCATAACTTGAATTTTAGCTCCTTCTCCTCTAAGATCATAAAAGATTAATTTCGCGCCAGACTCGCGAATAGAATGAACTCGTCCAGCAATTGAAACAATTTCATCTTCTAAGACTTGTTCATTTTTTAAATACGAGTATTTATCAATAAATTCTTGTAGTGAAATCGAAACGTGGTATTTATGAGGATACGGATGTTCGTTGGGGCTTAAGCTTTTTAAATGGGTTACCGCTTGGGTTCTTAATTTAAAATATTCGTTAGGACTGATCTCTTCTTCGGACTCTTTTTTTTGTTTTGCTTGAACGGGCGGTTGCTTTTCGGCTTTTTCCGCTTTCTCTTTCGCTTTTTGTTCCGCTTTTAACCTTCGTTTCAATTCGCTAAAATCATGAAATAAAATCGAGATTAATATAAATCAAGTTTAGCTTACCTTCGTTGAATTGAAGAAAAATGCTTTGATAAATGTATGGGGCGGTAAAATGCAGATTTTACAACTTGCATCATCTTTTCCTTTTTGAGGTTATTATACCGGCAAGGAAATTTATTTAAAATAAATGGATTATTTTAACTTACTTTTTGGATAAAGTTTCTGTTTGATTATCTCCCATCGTTTATTAAGTATTATTTTGTGAATGATTTAAAAACGTGAAGTTACTGATTGAACACGTGTAAAATGAACGGTTTAGTTGTCAAAATTTATCTGTCAAATGTCAAATTAAATTTTAGATGAGTTGACGGTTTGGATTAATAGATGGCGGTTTATTGCGACTAATATTTATATAAATAAAATCGAAAATTAAAAAAAAAATCTTCTTTCTCCAGTCTGCTCCAATCAGACTTAAAGCCTGTTCTTCGTCAATGATGCCTCTATTCTGTTCGCAAATTGTCGTCTTGTCATAAAGTCCCTAGATTTACAAAGTACCGCGTTTCATGACGCTTGTTTTCGAGCCAAAATGGCGGTTTGACAACTTGTCACTGCATCTCACCTCTTATTTACAAAAATATTGCCGTCTTATTGCCTTTGGAGTTGCAAAAATAGCAGTAAGAAGACTCTTAAGAGTACCACGAAAAAAAGAATGGAGTTTTGGCGTAATGTTATCAATAGAACGACATACTTTTAAATTTCCCGCTTGACTTTCGAGCCAAAATGGCGGCAAACCGCGGTATTTTGTAAATCTAGGGACTTTATCTTGTCATGTATGGTTGCGCCATCTAGTAGTAGAGAGAAAAGAACGATGACTGTCATTAATTAAGGTTATGTTAACAATAGAGTTCAGAAATAGTTATAAGAAATTTTATATGTTACTTTTTAATAAATGATTTTAAAAGTAAAGTGCAAGTAGTTACGAAATGTTATCCATAAACTATATAACGGATAAACATTACAGCTCCATCTTTTCCTTGGTCGTCCTAGACTTTGTTTTATCCCTGGCCTTTTCACTGTCTGTCTTGTCTCATTTATGCGTGTATTCCGTTTATGTGTCCAATTGTTGATATTTACCACTCCACATAATGTTCCTATGTCTTCGCTTCTTTCTTTATTGTATAGAATTTTACCGGTGATTCTGCGAAGTATCTTCATTTCTGTTCTTTCAAATATCCGTTTTGTTTTAGACCGGTCAGGTCGTATAGATCATGATTGGTCTTATGGTGCTCCTATATATATTTTCAATTTCGTATTAATCTATAGATGTTTGTTCCTCCATAAAATGTCGTTTAAGCAACTTACGATTTTACTGGCTTCCTCACTTGTTGGGATAGCTACAAGTTACGGTAATATTGAAGAGGTAACTTGATAGTTCAACTGCCAAGTACTTGAATATCATGACCCGCTCTATTGTGTTCTGATTCACTTCTAGCTTACATTGAAATGGCTCTTTCGCTGCTGTCATGCATTTAGCTTTTTGAGCAGTAATGCTTGTAGGTTTCTCTATAGATCGTTCTCGTTTCTCATCAGCATAACAAAGGATCACAAATTATTGATCTATTCTTGGGCTCAATGAATCTCCTTGTCGAATGCATTTACAGGTATTTCCTTAGTGAGTTTTCCAATTATCTGTGCTTGTATGCTGTTTTCCGAATAGATGTTTTAGATGGATCCTCCTGTTTTGAATATTAGAATCAATGTGCTTGTTTTTCATGCGTTTGGTATTTTTTACTCAGTTAAGATTTTGTTTAGCAAAACTTATCCTAAATGATTTTAATGCTTATTATGTATTTACGTTTGAAATAATCCCGCCTATTTAGCGCTACGCGTTAGTCGTTAAAGGTTATCATTATTATCATAGTCCATTTTAATATGTTATTTTTAGCTGATATTTTTTATTTATCCTGTTTCAATTTCAAGATGTTAACGCTGTGGTTACTTTTGAGTGTCTTTCTAAGTTCTTTATTGGTTTATTTCGCAAAATTACAGTTTTATTGGAAACGTAAAAATGTAAAAAACAATTTTTACGCTTCAACAATTGGAGTGTTAAAATTATTTCTTCTTCAACATAACATTGGTGCTTTGTGCGAACAACTTTATTGGAGTACAAAAGAGAAATACGTTGGTTTCATTTTATTGGGAAAGCCAGTTCTTATAGTGAAAAATTTGAAATTAATCAAAAAGATTTTGGTGAAAGATTTCGACAATTTTGATAATCGAACCATGACAACAAATAAAATTGGCGATCCCTTGGGTACAAGGACACTTTTCGTTGAGAAGAATCCAATTTGGAAATTTATCCGATCAAAAATATCAAGCTGGTTTAGTAGTGGTAAAATGAAAACACTATTCACTAAAATTTCACAAATTGGTGATAATTTCGTTGAATTTGTTGCCGAAAATGAAGGAAAACCGATTGATTTAAACGAAAATTGCCCAAAATATTCAACGGATGTCGTTACAGCTTGTGGTTTTGGAATAGAGGAGAATTGTTTTAAAAATAAAAATGCACTATCACGTGAAGCTTCAAAAAAAATTTTCATTTACAACATTTCTCGTGGGATTCAATTCGTTTGCTATTTTATAAGCCCGTTTTTAACAAATTTTTTTAATATGAAATGGTTGGATCCTTCATCTTCAGAATTCGTTGAAAAAATGTATTATGATATTAAAGATAAAAGGTTAATAGAAGGAACACATGATGATTTCATCGCAGAATTATTTAAAATGGAACAAAAAAATGTTTATCATACAGGTAAAAAAATGACGTTTAATACGTCACTTTGACATTTTACATAAAATGTTGATATTTTGTTTATTAGATCCCGTTGAGATTATGGCTCAAGCTGCCCAATTCTTCTTGGCAGGATTTGAAACGGTTAGTTCAACTTTAATGTACGCTTTGTATGAAATGGCACACAATAAAACCATTCAAAGAAAACTTCGTGAATCAATAAAAAACGATTTAAAAGAGAATGGGGGTAAAATAACTTATAATTCTTTAGTTGGAAATGAATATTTAATGAATATTATATATGAAACAACAAGAAAATATCCAGTTTTACCATTTCTGGATCGTATATGTCGAAATGATTACGAAATCCCCGAAGATAATTTAACAATAGACGCTGGAACTTACATCTACATTCCCGTTCAACCAATTCAAAGAGATTCGGAATATTTTCCGGACCCTTTAAAATTTGATCCCGATCGATTTTCAATTGAAAATAAAGAAAAAATGGGTTTAAATTCGTATTTAGCGTTTGGTGGTGGTCCAAGAAATTGTATCGGGGCTAGATTTGGAAAACTTTCGGTTGCTTGTGGTTTGGCGAAGTTAGTTTCTAATTTCGATTTGAATTTGGCGGGCGAATATGAAGAGTTGGAGTTTGACCCTAAAGGATTTTTGTTGGCACCGACGAAAAAAATTAAATTGGTTTTTAATAAGATATAATTATTTTTTATTAATATAATCATAAAATGTAATGAGAAATATGTACATGGTTACTGATATAGTCAAATAAAGCAAATTTAATAATTAAAAATTTAAAAAAAATTAAATGATAGATTTACAGCGCCATCTGTCATCTCACATACGAAGTAATGTGCTGATTGTAATTAGTAATTAATATTAATTGTATTTATACTTAAATATATAAATTAATATTTAAATTAAAACTGAGAATATAGAGAGGAAATGATAATAACACTTAACCTAAAAAATTGCTTTTAAAAATTAATGAGTGGTGGCGACATCTGTTAATAAACTCAATTGAGAAAGAATCAATAAATTATTAAAAAAAAAAATATGTTTATTTTAATTTATGTATTTACGGCTAAATACTTGTTCTCTTACGAAAGAAGACGAAAACGTATGGGATAAAAAGATTCCTAGAATAATCAAACTGATTTCCGATGTTGAATGAAAATTTTGAGGTATAGGCAACCAAATTTACGTGAATCTTAATTCAATATTGTTAACAAAAATAGTTATTTAAACTTAATTTGTTATATAAAAAATAATAAAACAACTTTTTCATCTGCCATTTACATTTATTGTTTTCCACATTGTTTCTTTTAATTGAAAATTAAGATCTTTAAATTTTATCATGTTAACATGTTAAAACGTTTTCACAATCAATAAAACAACAAAACGGTGATCCTCTCTTCAGATTTAGTATATTTTCTTCTTTAACATTTGCATCTACAGCATCTCCAACGAGTATTTTAATTGTTAATAAATAGGATTTCGGTTTTCTTCGTCATTTTTGGTTCCGAAGAAAATTAATTGAGTGGTCCATAGAGTTTGTTAAGATATAGAAGGTAAATAGCGTTAAAAAAGATATAGATATTAAGATATACAGTCCATTTTTGTCCATTACAAGGTTTATAGAAAATAGTGAAGCTATACAATAACTGTTATTATTAATCTCTTTCAACTACTTATAATTGATATTAAACTTTGCCCCTGTATATTTACAAAGATTTCTTTTTTTAATTAGTTCTTGGCACATACATTATTTACTCTCAAAATGATATGACTGATTTTTTTTGCTCTCGGTGGTAATCTTATGAAAAAATTAAGCTCAAAACAACAAAAATTAGTTTCAAACGACCAGCGCCCGAAGTTTTTAGTAAACAACCAGCTAATTTTTGTATATTTTTCATTAGTACCACCAATGTTCTCATGTGTGTGTATTTTTATTATGTTTAATTTATTTCTTTTACTTAATTTATTTAATACACAACCACATAGTAATAAATACATGAATTATTTTAATTAATTCCGTTTTGTGTTGATTTTTTTCGCATTTTTTAATCTTTTTTTAACACGACTAATTTTTTTTTCTTAGTTTTCTTCAAAAGCAACTATAAACATTTACCGCCTTATAACTCGATAGACACGAATTGTAAACCGGTATTAGTTATTATTTTTCGATTTATTTATGCTAGAAATCACATATAATTAGAGTTACATGTTACCACCTTTATTTATTTTTTTTGAATTATCTTTTAGTGTGACGATTTATTATTCTAACAATAAACTAAAAAAAAGAACTTAAAAGAGTATTGTCAATAAAAAATTAATAAAAAATAAATCACTAATTTCGATTTTATATACAAATCTATTTGTTACTAACTTCAAATGAATCAGTTTTTGCCAAATCTGTATTAAATTTGTTAATTTCTTTTATTTATTTAGAAAAATTATGGTTTATTAAAGACAATTTTCATAAAAATAAAATCTTTTTAATTTTTATACTCAAATGTGATTTTTGAAAAAAAAAATTCGATTAAGAATCATCTGTCAAATATCCTAACCTCACTTTTTTGAATAATGAAAAAACCGTGTATAATGAAATAAAATATGGATAATTTAAATAAAAAGGATACAAATAAAATAAAACACCAATGGAAAAAACATCATGTAATGAAAATAAATTGAAGAAAAAAAATTAGAAAACAAAAAAACTCATCGTATATACAATATAAATTTCCTAAGTAAAAAATAAATATATAAATAAATAATGCGCTAGAACAAAAATAAAAATAGAAGAAAAGAACTGTGTGTAAAAAGTCACGTCACGTCCTCCGTACATTTTTTTAACAACACAAACGGAAGTAACATAACACCAGGAGTCAATATTTTTTTAGACGTGCTCCGTAGCAACCACGGGCTTATTATATGTACAACAACGACAAAAAATGTATCTAGCGAAACACTCGCGGTCAATCTCGACGACGACAGCGGTTGCCTCTTGTCAAATTACATCAGCAGAAGCGGCGCAAGTCATTTGTGGTTGTTCTACAACAATTTTATTTTCTCCACTTATGTTGGTACAATTTGTTGATGTGCCGGGAAGATTTTGATTGTCTGGTTTATCACCGGGTAATTCCGCTGACCACGAAGTTTCGCCCGAAGTATCTTTTTCAACCTTTTCTTTACCCATCAACAAAAATTTCCAACTTTTCTTGATACTCGTCATTTTCGCTTTAGGTAAAGTACTCGATTTTCGGTTATCATCGACATTTTCCATACTTTTACAACAAGGCGATTCAAGGTTTTTCTTCCGGCCTCGTAACGGCAGCGTCATACGATTCGAATTATTATTTTTTACAACATTTTGTTTCGATTTAGTCGGTTCCCGATCAACGGATAATGAGAGTTTATCGGCAAAATTTTTAAAACGTTGAAGAATACTTCTGGTTGTTGTGTTGTTTTTGGTTGATGGTGGAGGTGGTTCTTCGTCCACTGATGATATACTATTTAATTCATTTTTGCTGACACTAGCTTGCCTAACTATGCTTTCTATTAAACTCTGATCAAAATCGTTGGCTTTATTGCCGTTTTCAATGTCGTTTCCTTGATTATTATTCTTCAGTATGCTTTTTTTTTCTTCCATCGCTTTCACCGAATGTTCCGAATTGCGCTTATTTAGATTTAAAGTTTCTTTTGAAACCACGCATTCTTGAGAATCATCTTCAAAGTCTTCGTCCGCATCGTCTCGCGTCGCATCACCAGCTGCTACTTCACCACCTGCAAAATCAATCAACCCCCTTTTTTGTAATATTATGGCGAATTCGTCTCGAAATTCCTTAACGTATTCTTCTTGTTGCTGTTGATTTTGTTTTCTATTATTACAATAATGGTCGAAACTTAACGCGCCAGAACTAGTTCGGAATTTACCGCGTTGCTGTTGGAGCTGATTATGCATAGCCCGAGCTAGTTCTGTGCTATTTAAATGTTGAACACGTTCTCGACTACCTTTTCTTGAACCCGGATAACTTTTCCTACCTGCTGAACCCGTCGATAACAAACAACCACCGCTAGATGGTGCGGCACATTCCGTTGATATTTTAAATTTTAATGTTTTTTCAGATACTTCAACTTCCGTCGCCGTTTCAGATTCCCCACTTTCGTTATCTTCAATTACGTCTTCTAAACTTTGATCTTCGCCGGATGTTGTTGGCATTGTTGTTGTATCTTGAATTTCCATTTCTTCTTCAGCCGAACGAGACCTAAATGAAAAAGCTTTAAATAACTTTGCAAACAACGGTTTTAATTCAATTTCAATTTAACATTGAAAGCTCTTTCCTTAATGATCTTTAATAACTCGATTTCCGGGGTGTTATTTTGGTCGTATAGCTTTCTAAAATTAGAAACTTACCTCGATCGATTCTGTTGGAAACTGAGACTCTTCTTTAGCTTGACGCTCGCGTTCGAGCTCGATTTCGATAGGACAGTGACGGTATTCGCGCTGTCCGAACTTTGTGATGATGGAATGTCCGATAATTCGGCAACTATGCTTTTCCTTTGCAAACGTTCCTCTTTGGTCGCCTCGTTTAATCGCCTATAATAATCTAACGCCTCTCTCACCGGTTGAACTATTAAATCCTAATAAGTTTAAAATAAAAAAAATAAATCGATTTTATATTTGTTCTGTCAAAAGTTAATTTTGACAGATAACTTCCATGATTATAAAAAACAACAAAAAGATAAACAATTTGTTTTTTAAATGGGTTGATTTTAATCTTTTAATCAAAGAGAAGAATAATTTCAAAGTTAAAAAGTGCCTAATTTTTAATACACCCTTCTTGAGCATTCCCTCGGTTTTAAAACAACTTTTTTAATCATCCCCGCCCCTTTAACCAACGTTCCCTAAGGTTCTTGTTAATTAAAACGAACTCACCTGCAATTCAGTAAGAAGTTCCCCTAACGCTTCGAATAAAGGTAGAAGTACAAAACCGATGAACGAACATTGAGATGAAGGTTTCGTTATCTTCTCCCTATCCATAAAAGGCGTCACCGGAAGTCCCTCCAGTTTCTCCGCATCGCTTTGTTTAAAAAACTCTTGGAGCAAACGATCCAACCAAGGCTCAGCTACCTCCATGGGTCGAGCTTCATTTGAAATATCCGATACTTTAATCAACACCATGCACAATAAATTAACGTGAGCTTTATTGTTATAATCGAAATCGGGTACGGTTTCTTTAAATTGCGAAAGTATCTCGTTGTGTCTCGCCATATCCGTTGCTAAAATACATCGGATCATTCCTTCACGCACCACCTTAAAACTTTCAACGCTGAAGGATTTGAAAATGTTGCAGTCTTCATTCTCCAGAATTCTAAACGCAACGCTACAATGATGATTTTCAAGAGGCGATATATCGTTGTATCTAATCGCTAATTCGGTTTTTGCGTTTATTTGATAAATATTATTATAACCGGGGTGATCTAAATCGTGGCATATGCATGATGTTAGTAAGATTAATACTTCGAGATCGCCGATTTTTGATGGTAAATCAACGGCCCAAGTAATCGCATACATCTAATAAAAATATAAAAATTCCGAGATTAGATACGAGATGGCGCCACATTTATCGAACTGTCACATGAATTGTCAAACTTAATAGTGATTAAATTAAATATTTACCATTTGAGCAACACAAAAGCAATGTCTAAAATTATGGAATGGCACGTCATTGTAGTTCTTGTACGTTTCATAAAGGAAGTTGCGCAGAACGTTGATGTCGATAGCAAACTTCGAACAAAAATCGTACTCGAGATACATTTGTTGTAAAAGTAGCAGGAGTTCTTCGTCTTCCCACTGTCGACTGTCGAAAGTTGGCATCCGCAACCATTGTTTTACAGAATTAGATACCTCGGCATCGCTAAATTTAATTAAAATTTTTTTTATTAAAACCCTTTAAACAAGGTAGTTTAAAAAACTCACCATATGTTCATAAAATTTTGCTTTACCCTCTTTTTAATTGAATCGCTTTGTCTACGGTATTGTAATCTTCTGCATTCCTCGGTCGAAAGTGGTTCTGGTAACTGTTTATAAAAACCTAAAATTAAAAAGAATTAAAAAAGTTTTTGCAGGGTGAAAATTATGGTAAAACTTGAGATACAATAACTCCCCTTCTCAAAGCGAATGTAAAGGAAAGTAAACGACAAGAAAAAGCTTGAAACTCCCCCGTAATAAATATTTGAGAAGCGGTCGCCCGCGGTGTGTACACACTTTAGAATTTCTTAAATAAATTACGCTATAACTTACCGAGCCAACTAAGACTCTCAGTAGTCTCCAGCTTCTCCCTGAACGCGTCCACCTGATTTTGAAGTTGTTTAACAGCCGATGGGAGCGGAAGGTCGGCTTTTAGTTGTCTTTCTAACTCGGATATTCTCTGTTCGAGGACTTTCAGGTCCGTTCCGGTATTCTCTTGGAGCATTGCAAAACCGTTCGCCGCGACTACTTGCAGCGAGTATCTTTCCTCTTTGGTGTTACCCTCCAGCTCTTGGTTTATATTCAGTAAATGACCAGATTTGTTGTACAATTTTATAATATCGCGCGGACCAGCCTCTGCTGCGGACCTAAACAAATCTACAAAACAAAGAAGGAAAACGTTAAGATTTAAAACGCAAGGTTTTATTGAATTGAAAATCGTGGGAAACCCGACGGTGTTTTAGTTCCCTCGCATTTTCATAATCCAAGCTGAAAGCACAAGCCTTCTCAATTAGGCGAGAACGCGACGAAAGTCACCGGCCCAGAATACCCCATTAAAGTATTTAGCTGAGCTTGAAAGTCGACGACTGCTCATGAAAATTTCATATCCAAGAATTTTAATTTCAACTCTTAAAGAAAGAATTGAGTAATTTCAGTGTTTAAAACGATATGCAAAACGATCTTTAGATGCATCATCAGGTAAGAATTTAATGAGAATTTCATTTAATATAATATATTATAAGATTTTTATTCATGAATAATATTGTTACATTATAATATTAAAATTTGCATTAACAAAAGTAAATAACAAAGAAACTTATGTTTTGCAAATAATAAATATTAGTGCAAGTGGAGAACCTGAATTTTGTTTGTAATCAGAGGGGAACCACAAAACCACACAATCGAGATATTGAGAAAATTATCATATGAATAATATTAAAGAAAGTGCAAAGGAAATGCATAAAATTAATGATAAGCTATACCGGGAATTTTTAACTCACAATATATGAATAACTACAGTTAACCCCAATGTTTCTGATTATAGATCTAGTGTTAATTCTACTTTTCGTTCAATAAAAATGCACCACAATCTGATGCTGAATAACAATTAAAACTAGAATTAACACTAGACTTAGAACTAGAAACATTCGGGTTTAGCCGCACGTCGTTCAAGGCGGCTAAACCCGAATGATTCTAGTTCTAAGTCTTGTGTTAGTTCTAGTGATAGTGCCAAACTAGAACTAACACTAGACCGAGAACTAGAAACATTCGGGTTTAGCCGCACGTCTTTCAAGACGGCTAAACCCGAATGATTCTAGTTCTAGGTCTTGTGTTAGTTCTAGTGATAGTGCAAAACTCGAACTAACACTAGATCGAGAACTAGAAACATTTGGGTTTAGCCGCACGTCTTTCAAGACGGCTAAACCCGATACTTTCTAGTTCTAGGTCTAGTGTTAGTTCTAGTTTTAGTTCAGTAAAAATATATAACATAGTGATATTTTATGCTAACTAGCGCTACCTACCAGCCATCTTAAGAGCTAAACGGAATGTTTCTAGTTCTAGGTCTAGTGTCTAGTTAGTTTCTATGGAAATATATCTTTGTATATTGCATCTTAAGCGAAATTCACTGTGTGCCACGATATTCGATTTTGTAAGTTTCTCAATTCTTAATACAGGTGCTCAAAAATTTCCCTTACAAACTTCGAGAACGTGTAGAGAGGACTAAGTACATATTGTTTTGAATTGGAACCCATGTCCGAAAACATACCGTTTCCGTGCTATAATATCAGTGCTTTTTATCCGTTTAAAGGATAAAAAGACTTTTTAAAACTATTTATTATCATTTTATTTAAATTTTAAAGTTGAATTCCACATTTAATGAAAATACCAATATCAACTAGTCTACGGTTCATATAATCGATATGTTAATAGGTCAGCAACAAAATATTGTGCACATTTCCCAAAAGAAATAACTGATTCGTTTAAAAACAAAGACTTACGATAACAACAACAATAACAAAATCTAAATTGATCGCAATTCGAAGAAGACACCTCAATTAATACTCAAGAAATGGCGAAAATCAACACACATTGAATTTTTTCCATACGTATGATTCCATATGATTTCGATGAAGTCTTCACTTTTTTGTTTGGAATTATCAATAACATATGAAAGGGTCGAGTATTAGAAGCATAATTATATTTATCACTGCACTTAAATTAAAACAATTAAAAAAAATATTATATACGACGCGTGTAGCAGAATTGAGATTAATCTCCCAAAGATCTTAGAGTGGAGAGTCCTCAGTTTTAATATAGAACCTCCATTCTCCAAAATTATCTATATCAGCAGAAGAGTCTATTAAAAGACATAAATAATCTCGTATTACTTCCCATTTAGTATTGACTATTTTTTAAGTCCAACTTCTTATAACGCCTATTCTGCCATTATCTACCAATTCATGTATTCTGGAAATTACGAATTGTGATTTAGTCCAAGAGATCCACCTTTATCTTTAAATCGTCGCAAATGTTTTAGATCACTCTAATAACCTGCTATTAGGTTGCATTTTGCCGATGATAGGTTGAGTTAGGGTTTTAGTGAAGTTTAGACTGCCGTTTAGATTGCAGTTTAAATCTAAATCACATAATTTTTGCATATTGCCAATTCTACGAGTTATGGTATGTTGTGTTCTATACATTAAGGCGATTGAGCTTCCTGGAGCCTTTCTACATATTGAGTTAATATAATTTCATTAAGTTAATAAGGTGGCGAATAAGCAAGACTACAAAACAAAAGATTCAACAAAAAGATCTTTATTATGCACAATACGATAAAGAAGAACATTTAGCTACATAAATGATACCAACCTAGCAATTACGTTTGCATAAACATACTACTGTATTCGAGTGGAGTACAAAATCCCACAACTATGTAACAAACTGAATGTTTTGATCTTGATAGATAATAAAAAAGTTAATAAAGAAGTTATGTAATGTAAAAACAAGAAACTTTGCGGTATGTTTTAGAAATAGCATCGTTCTCTGTCCTATTTATAGAAATTCATTATCACGTGGTGGTTCGCGAATGCCTTTCTAATGCATCGCGTCCCAAACCCACGGGTGTTAGTTTTATTGGTCGTAACGTATTAGATCGTCGCGGATAGAGGTATAAGGGCGGCGTTCTTGAAACACCATCTATATATAACTTTGGTATATCCAACGACGAAGGGAGCGCGCGTTCTATAGCTGGAAACAATAAACGTTGCGCGAAAAGCAATCAAGAGAGGATCGTTAAAAACCCCTTCTTTCCGATGGATATATTCTCGCCGTAGTATTCGATTAATGTCTTCCTCTCTTTTTCTCTCATTGTAACGACAAATTGTTTACAAAGATAATTTTAATTTTTAATTAATTATTTTTGAAATAATAAGGTTTATTTTGAGACGAATTTACCGAGAATTCTATACTCGGTAATTTTGTTGCCTCAACAAAAAAAAAACAATATTTGATCTTCCCTCCAAGAGTTTTTCGTTTGCAAATGTTGTCTGTTTACCTTTGATTTGGTCCGTCGACGAGTTGGAATAGAAAATAGCCGATTCGTGGCGCGGACCCACGCTGAAATAAACCTGGACTGCTTGCGGAGGGTCCATCGGGATCGTTTCCCGATCATTTTGTGACGAGCGATTGGCCTGTTTCGTCCTTGAAAGCCCCACTGCGCGATGCAGCAGTCATCCCCCTTAAAATAAAAAAATCCATAAAATTATTATTTATGTTGGTAAAAAAAATTATAGTGTAGTAAAATCTCGATCAACACTATGAATGTTTCTAGTTCTAAATGTAGCGTTAGTCTTGGTGCTAGAACCAAGACTAAACCTAGAACTAGAAACAACGGGTTTAGCCGCATGTCTCTTTAGACGGCTAAATCCGAATGTTTCTAGATCTAGTGTTAGTTCAATAAAAAATACTACAACCTAGCACTGAATCATAGTTAAAACTAGAACTAACACTAGAGCTAGAACCAGAAACATTTCTAGTTCTAGGTCTAGTGTTAAATTTGGTGGTAGACCTAAAACTAGTAGTAACACTAAACCTAGAACTAGAGACATTCGGGTTTAACCGCACGTAATTATACTTGATAGGAATTATTAGCATTAAAAAATAAAATCTAATTGGAAACAGAAACGAAATTGCGTGTAACAATTTTGCTCTGTGGAATTACAGGAACAAAAAAACGCAATGTTTGCATTCTTTTTAAAACGTAATGGGTTGCTGGTGAAGCGGTTTTAAAAACGTATGACATTTATAGGAAAATATAATTGAAATATCATTTTGGCTAATTAAACTTTAATCTACACACTCATTTCAGTTATATAAAGTAAATCATTGTTGCACTAGTTGCATTACATAACAGATTTTTATATCAACGAATATTTCAAGTATTTAAATTCCTTTTGTATACATATAGATGAATGTAATTTTTATGAAAACCGATAAGTTGAATCAGCAAGTCACATAAAAAAATAATCAGGTCTCTACGTTGATTGATGGGCGAAGTATTATTGTTGATATTGTGTCACTTCAATCGAAAAAGACAACACAAAAAAAACTTTATTATAATAGAAAACACAATGAAATGATAATGGCTTGGACACACTTCAACCAAGATATAAATGATATTTCATAACAAAACCTAGTTCCCTTTAAATTCGCTATTTTAAAGTAACATTTAAGCACTAGTATCGATTTTCTTGTGTATTATTTGTGTTTTCTTAGAAGAAGAGCTCACTTCATCGATCTCTACTAATGGAGCGTCAATATTACATTACTACCATTCTAAATTTCTTTTTACTAAAACACAAATAAAATAAACCCCAACAAACGAAGGAATTAAAAGTCACCAATAAAAGAATAAATCGATTTTAACAACACTAACCCACATGGAATGATACGATTTCATTGATACCTGCATAAAGTTAAAACCTTTAAATAAAACGTGATTAAACTCTAAAGTAAAAAATCAATAATTAAATATAAAATGTAGCTTTCTAGTTAAATCTCACATTGTGGACAAAACAATATAAAATAATAGTATTCGTTTCTTATTCCGGTTGAATTTACATCGTCAATTTTAAATATGTATACAACCAAAGGGGACTTCTTCTAAACAAATCTCTGCTTTACCTTCGCTTGAATAATCCAAACGTTTCTACCGCTATCCGCAATTCACGAAGGGAAACGTGGTTAATTTAATTGAGTTTTATTTAATTACATTTACAACACGAATCGAATTAAAAGGAAAAATTACCGTTTAATTTTTACCTCTTGACGTTTAAACTAGAATACATTTTAAAGTAAGGTTAGGTTGTTTATTTTAATGAACCTAACTTCATACGTAAACAATGTCGATAATGTAGATTCATACAAAATCACGTACATATAATCGGAAAACGTCATTTTTGACATTTAAAAATAAATTTCTTTTACAGTTGAAAAAAGTTCCAATTTACTAGAGCTCAATTCATTAATCCGACGGATGGGTGTTTTTCCGCTTGTCTGATGAATCCCGGTGAAAGCATTTTTCCGGTGAAACGAGAAAAAGGAAAATACGATCCGAGTTGTTGGGGGAGGAGCGTAGTGGAAAACTCTGTCTGAAACGACCGTTGAGCGCTCGGCCGGAACGCTCTTATTTGTTGGAAGTCGTTTGTTGAGTGGGTGATTCGAGAGACGTTGACCGTTCACGATTTACATTTGTAACAGACTCGTCGGTTTTAATGGGACCGAATTGTATACTTAAGAGGACTTTGTCTGTCGTTAATACTACTTAAGTGGATTGCTTTATTATCGGTTTTCACTTTAGTTAAGTACTTTAATTCAGTACAGTAGTAATTAAATGTTTTAAATAAATTGTTATTGGAATAAAATGACTAAAAAGTTAAGAAAGAAAACGTTCCTAATTTCACTTAATATTAATCTAGGGACTTTTAGTTACTAGATTTAAGTTGAAATAATAATTTGACGTTTAACATAACCTAAAACTTGATAAATGACACATTGAAGTGTCAAATTTTAAATACATAACGTTTAACTATTTATTTGGGTAAATTTATACAAAGTGAGAGAAATTGCTTCCCAGATGTCGACAAATATTTACTTCTAAATAATTAAATTTTCCGTTTCCAGTCGAAAATTTCCTCTGGTCCCTTATGAGTTTTCAATTTCCGATAAACACACACACAACTGGTGCCGCTTAATACCTCCTATAGCAAATAATATCCCAATTAAACTCCTTCGAAACGATTCACCAGCATTTATTCCCCCAACCCCCCTAATTCGGCCCCCCGTTTTAAATTCAATTTACCATAGCGCTTCCGGCAAACTCGACCGTTTTATCCCATCGAATTTTATTACTATAACGCAATTCCGAGCCATCGATAAAACGGTATGGAATCCTATTTACCCCGACAGAATGTTTCATTTTATTCCCTTAAAAAAAACAATTGAAATTAAAACATCAACAATGTTACTTTCACAATTACGTTTCGTTATCTCTTTACGTTCCGAGAAAAAGAATTTGTTGACGATAAATCGTGGTTTTATGCAACATAAAGAAAGGGATTGTAATAATAAGAACAAAGAGAAACACTCATCGTATTGTACAACTTTGTAGAATGATGTGTGTGTTTTAATGACTCAACAATTTATCTTCTTTTTATTGTATACAAACGTTGCAAAAAAATTAAAATAAGTATATTTTTTAAACTTTTAGTTACATTTTAATAATTTATAAATTTTTTTTCTTAAAAAAACAATTTTGGTGGAGGCGCATACACAAAACATCATTTCGCTGGTTAAATTAAAATATGAATAAGGAGCCAAAACCCCAAGAAAACAGATACGGATGATGGAGTACTCATATCTACCCGCATATTCTCATTTAACTCCCCCTCGAGAGTCATCCAATATACCAAATAGATACCTCAACGCTGCCGGCATTTCCATAACAATCGGTTCCTGGAGGCGAATTGCTCCCGATTTATCGCGGAGAGATCCTCGTCGTTTAACCACACCATTAATAATTTCCTCGAGGATCTCTTTCATCATCAACACCAATCAGCTCTACTAGAGGAGAGAAATTCCTCAACGCATCAACCTCAAAGGGACCATTTATAATTAGCGGAAAAGCTTAGTGCGGCGTAGCTAAACCCAAATTGAAATGTTCAATTCAACATTTCATGTTACTTTATCGAAGCCGTTTCAATATCAGTTAATAATTAGTTGAATAAAATTGATTATGAAATATTCAAATACAGTAAAATAACTTTGAACTCTTTGAATGAATAATTTCAATGCACACAAATTCGAACAACTATCCGTTACATTCAATGAAAATATACAATAATCTAGCTCTGAATAACAACTAAAATTAGAGCTAATACTAGTATTAGAACTAACACTAGAAGACGCACGGCTAAACCCGAACGTATCTAGTTCTAGGTCTAGTGTTGGTTCTAGGTTTAGTTCAATGAAAAATATACAACATAACAACTAAAACAAGAACCAACGTTTAATAACACGATATTAAAAATTCTTTTGTATCAAATCTTGTAATTTCACAATAAGTTATCATAATACGTAAGAGACTAGAGGAAATTTTCGACTGGAAACGGAAAATTTAATTATTTAGTATTAAATATTGGTCGACATCTGGAAAGCAATTTCTCTCATTTTGCATAAATTTACCCAAATAAATAGTTAAACGTTATGTATTTAACATTTGACACCTCAATGTGTCATTTATCAAGTTTTAGGTTATGTTAAACGTCAAATTATTATTTCAACTTAAATCTAGTAACTAAAAATCCCTAGATTAATATTAAGTGAAATTAGGAACGTTTTCTTTATTAACTTTTTAGTCATCATTTTAAAGATAACAGTTTAAGCTTTCATGTAAGATGTAACTCGGTTCTTTACTCAAAGAAATAAAAGAGAAATGGTCTAAACAATTTTTTTCAAACATTTTTTTCTCCTAAATTTTATTATTAACATATACGTTATGTTATACCATCTTGTAGAGGACATTTCAAACTTTAATTTAATATATAAATCATTTCTTCACATTCAGAAATAAACCGAATGTGGTTTCTTAAAGTTTACATCATGAAAGCAAACTTTTTCAACAACACGATATAGAATGACTTAAAAATATTTTGTCTGTTATATCCAAAATCCGTTCTAGCTCCGTTGTATCGAGCTTTTGCTGTAATTTTAATGGAATATACATTTTGGAATGCTAGTTATAAAATGTGTGAGTTATTGATTTTGGGATGAACGAACGTCGACATTTTCGACGCTCGACGTCGGTTTTCAACCGGAACGAAACGAAGAAGAGGTCCTACAATGCCACGGGCAAGAATGAATAATGCAATGTTCGAGAGCCACTTTCTCAATTTCCACCATAGTTGAAACGATGAAGAGACGCAAGGAATAGGATGAAATGAATTCGTTTCCTTGTGTCTCACCTAAAAGGAAATATTTCATTCTATTTAAAAATCTTCTAATAGATTTTCATTCATTAAAATATTTATTACGTGGAAAATTTTATTGGTATTTTTCTCCTTACATTTGTTCTCAAAGGAAAGTTCCATAGAAAAAATTCCAACGCATCTCCATAATATAAAGTTAGACGAGTATGAAAAGAAAAAATTTATGAATTAAAACCTATACATTTATGTTGTG